CCGCCTCAATGGTCAAGTGGTAGAGCGGAAGGTTGCGTGTTCGATCCCTGGCCCCCTTTCACTACGACCACGAATATCCCGAATCACCCCGAATCGGAAACTTTCGAAATTCGTGATGATTCGGTCAATAATGGAAACTTTCGTGGCTAATCGGGTTGAAAAATATGAAGAATGCCAGGAATGGGTTAAGAAACATGTACGAATTTCAAGCTTCATGTACGGATCATGCACGAATTGTAAGAATCACCTACGACTAAGTTACGAATATTTTTCTTACTTAATTCTAACATGATTCGTAGTTGACTCGGGACATTCGTGGCTGTTTCGTGATGTTTTCGGGTTGAGGACAAGAAATTTTGGGAGCCACGAATCGCTAAGAATAGCCAAGAATACAAAAGAATCGATTACGAAGCTGTTACGGAACATAAGAATTAATTATGAATGGTGAGGTGAGGTGAAATTGGGTTTAACGTCGCGTCCAAGATTATTGCACTTATATAGCGACGTGCATGCACGTGTATGTGTGTGTGTGGCTGCTTGTACTAGTCCGGACTGATGCCGATTTATAGTGCTAGCTCACTGAGATACCATGCCGCAGTTTAACATGAATACCTCACTCAGACACAGTATACTGACTCCGAGCCGACCAGTCCTTGTTTTAGCCCCTTAATGCCGAGCGCCAGACAGGGTAACAACAAGTACAATCTTTTAACGTCTTTTTGTATGACGCGGCCCGGGATCGAACCCTGGACCTTCCGCTCTCCGGGCGGACGCTCTACCACAAGACCACGGAGGCGGTCAATTATGAATGGATTACGATACAGCCACGATTTGAAATTCGGGGACCCTTCCACGAAAGTTTTTGACAAACAAAAACTGTCTCGCCGATTCGACGAACTCCCGCGAACTGTACGAATGTTTGGGAATCAAATAAGATTCATTTAAGAACTTCAAGAAATGATTGAGATTTATTTACGAACGTGAAAAAATTCCTATTCGGGGTGATTCGGGATATCCGTGGTCCTAGTGAAATGGGGGCATTATCTAAAGATGTTAAAAATGGTACTTGTAGTAACCCTGTCTGACGCTCGGCATTAAGGGGCTAAAACAAGGACTGGTCGGCTCGGAGTCAGTATACTGTGTCTGAGTGGGGTATTCAAAACTGCGGCGTGGTATCTCAGTTGGCTAGCACTATAAATCGGCATCAGTCTGGACTAGTACAAGCAGCTACACACATACGTGCATGCACGTCGCTTTCACCTCACCTTACCTTCTAGTATCGTGTGAGTACGCCGATCCTATCAATATTAATTCAAGCCATATGACGCCTTGGGGACAGTAATGGCTTACACCCGTGAAGGCCCGGGTTATAGTTCGTCTTCAGCAACCCATGCTTGTCGTAAGAGGCGACTGACGGGATCGGATAGTCGGGTTTACTGACTTGGTTGATGCGTGTCATCGTATTCCGATTGCATAGATCGAATCTCATGACACCAATAACTGGATCGTCTGATCCGAACTGGATTATGTTCAAACCGCTGTCATAAAGCTGGAATATTGCTGAGTGCAGTGTTAAACAACAAAGAAAGAAAGTGATGGCTTCCCAAGAGAATTGCAACCAAGAAGAGAATTTTTACCACAACCACTTTTACCACTGGTCTACTCACAACCACAACATTGAGGAAGAAAGTATATGCTGTATCCCCAGTTACCGTATTTTGATTTGTTTGTTGTTATCGCACTCATCAATATTCCAGCTTTATGACGGCGGTCTGTAAATAATCGAGTATGGCCCAGACAATCCAGTTATTGACATCATGAGCATCGATCCACCAAATTGGGTATGACATGCATCAACCAAGTCAGCGAGCCTGACCACCCGATCCGTTAGTCGCCTCTTACGACAAGCATGGTCGCCTACCACGGCAAGCATGGGTTGCTGAAGACCTATTGTGACCCGGATCTTCACGGGTCCAATTCATCATGCTAACTAGGTCGCAATACGCACGGCGTCGAAAGGGTGACAATCTTCTTCGGGGGAAAGGGGCGGTCGGGTAGCCTAGTGGTTAAAGCGTTAGCTAGTCACGCCGAAGACCCGGGTTCGATTCCCGACATGGGTACAATGTGTGAAGCCCATTTCTGGTGTCCCCCGCCGTGATATTGCTGGAATATTGCTAAAAGCGGCGTAAAACCTCACTCACTCACTCACTCACTCTTCGGGGGAAAGTAGGTCAGGTTATGTTGCCTCGTGTAAGTTTCTTTACAGTTCCAGATTTGAACGAAAATTGAAGTCAGTACAATGTATGAACTTTATACGAACTCCAAGGCTTCTGAATATCGAGCCATTACCACTGCTGCTCTTGTCCTTGATAAGGACACGTGTTCTTAGAAAATATTTAAATATTACATAAGCCCCGTGAGAACGTCCTGTTAAATCAAAACAAGTTGCAGGTCGTGAGAGGCTACTAAAACCGAGCGGTCAGGCTCAGTGACTTGGTTGATTATGTATCAGTGTACCCCGACTGCGGGAAGGTTGTTCATAATATCAATCACTGGATAGTCTGGTTGATCATTTACAGGTCGCCGTCATGTAGCTGGAATACTGCTGAATGCGAACACGTGTCCATCTTAATTGTCTTCGCCATCTGTGTCAACATTACGTTAATGGAAAAGGTAAATATGTATACTCGCCCAAAATTTAGACCTTTGTTTTCTTTGTCTATCGCCTCAAGGTCCCACATCGAAAAATGTATCTTTTATTTACCTATCATATACTACTAAAAAAAAGGTTAAGGATCACCCGGTTCTGTCATGGTATGAGTGAGTGAGTGAGTTGGGTTTAATGCCGCTTTTTGTCAAAGTCAAGTCAAAGTCATGATATGAACAAACGTAAATCAAAGTATGGGTTTGTCCACAACATATTTTCAGTAGTACTCTTTATGTTATGATGCCGATTCTTTAGAAAGAGGGGTTTAAGCATTGATTAATGTTGCAAGATTAATTTATGCGAGATTAATGTTTTGCCAGAAACTGAAGGGAATACTAACTTGCACGGATATTTTTTTTTTACTACTCTTTATGAATTCATGAAATGGAGGAAACTTTCCTGAAAAAAATAAAAGATATAATTATGTTGAGCTTACCTGGACAAATCAAACTGATCTTGTGGGTTTAACATGGCATCACAGATTATTGCACTCATGGTGTGTGTGTGTGGCTGCTTCTGTTAGTCCGGACTTATGCCTATTTTATAGTGCTAGCCCACTGAGATACCATGCCGGAGTTTAACATGAATACTCCACTCAGACACAGTATACATACTTCGACCAGTCCTTGTTTTAGCCCTTTAATGCCGAGTGCCAGTCAGGGTAACAACAAGTACCATATTTTAACGTCTTTTGGTATGACGCAGCCGGGGATTGTACCCAGGACCTTCCGCTCTCCGGGCGAACGCTCTACCGCTAGACCACGGAGGCGGTCTGTCCTCCAATGTTGTCACCTCAATTTCTTCAGTCTGGTGTTTAACATGGCCATCCCTGCATGGAATGTCACTACTCTGCCTTACCATTTGAAAATGCAGTGTAATGTGGTTTATATGTAGTTTGTAAACTAATATATATTTTAATACTATTATGTTATCATATTGGTGTTTTCGTATTGGCAATGTTATAGGTCCCAGAAGAGTCATATTGGCTGAGGCAGGCTGTATTGTTTTATTTATAACCCTGAAATGCATCACATTTGTTTGAAAGTTTACCACAATAATGAGAGGGAGTAGTGACATGATGGTGCATTACAAGTTCCGACCTGAATAACCTACTGCACTCATTTACTGTGGAAAGACATTGTTTATCAAATTCAGTATGTAAGGGAGGTAATCCCACAGTAGTCAAAAACATGGTTTGAGAGTATAACAGGAAATGAATTGTAACCTATACTCTTCATATTATTTCAAACATGCCCCTGTGTTTATTAAATATTTCGGGGAAATTATCTTATTGTAAATATAATTTGACGAAGAAAGAGTTTTAAAGCTTTCTTGTATATATTTGGATACTAACCTAGATTTGACCAGGGAGACTACTGTATTCGACGTAATAAGCACCCAGGGCTGGAATTATGAAGTTACATTTGGCTGGACTAACTAGTCTATGCATAGTCAAATCAAAATGGTGGTTGAAGCGAAGCATGTCATCGATTCCAATTGTGTGGATCGATGCTCATTATATCAATCACTGGATAGTCTTGTCCAGACTCGATTATTTACAGACCGCCATCATATAGCTGGAATATTGCTGAGTGTGGCGTAAAATAACAAACTAAACCAAACCAAAACCAATCAAAATAGCTTAATAAAATCGACATCTGATTCATAAATTGCCATGCAGATATTGATCGATTGCAGGATTTCCAAACATGTGTACTGAAAACTTAGAACCAAGATGATTTGATGCACTTTGTGAAGTAAGAACCGTCATATTTTACAACATAGATCTTGATTATCGGTCAGATCATCTGCACTGGGGTACACCATTTAATTTGAACCAAATGCAAGTGATATGAGAGGTGGAATCTGATTGGTCAATATAAGGGACAAAGAAGGGACATAACTCGCCCCAGCCCTACTACCAACTGTTATTTTCAAGGCTTTTTCAGTTGGGTTATAGCCTAAGTCTATCATGAATTCTTCAGGGTGTTTGGCACACAAATCTATCACTGTGATAAACCTCATATAAACATCTTTGGTACATATTTTTGTGTGCTTTAATACTTTGATTAACAAGTATATGTCATTTTGTACAAATTCAAGGCTTTTCACAATATTTTGGTGATTTTCAAGGCTTTTCAAGTTTGACACTAAAAATCAAGGCAAAAGAAGGACCTTAACAATGGAGGCTTTTTTAAGCCTCCAGGAACCCAGATAAAGCATGGCAGACAGATGAATAGGAATCAGTCCATTCAGAACTACACAATTTGGAGTTACTGAAAACAAAAACAGATTTATGTAACAATATTTACTGTAACCATGTAACATAATTTAATTTACATCATTCGGATTGCAAAGACAATCAAGTTAGTACTTGACAGAAATTATATGCAGCGTACAAGACATGACGGCATGGCTTCTATTCATATACAAACAAAGAACTTATCCAAACCAACCTATGTTTCTGAATGAAAGGACACGATTAGACCCATCCGCCAAAGTTTCAGGTAACCATGGTCCAATTGGCAACCTGAAATTATATGTCAAACACTGTTACCACCCTACTTTGTCTTCCCATCATGCACTTCAAATGGCCATCATGCCTCTGCCCCTCTTCCTGTCCGCCCCGGCTCGCCTGTTGTGATTCCCGCGGGCAGCTTTGTTCTTTTCCTTGAATTTTCGGTTTCTGACAACATCATTTTCTTGACCTTGACCCTTCGGCTTCCCAACTACATTGTGTTGCTGTCTGATACGACCTCCACGACCTCTCGCTGAATGCCACTGCCGTTTCTGTTCTGCAATCTCGCGAAGTTTGGCCGGGTCTTGAACAAAATCATCCCGGGCTGGTTTCTCATCATCCGATCCCTAATGAGATAATGATATTACAATCAGCATCAGTACCTAATTGAAGGGGTATAAATTCATTATCATATGTTCTGGTAGTCTACAGAATTGCTGTCTATTGAATGGTTTGTTTATTTGTTTGTTGTTTAACGCCACACTTAGCAATATTCCAGCTATATGATGGCGGTCTGTAAATAATCGAGTCGGGGCTAGACAATCCAATGATTGATGTCATGACCATCTATCCATGCAATTGGGATACGATGACATACATCAACCAAGTCAGCGAGTCTGACCGGCTGATCCCGTTAGTCTCCTCTTACGACAAGCATAGTCGCCTTTTACAGCAAGCATGGGTTGATGAAGACCTATTCTACCCCGGATCTTCACGGGTGTTTATCTTTGGGTAAAAGTGGTAGTTAAAGCTGAAATGTCACTTGTGCTTACTGAATTGTACATGTCTCAGACCAGAAGACTCAGGTTAATTTCAGACCCTACATTGTTTACCTCTCTTGGAACGAGTGAGTGAGTTAGTTTCAATGCCACTTTGATCAGTATTCCAGTTATATCACGATGTTGTGACGATAAACATTATGTTTTTAGGTTTGCAGGATATATTGAGTATTTGATGCCCTGAAATATACATTTGAACCTCCAGCTAACATCAGTTCCAAATGAAATTTTCAGGTATCAAATACTGAATAAAACCTGCAAATTTAAAAACACAATGTGTATCTCCCATTTCAAACCCACGATCATCACATTCTGGCACAACCGAAAGTTTTTTTTGTTTTGTTTTGTCTTCTGTTTAACGCTGCACTCAGAAATATCTGAAGACCAGACAATCCAGTGATTGACATGAGCATCGATAAATCCAACTGGGATACAATGACAGTCACCTGATCCCATTAGTCGCCTTTTACGGCTAGCATGGGTTACTAGACCTGTTCTACCTCAGATCTTCACAGGTCCATGACCATAAGTACAAGACTTAGACGATTGGTTGACAAGTGAGGAATCCAGCTGTGATCTGCGGAATCCTTGGTACAATATCCTACCTCGGATTCAACCGCTTGACGTTTTGTTTCTCTGCCTGTCTGCAAGGCCCGCGGAACAACAAATGGTCTGAAAGAGGAGAAAATATGATTGACTTTACAGCTTATGATGATCTTCAAATTCACCCTAACATATAGTTGTGAAAGTTTTGACATAATCTATGAGGTTCTTCCAGAAAGAAAATACTGCATACCTCTTATCAACACATCCGACCTTTTGGACCAATACCATACCTTTTATCAACACACCGACCTTGTGGACCAATACCATCACATGATCTTATTGTGAACACACAATGCCATTTAGAAAGTGGTCAAATGTAAGAAATGTCATATTTGGAATAACTCTTTCTTAGCACAGTACAAATTCTAGTACCATCCGGGATTGGAACACACACTCTCAGAGTGAGGCACCTCATCACCAGCACACAAAGTCAGCGATCTAACCCCCACCTTCTACATGGTCCAACGGTAGTCGAGTACTGTATTCCAGTATTTTACTCATCCAGGATTATATTTATGCAGGGAGGCCATTTCCCAGGTTGATTGTATACAACTGTTTATTTGGTTACATACTAGTTTGCACAACAACAACAACAACAATAAAAAAAGAACCACCTGCCCCCACTATATTTTCAAAAGCCATTGCCTGAGAACCAGTTCTTTTATTTTCTTAATTTAAGCCTAACATGGGTGAAATTCTTTTTTTCATTAAATCTTATAGGAGCATTACAGTTTTTGCATATTGATGATTGGCTAGTCCATTTCAACTGTTCCATTGTCTGGAAAGAAGTCACACATCATTGTGATGATGTCATCCATTGTTCATGACATCACAAAGAACTTTATGTGACATTGTTCCAACAGTACATTAACTGAGCATATATCTCCACTTGAGACCAGGAAACCCACATATTTCTACCTTTTCTCAGAAAAAGACTAAGGTAATATAACAGGCAATCACCTTCTGGCTGTGAGCTCCTCAGCAGAGTCCTCATCCTGGGCACCGATGTTGTTCGTGTCATACGTGTCGTCATATTCGTCATCGTACTCGTAGTCCGGTAGGTTGTCATACATGCTGGCCTGGTCGCGTGACCCGTAGGCATCGTACGTTGCCTTCAGCTGCTTCACAGTAGACTTGTCATCAAGGGAGATGTCATCACCTCTTTGAAACAAACATCAGCAGTACAGTGAGTGAGTGAGTTGGGTTAAACACTGCTTTGAACAGCATTCCATGGCATATCAGGTTCAGGATTTGCGGCACGTAAGACAACTGGGCCTCCCGTGCCCCCAAATGGTAGCAGATCACAATACACCAATTGATAAGAGAACAATGAAACAGCAATAACGGATTGTCATTACTTTTCTTAAGTTATCAAATGTGTAGGTTCTAGACCACTCCCTGTCAAATATCATTTTCAGACAGCCTCCACCCATCTCTTTCCCTGATATATCCAATCCCCAGACTGGCTCAACCCACCTCTTTCCCTGATGTCTACAAACCCTAGACAGGCTCCACCCACCTCTTTCCCTGATGTCTACAAACCCTAGACAGGCTCCACCCACCTCTTTCCCTGATGTCTACAAACCCTAGACAGGCTCCACCCACCTCTTTCCCTGATGTCTACAAACCCTAGACAGGCTCCACCCACCTCTTTCCCTGATGTCTACAAACCCTAGACAGGCTCCACCAACCTCTTTCCCTGATGTCTACAAACCCTAGACAGGCTCCACCCACCTCTTTCCCTGATGTCTACAAACCCTAGACAGGCTCCACCCACCTCTTTCCCTGATGACTACAAACCCTAGACAGGCTCCACCCACCTCTTTCCCTGATGTCTACAAACCCTAGACAGGCTCCACCCTTCTCTTTCCCTGATGACTACAAACCCTAGACAGGCTCCACCCACCTCTTTCCCTGATGTCTACAAACCCTAGACAGGCTCCACCCACCTCTTTCCCTGATGTCTACAAACCCTAGACAGGCTCCACCCACCTCTTTCCCTGATGTCTACAAACCCTAGACAGGCTCCACCCACCTCTTTCCCTGATGACTACAAACCCTAGACAGGCTCCACCCACCTCTTTCCCTGATGTCTACAAACCCTAGACAGGCTCCACCCACCTCTTTCCCTGATGACTACAAACCCTAGACAGGCTCCACCCACCTCTTTCCCTGATGACTACAAACCCTAGACAGGCTCCACCCACCTCTTTCCCTGATGTCTACAAACCCTAGACAGGCTCCACCCACCTCTTTCCCTGATGACTACAAACCCTAGACAGGCTCCACCCACCTCTTTCCCTGATGTCTACAAACCCTAGACAGGCTCCACCCACCTCTTTCCCTGATGACTACAAACCCTAGACAGGCTCCACCCACCTCTTTCCCTGATGTCTACAAACCCTAGACAGGCTCCACTACTTCTTTCCCTGATGACTACTAACCCTAGACAGGCTCCACCCACCTCTTTCCCTGATGTCTACTAACCCTAGACAGGCTCCACCCACTTCTTTCCCTGATGTCTACTAACCCTAGACAGGCTCCACCCACTTCTTTCCCTGATGACTACAAACCCTAGACAGGCTCAACCCACTTCTTTCCCTGATGTCTACAAACCCTAGACAGGCTCCACCCACCTCTTTCCCTGATGACTACAAACCCTAGACAGGCTCCACCAACCTCTTTCCCTGATGACTACAAACCCTAGACAGGCTCCACCCACCTCTTTCCCTGATGACTACAAACCCTAGACAGGCTCCACCCACCTCTTTCCCTGATGTCTACAAACCCTAGACAGGCTCCACCCACTTCTTTCCCTGATGTCTACAAACCCTAGACAGGCTCCACTCACCTCTTGCCCTTATGTATCCTGCTCATGTCCACATTATCTTTGCGGAAGACATCAAACTGGTCATTGTCGAAAATATTAGCTCTCTGGTCGACCAGGCTGGATGGTATCTCCTCAAAGCTTTCCCTGACAACAGAATAATGGTCATTTGTGTTTATAGGAGACAAACATTAAGCAGGGTGTTACCTTGTTTACAAGATGCAAATTATAGCTCTGTAGCTCTGTAGCTCTGAAGCAATAATTTTATGACCTGTCAACCTTATGTTGGTACAAATATCCATGGTGAGCTATAGAAACATATGTGCAAAAAATTCTGGGGAAAAAGAAAGAAAAGTGTTTGTGTTAAAACAGTGACGCCTTCAACTAGCTTGGATCTTCTTAGGGACAAACCACTTGATATTCTGGGGGTGGGGTGGGTCTGGGAATTTCGAGATTAGATATTTTTTCAGCTACAGCTACAAAACCAGTTACCTCCATTTCAGAATGTCGAGATCTGACTGGTCCACGTGATCTTGATAAAATACGATATATCCCGCCTTGGAGAGAAATAAATTTATCAGAGGGAGAATAAATCCCTTATAGCCCGTCACAAGCAAGACAGTCTGCACATGGATTTCTGAGAGGTAGAATAAATTCCTTATACCCTGCAGAGCATTGTGACATCATTGGTTACTATGATGTCGCAATCAAATGACATCACTAATCTCTCTGCCACTGAAGCTGATTAGCTGCACTTCTTACACTTCAGACATTGGTTATTTCATTTCAGTATCTCCAGACCCCTTCGTGGTCTAGTGGTAGAGCGACCGCCCGGAGAGCGGAAGGTCCGGGGTTCGATCCCTGGCCCCGTCATACCAAAAGACATTAAAAGATGGTACTTGTTGTTACCCTGTCTGGCGCTAAGCATTAAGGGGCTAAAACAAGGACTGGTCGGCTCGGAGTCAGTATACTGTGTCTGAGTGGGGTATTCATGTTAAACTGTGGCATGGTATCTCAGTGAGCTAGCACTATAAATCGGCATCAGTCCGGACTAGTACAAGCAGCCACACAAACACACACACGTACATACACGTCGCTATATAAGTGCAATAATCTTGGACGCGACGTTAAACCCCATTTCACCTCACCTCACCTCAGTGTCTCCAAGGAGGTATCACTTGATCTCCCAAAACGACATCTCCTGTAGAAGCCAGTTTAGGATGATAAATTCTTATCATTAATGAATAACAACATTAGAAGTGAGTTGTGTTCTTTTCACTACCTTTCCATGAACCTGTCAATGTCGTTGAGAGATGGCGGGAGTTTGTCTGTCAGCACAGCGTTGATGGCCTGTTCCAAGTTGTAGCCGAACTCCTCCAGCAGCACCTGAACATAGAGTGAGTGAGTGAGTTTGGTTTAACACTGATTTGAACTGTATTTCATTTAAACCATGGCATATTAGTTCAAGTAAGGTGAAATAGGGTTTTAACTTGGCATACAAGATTATTTCACTTATATGATGATATGCATTTATGTGTGTGTTTGAGTGAGTGAGTGAGTGAGTGAGTGAGTGAGTTCGGTTTAACATCACTTTGAACAGTATTTCAGTAATATCACTGTGTGTCCGCTTAATGTGGGAGGAAAGCCCGAAGTGATGCAGATCTCAAATGTTTATCACTTTGGTGAAACCCACAAGCAAACCTAGAAACATAATTATGGCAAACCGTGTGCTTGCATGCGTGCATGTGAGCAGGCATGGGTCTCCTAGTCCTAGTTCATACTTTTTATCAGAGACACAGAGATGAGAATGGACATTTTCCTTTTCAGCTGAAACTTAGCTGGAGCGTGGTCCATAAATTGGGGGTGTTCAGTGGGGAAGCCATCAGGTTTTAACAAATTTGCGATCACCAAAATTTTGCGAAAATCTGTGGATCCATGGAAGATTCTCATTCCTGGAGATACCATGCGTCAGTTTAACATGAATACCCCACTCAGACACAGTATGCTGACTCCGAGCCCACCAGTCCTTGTTTTAGCCCTTTTATGCGGAGTACCAGGCAGGGTAATAAAAAAATACCATCTTTTAATGTCATTTGGTATGACGCAGTGGGAATTAAATCACCAACCTTCCCCTGTCCAGGCAGAGTGAGTGAGTGAGTGGGGTTTAATGCCGCTTTTAACAGTATTCCAGTTATATCGCGGCGTGTCAGCTTAATGTGGGAGGAAAGCCTGAAGTGATGTAGGTCTCAGACATTTACCACTTCGGTGAAACCCACGAGCACGGGTATGGTGCTGACACATCTAGAAACAATCAGGGCGAACGGGGATTCGAACCCACAATCACAGGTTTCTGGCATGCCCAAGGGATGCAACTCTGCACAGCGAACCACGGCGCCTTAGACGACTGAGCCACCCGTGCCCCCTGTCCAGGCAGATGCTCTATCCACTAGCCACAGTAGTAACCGTCTCCGTGGTCCATTGGATAGATATTTACATGTATCACTTTAGTTAAATCCATGAGCATGGGTATGAAACTGACAGACTGAGGATCATAAACTTGAACCTATGACCAGCAATTCCTGTCATGACTAAGGGACATAACTCCATACAGTGTAATGGGTTTTATCATCGCGTCCAAGATTATTGCAAATATATAGCGACGTGCATGCATGTGTGTGTGTGTGGCTGCTTGTACAGGTCCGGACTGATGCCGATTTATAGTGCTAGCTCACTGAGATACCATGCCGCAGTTTAACATGAATACCCCACTCAGACACAGTATACTGACACCGAGCTAACCAGTCCTTGTTTTAGCCCCTTAATGCCGAGCGCCAGACAGGGTAACAACAAGTACCATCATTTAACGTCTATTGGTATGACGCGGCCGGGGATCGAACCCTGGACCTTCCGCTCTCCGGGCGGACGCTCTACCACTTGACCACAGAGGCGGTCTAATCTGTCAAGCCATGAAGAAGCAGGTGGTCCTTAACTATTTTGGCGTAGCATAAATACAATCCTCAAAAAGTATTTTTACCTTTGTAGCAGAATGGTCAGGGGCGTTATCACATACAAAACATATTTACATACAGTTTTAAGCTCGGTAGAGTGAAAGTATGGTTTTACCCATAGTTTTACCAATATTCCAGCAATATCACTGCAAGGGGGACACCATATGCTAGGAAGACATACAGATATAGTAAACACACCTGAGGGCCCACTTGCATAAAGCTACCTTAGCACTACAACTTTCGTAAGTCAATGCTAAAGTATGGGAGTTACGATCATCGTAAGATCGCTTAGTGCAAGTGGACAGACAGTCCACAGTGACTATGGTGACTTGTTTTGTTGATTGTAAGCATTTCCTACCTCGATAAAGCCGTCCCCAAGTTCAGGCAACAGATCCTTCACAGATGAGACGAGAGAGTCTATCTCAACGATGGACGGACGTGGTGCACAAGCTCCATGAAGGTCCTGGAACAAATACATAGAGGTTATCAGGCTTATACTGAGCAAGCCTCCATGAAGGTCCTGCAACAAATACATAGAGGTTATCAGGCTTATACTGAGCAAGCCTCCATGAAGGTCCTGCAACAAATACATAGAGGTTATCAGGCTTATACTGAGCAAGCCTCCATGAAGGTCCTGCAACAAATACATAGAGGTTATCAGGCTTATACTGAGCAAGCCTCCATGAAGGTCCTGCAACAAATACATAGAGGTTATCAGGCTTATACTGAGCAAGCCTCCATGAAGGTCCTGCAACAAATACATAGAGGTTATCAGGCTTATACTGAGCAAGCCTCCATGAAGGTCCTGCAACAAATACATAGAGGCTATCAGGCTTATACTGAGCAAGCCTCCATGAAGGTCCTGCAACAAATACATAGAGGCTATCAGGCTTATACTGAGCAAGCCTCCATGAAGGTCCTGCAACAAATACATAGAGGCTATCAGGCTTATACTGAGCAAGCCTCCATGAAGGTCCTGCAACAAATACATAGAGGTTATCAGGCTTATACTGAGCAAGCCTCCATGAAGGTCCTGCAACAAATACATAGAGGCTATCAGGCTTATACTGAGCAAGCCTCCATGAAGGTCCTGCAACAAATACATAGAGGTTATCAGGCTTATACTGAGCAAGCCTCCATGAAGGTCCTGCAACAAATACATAGAGGTTATCAGGCTTATACTGAGCAAGCCTCCATGAAGGTCCTGCAACAAATACAAAGAGGTTATCAGGCTTATACTGAGCAAGCCTCCATGAAGGTCCTGCAACAAATACATAGAGGCTATCAGGCTTATACTGAGCAAGCCTCCATGAAGGTCCTGCAACAAATACATAGAGGCTATCAGGCTTATACTGAGCAAGCCTCCATGAAGGTCCTGCAACAAAAACATAGAGGTTATCAGGCTTATACTGAGCAAGCCTCCATGAAGGTCCTGCAACAAATACATAGAGGCTATCAGGCTTATACTGAGCAAGCCTCCATGAAGGTCCTGCAACAAATACATAGAGGTTATCCAATCTCATTTAAATCAGACCTTAGTTCTCGCTACCGCTAAACAAAGATCTGAAGACATCCCATTAGGGGTCATGTCAGACCGACCTTTCATCCGACCAATCAGAGCGTTGCTTACCAGATCATGAAAGTGACAGTCGGAATGTGATTTCTAATCATACAACCTCGAAAACTTTAACATGGGGTATACCGAACAATAGTTACGTGTTTAAGGGCTGATTCCTTACAATCTAGACCATCTATTAGCCATTCCAGAATGGGTTTTTTTCAGGTTTTAAATTTTTAATCAGAATTTGCCAAATTATGTTTCGAAGCGAAGTCTCCAATTTGAAATTAGTGCCGTAAAGCACGAGAAAGCTGCCTTTTGATTGGTCATTCCATTTGTCGGTCAAAGTTCTCGCAAGGTCGGTCTGACGTGAGCCGTAATGGGACGTCCTCAGATCTTTGTTCAGCGGTAGCGAGAACTAGGATCTGATTTTAATGAGATTGAGAGGTTATCAGGCTTATATTGAGCAAGCCTCCATACACTTGATGCATGCGCAAAGCGCTAACATTATTACTCCAGTAAATGTTTGTTTGTTTGTTGTTTAACGCAGCACTCAGCAATATTCCAGCCACATGACAGCAGTCTGTAAATAATCAAGTCTGGACTAGACAATCCAGTGATTGACATCACGAGCACCAACTTACACAATTGGGATATGATGATATGCATCAACCATGACAGTGAGCCTGACTATCTGATCCCATCAGTCGCCTCTTACGGATCAGTGTGCACTCAGTTTTCATTCTCAGCTCCCTGGGGAGTATACAACCCAGGATGCCCATGAGGGGCCAGAAGGTTGAGAGTCATATTACCATCTCACCCAACCTGGTAGCCATTTACACTGCTGGGTGAACACGGGCATATTACAAAGTCACATGTGCTACATGTGCCTCAGTGCGGGGCAGGACCAAAGTCTCATGACCGTTCACATTTATTTGTAAACACTCACTCATTTATAACATGATGACTAAACAAACTGATCACATCCATACAAATTTTGAACCACCACATACAGTAAACTATTTCCGTATATTCTTGAGTATAGTGCACACTTTTTTCCCAATAAACACAGCTATGTAGAAGGGGGTGCGCATTATACATGCCATAATGAGTTTTGATGTTGAAATATATCATTCCTGATTAAAAAAATAGTTCCAGATACAATTTTTCCTGATCCTTGCATTAAATCCTATAAAGTTATAATATTGGGAAAGTTTTAACCGAATCACCGGTAGATTCCAAGAAAATGTGTGTGCAGCTGATTGCTGTTTCTGGCTTAGTTTACGAGAAAATACACACGGTAATCGTAATTTCTGCATGTAAAACAATGCCTAGCAGAATAGAAAATACAATTTAAACAGCAAACAACATGTCTGGTAAAATTTTTAATCTCAAATTTCAAATTTGTACTGACCAAGTTACTTATCACACATACGTTAACCTGAATTCGCTGAAGGGGTATGGTGTAATTTTCTTCTGCATATTATATTAAAAAAAAACATTTTACCAAAATACTGAATCCCCAAGAGGGGGATGCACATTATACTCAGGTGTGCACTATACTCAAGAAATTATGGTAGGTCGTTTTAAGCATATTTACAGCATATATACCAGTACAGCAAATGGCCGGGACCAAAAAACAGTTTGTTATATCCATCAGGTCATTAAAAGCATGTTGGTTATAAACATAATTTACTACTTACATAATCCTCTGTCTGATAGACGTCTCCACCATAACCCTGGCTGGAGTAGTCGTCCAGTGCCTCTCCATCAGCCTCACCAATAGCTTCACCCCCCATCGCACCAGCCCCTCCCCCCATCGCACCTGCCCCACCCCCGATGGCCCCAGCCCCGCCCATGGCTCCCTCCTCTAGTGGCCCCGGAGAGCCATCCGGACTGGTCCTCCCCCCGGCAGACATCGCCCCCTTCGGCTTCTTCCTCTTCCCAAACGTAGCGTATGCGCTGTTGATGGCATCATGGATGTATTGCACCTGGGTCTCGTCACTGAACTCGTTAAAGATTTTATACTTCAAAACTATGGATGGAAGAAATGCATAGTGTGAGATTAAAAATTAAAATTTTTTAATATCATTGCTCTGTGCTGTAGCGCCCATGTTTACAATCAGATCAGAATTCAGTGAGCGAGCATTAGAAAATACATAGCTTATCTTTGCAAACAGTTAATGTTATTCCCGAAAAAGTTCTAACACTAACAGGTTAACAGATCTAGTCAAGTTGTTAGCACCACGCCTACCTTTTTGTGATAAAATGTGACCAGCTGACTTGAATGTTTTTTCACAAGACAGCAAGTGGCCAATCAGATTTTAATGACGAGCATGACTGCCTCCGTGGTCTAGTGGTAGAGCGTCCTATCAAAAGACGCTAAAAGATGGTATTTGTTGCTACCCTGTCTGGCGCTAAGCATTAAGGGGCTAAAACAAGGACTGGTCGGCTCGGAGACAGTATACTATGTCCGAGTGGGGTATTCATGTTAAACTGCGGCATGGTATCTCAGTGAGCTAGTGCTATAAAATCAGTGATAGTCCAGACTAGGACAAGCAGCCAAGCACCCACACATGCATGCACGTCACTATATAAATGCAATAATCTTGGACGCAATGTTAAATCCCATTTCACCTCCCCTTGATGCGAGCAATGACAGTCAGTTCCCCAGCAAGGATACATGTCACAAGATGTCTGACACATGACATCAGCATACTCCTGGAAGCTGTATCTGCTCTCATAGTCAGCCAGGAACCTGCAACCCACAAGGTCCAAGTACAAACAAGAGTTTGCCACTAACGTGGCTATATCCCCTGCCCCTGTTGCAGAATTTATGACATAAATAAATCTAAACAAACCCTAACCTTTTGTAACCGAGGTGGAACTTGTCATGGAAATTTTTTAAAAAAGAAGAGTTTGGAACCTAAGTCCATCTTGTTGCCAAGGAAACGTAAAAAATAAAAATTTCTAAAATTTCTAAATAGCAAAAGGCACCAGTTTAGCATGTACCTGACAAACCTGCAAAGTTTCATGAAAAAATATTGAACGGTTTCTGAGTTATGCTCCAGAAACGAACCCTACCCTCACAGAACCTGAGTGAGTGAGTGAGTGAGTATGGTCTTACACCGCTTTTTGCAATATTCCATCAATATCACGGCAGAGGACACCACAAATGGGTTTCACAAATTGTACCATGTTAGGAATCAAACCCAGCCTTTGCAATGACAAGCTAACACTTTAACCACTAGTCCACCCCACTGGCCCTCTATGCCTTAAGTAGTGAATGGTTTTGTATGTCACAGTCAGAAGCATTTTGGCTATAGAGAATCTCACCCATGTCTCTGGTCTAGTATCATGTCAATAAAGTCAATGAAAGTTTAAAACCTCAAGGCTTGCCAAGGATCTTATCTAGCTTTTATCATTGTACATATTGAGGTATGTATCGCATGATGACACAGTGTGAAGTGTTTACCTCCGTTCTCCCAACACAGCTGACATGGTGTGGAGGAAGTCTTCTATATTTTCAGCTATATCTTCTCCCCTAAAAGTCAAACACAGAGAAAACATTTTAACGTGGTGTCTAAGAAGGAGTAAAACAAAAGTGACATTTGGACAGTAACACCGCCTATACCTTACCAAACACCGCCTTCCACTCCCCAAACACCCCCTACCCCTCCCCAAACACCGCCAACACCTCACCAAGTACTGCCTACCCCTCCCCAAACACCGCCTACCCCTCCCCAAACACCGCCTACCCCTCCCCAAACACCCCCTACCCCTCCCCAAACACCCCCTACCCCTCCCCAAAACCCGCCTACCCTTCCCAAAACACCGACTACCACTCCCCAAGAACCACCTACCCCTTCCCAAACATCGCCTACCCCTCCCCAAACACTGCCTACCCCTCCCCAAGAACCCCCTACCCCTCCCCAAACACCGCCTACCCTTCCCCAAACACCACCTACCCCTCCCCAAACACCCCCTACCCCTCCCCAAGAACCCCCTACCCCTCCCAAAACACTGCCTACCCCTCCCCAAAACCGCCTACCCTTCCCAAAACACCGACTACCTCTCCCCAAGAACCACCTACCCCTCCCCAAACACCCCCTACCCCTCCCCAAAACACCCCCTACCCCTCCCCAAGAACCACCTACCCCTCCCCAAACATCGCCTACCCCTCCCCAATCATCGCCTACCACTCCCCAAGAGCTGCCTACCCCTTCTCCAGCACAGCCACCCCTCCCCAAGAGCCGCTTACCCCTTCTCCAGCACAGCCACCCCTCCCCAAGAGCTGCCTATCCCTTCTCCAGCACAGCCACCCCTCCCCAAGAGCCGCCTATCCCTTCTTCAGCACCGGCTCCCCTCCCTAAGTGCTGCCTACCCCTTCTCCAGCACCGCCTACCCCTCCCCAAGAGCTGCCTACCCCTTCTCCAGCACCGCCTACCCCTCCCCAAGTGCTCCCTACCCCTTCTCCAGCACCGCCTACCCCTCCCCAAGAGCCGCCTACCCCTTCTCCAGCACCGCCTACCCCTCCCCAAGAGCTGCCTACCCCTTCTCCAGCACCGCCTACCCCTCCCCAAGAGCTGCCTACCCCTTCTCCAGCACCGGCTCCCCTCCCCAAGAGCTGCCTACCCCTTCTCCAGCACCGGCTCCCCTCCCAAAGAGCTGCCTACCCCTTCTCCAGCACCGCCTACCCCTCCCCAAGAGCTGCCTACCCCTTCTCCAGCACCGGCTCCCCTCCCAAAGAGCTGCCTACCCCTTCTCCAGCACCGCCTACCCCTCCCCAAGAGCTGCCTACCCCTTCTCCAGCACCGGCTCCCCTCCCCAAGAGCTGCCTACCCCTTCTCCAGCACCGCCTACCCCTCCCCAAGAGCTGCCTACCCCTTCTCCAGCACCGGCTCCCCTCCCCAAGAGCTGCCTACCCCTTCTCCAGCACCGGCTCCCCTCCCTAAGAGCTGCCTACCCCTTCTCCAGCACCGGCTCCCCTCCCTAAGTGCTGCCTACCCCTTCTCCAGCACCGGCTGTATGCAGGTGTGCTCTAGGATGGTGTGGAATATCTTCTGTAAAGATCTCCTGGACTGGTGCAGCTTCTGTTTCAGCAACCTCTTGTGACTGAAATATCATAACAACCATCATGAGATCTCCAGCATCAAGACACCGTAAACTCCTATTAGTCTACAGTCTATCTTTGACATGACACATCAGGTTAATGTGTGCGTGTTTGTTGTTTAAAGTCTATCGCTAGCCAGTTTGGCCAATCAGATAAGAAGACTTTAGAGCATTTAATGTTTATGGTTGTTTAACACCCAAAACAGCAATTTTCCATCTATATGACGACAGCCTGTAAGTAATCAAGTCTGGGCCAGACAATCCAGTGATTGACATAATGAGCAACCATCCCTACATAGGGGTACGCCTACATGCCATGAACTAGGTCACAGAGCCTGAACACCTGATCTAGGGCTGGGACGGGTAACTCAGGTACTCAGGTCGAGTGGGTCCTGAGTAGGACCCGGGTACCCACAGGACTACCGTTGTTAGCCACGTAATTTATTGTTTAATAACAAAAATTATCTAAAACTCCATGGTTCCACTACAAGTCACTAATGTTCCCATTTCTTTCTGACTGTGCATCCATTCCTTCTTACTATTACATATTTGAATTAAGATAAAACTTCATGCTACAGTTAAACTTTTCCAAATCGAGAGTTTGTACCTATCTCTAGATATCTACAGCGGGTACTCGGGTTAGGTCAGATAATAGGGTAACGGGTACCCGGGTAGTAAATTTGGACTCGTCGTCTATGTTATTTGTAACCATGGTAACATTCCTCACCTCATTGTCTCAAATTGTCGCACTTTTAGAGCAGCTTGTATCTCAGGAACAATCCCTTCATAAAACGAGGCTAATCTGAAACAGGTTGAAGCAAAGTGAGTGAGTGAGTGAGTGAGTGAGTGAGTGAGGCTAATCTGAAACAGGTTGAAGCAAAGTGAGTGAGTGAGTGAGTGAGTGAGTGAGTGAGTGAGTGATGCCATCTGAACAACTTTCCCCCAAACCATTAAATATTTTATATAAATAGACATTCTTCAAACCTTACAACTGAAGAGCAAGCCACTAGATACAATAATTCATGAATAATTTTGTGGTTAGAAATCATGGAAAATTCCCAAATCAAAGTTCCAACATACTTCTGTTCGAACCGGAACTCGTGGAAGATGTGGGCAGCTGGCGGGTACACGTCGAGGAAGTTGGATATCGTGATGGCCGTGTCCGCCAGGTAGAATATCACATCCTGGAAATCCTTCACTGTCATGGTGTGGAGTCGCGGATCCTTACTGCGGGCCTTTCCCAACTTCTCAGGCGTGAAGGACGAGGTCACACCGCACATGTCCTGGGTGTTCTCCAGCACCTGAAGGTCAAGGTCAGGAGGTCAGCAGGTCAAGGTCATGCATTCCAGGCCAAGTGAAACTCAATGCCCTGCTTGAAAAGATTTAGGATTTCATGTGTGCCCAGTTGCTTGACCTTCACTGAGGATGCAAGGACATCAGGTGAAGAGGTTAATCTGATTCTTAATCTTCACAGAAGATGAGTGAGTGAGTGAGTTAAGTATTTCAGCCATATCAAGACGAGAAGTACATTAATAATCCATAGATTTAGACTAAATAAACAGCTGTCAACGAAGGACAGTACAATAACTAGGATATCACAGAATCGATTTAAAACTAGTTGAGAATATATAAAAACCATAAGTACCAGTGAACAACACAATATAAAAATGGGCTAGGGATCGTCAGTAACTAAAGGGAGATCACCATACCAGGGACCATGGGGACTTACAGTGCCTTTGCTTCCTGCATGGACCCTGGCAGGATTTACACCATCCCTTCAGTCGCTGGCGATGGTATGCAAGTTTAGCCATTGAATAAAACTAACAAATATACTTCGATTAAAAAGTCTGGTATGCATAAAAATACTACGAATGATTTGGGACTTACACAGAGGATGAAAACAATGGAACACTTCACATGTTTGTTTGTTTTGTTTGTTGGTTGGTTAAAGCCGCGCTCAGCAATATTCCAGCTATATGACAATGCTCGTCGTAAGAGGCAACTAACAGGATCGGGTGGTCAGGCTCGCTGACTTGGTTGATGCATGTCATCATATCCAAATTGCGTGGATCGATGCTCATTATGTAAATCACTGGATTGTATGGTCCAGACTTGATTATATACAGACCGATGTCATATAGCTGGAATATTGCTGACTGGCATTAAACAACAAACAAAACATATTGTCTGTACATTTTTTGTGAGGATACTATGAGTGAGTGAGTAAAATTTAACGTCACATCGGCAGTATTTCAACCATATCGTGACGATGTGGTGATACAAGACATGTTTCATTTTTCATCAACATGTATCAGTTTACAAACTGGTCTCCTTATTTGCACATCATGTGAATCCTGAAAAAAGTTTGTATGAATGTATTTTCTTCCTATCAACAAACACCCAATTATATTTTTGTGTCCAGTATGTTCACAAAATCCTTTCTCCTAAGCATGTATATCCCAGAACATACTTGTATGATAGTGGGGATGGTTGCCCGCAAGTCGTCGGCATACTTTGGCTGCTGAGTGAAGATATTTGTGATCATTTTTGTGAGAAGAGCTCCATTCCCACCGCCGTATAGAACACATAAGTCCAGCAGCTTCGGCACGTCGAAGATGAAGTTCTCATACAGGATGTCACCAAATACACTAGGAGTGATGTGGTCATCCTACAAACAAATAAACATGTTTGATAAAATTCAATCTCATTAAAATCAGATCTAAGTTCTCGCTGCCGCTAAACAAAGATCTGAGGACATCCCATTACGGGTCATGTCAGAACAACCTTTCGCGAACTTTGACCGACCACTGAAATGACAAACATCAGCCAATTAGAAGGCAGCTTTCTCGAGTTTTACGACACTCGTTTCAACCTGGCGACTTCCATTTCAGAATACGCTTGAAAAATATGTTGGAACAGTTCTCGATTAAAATTTTGAAAACTGAACAAACGAACATATAATATATGGTTGAGATTGTATGGCAGTGCTTCCCACGTACTGTGTAATGCCTCCTCCATTCAAATGTTTGACCCACATAACAGTTGCTCGGGATATTGTGAGTGTCCTGGGCCCACTTGCAAAAGCAATCTTAGCGCTAAGATAATCGTAACTCCCATACTTTAAAACAGACTTACAGTAGTCGTAGCACAAAAATCTCTTTGTGCAAGTGAGCCCAGGTCTGGGATAAATGGGGGCACGAGTGGCCCAGTCGTGCAAGGCGCCGCGATTCGCTGTGAAGAGTTGCGTCCCTTAGGCACGCCAGAAACCTATGATTGTGGGTTCGAACCCCGGTTCGCCCCGATTATTTTTCTAGGTTTGTCCGCACCATGCCCGTGCTCGTGGGTTTCACCGAAGTGGTAAACGTCCGAGACCTGCATCACTTCGGGCTTTCCTCCCATATAAAGCTGACACGCTGTGATATAACTGGAATACTGTTAAAAGCGGCTTTAAACCCAACTCACTCACTCACTCACTCTGGGATAAATCGGACTGGTTGCTTGGAGATGTTATAAATAGGATACGACTTGGGCTGGATGTGACACACGTTAGCTTCATTTACAAAACATTTATATACGTTGTTGTCTCCCGACTTTCGTAAGAATGTGACCGAGAAGAAGTTGAGTGGTATTGTTCGGACTCACAGACTTGAGTGAATTAGTGAGTGAGTGAGTATGGTTTTACGTCGCTTTTAGCAATAATCCTGCGATATCACGGCGGGGGACACCAGAAATGGGCTTCACACATTGTACCCATGTCGGGAATCGAACCCATGTCTTCAGCGTGATGAGCGAACGCTTTAACCACTAGGCTACCCGACCACCCCCTTGAGTGAATTAAAGACTGCATGCAGCTAAATAATCTTCCCATTCAGTGTCTTAACACAAACACCTACTTTTTAAAGAATGAAATATTGAGGAAATCTTCTAAAGTTACCATCTTTACTGTAGTACAACCTCTTCCATCTGGACACTCAGAATAGCCCCATCATATTTCAAGTAGTATACAGTCAAACACTGTTGTGTCAAACAAATGGTTATCTCAAAGTAAAAATTTTGTCCCTGTGCATTCCTTCTTTAATCATCATTATAATATTTAACCTCCAATGTGTCGAATCGGATGTGTCGAAGTTACTTTTCATTCCCAAGTATATACTTCCAGTACAAATTTACTCTGATTAGACGATCTTGGCATCTGTATGCCAAGTTATTTTTCACTTGTGTCGAGCCTCGGATAACTCGAAGCATTTAAGTAGGTCCCTTCAATATCAACACAATGGTGTTAGGCTGCATTTAACTTGACTGTCAAATGTCACATGTTCTGCTGATCAAAATGTCCTAATAGGGGCTCTGGGGTAGTGTTGGACCCCAGCATCTTGTGAGTGAAAAAAGGCCCATGTCGTATCATGCTTATTGTACAAGGCCACTTTGTGATATCGTGGGATCAGGTCCCGTGATTACAGGTTGCCGTATTGCTGGAATATTGCTGAGTGTTGAGGTTGACTGTCAAATGTTGTGCTAATCAAACTGTACTGTTTACTGTTTTTATTGACAGATGGGGTCATATTCAGCAGATCCTGGCACAGCTAAGGGAAGCAACTCTATACAATGAATTGTTGCTCCTTAGGCCACTGGGCCATTTAAAGATGTTATTGATAAACATATCTGACTTAGGACACGTTCCGACCTTTGATTCCTTGTGAGTGGCCATTCTGACGCAGGTCATGAAGACAAGGCGATGTACCTCCAGGTGGCGCTCCCTCCCATCATTTGGGAGGTCATAGATGACATCATACGACCTGGAAATAGGACACAAATTACAACTTTTTATACGAGAGGCGTGAAATGTCAAACATAAACACTGATAAAGTTACAGATAATTGTGAAATATTGTCGAACATATAACCAGCCTTTTTTTCCTATTATCAGTTTACTTGCATGTTTTTACAGTATATACATATGTCTATAGCATGTATAGAGTGAGTGTAACAGAACAATATTTGGAACTTCATGTGCAAGGGAGGACCTCACAATGAGCAAATGAGTGACGACAAATTGTTTGTCCCTTTACCTATATTTACTTAGAGATCAGTTTCATACTAAACTTGCTCATATTCAAATACCGTATTCGACGTAATAAGCGCCCCGCTCTAATAAGCGCCCACAGCGATATTTGCTTATATATTGGCTAGTGAACAATCTCATTCAGCACCCTTTCCGATTGATCAATGCACACAATACTTATTTATTCCTGTATAATACGCACTCGTGTGCTACATGCACCCTTAATTATGGGCAATTACATTCTGGAAAAATATATCTGTCGTATATAAACATTTCAGGCTGTCAGCATAAACCACGAAATTTATCTTTCAAGTCTGTTTTTTTCACCCAAGTAACATTCTAATAAGAGCCCCCTATTACTAATTTTGAGTGCGCCCTGGGCGCTTAATACGTTGAATACGGTATCCAAAAATGTCTCCTGGAAATCTTCAAAACCAGATTTTTCTACACCTTTCAGACTTACCTTTACATTAAAGTGCTGTTGTAAGTCCAAAATATGCACAATTTGGAAAGTAAAATTCTTATACTTATTTATATGAATTCAACCAAAAATTTTCATAACAATAGTATCATGCCTTTGAAAACTTGGTTGCAGTTTTCAAAAATATGTTGCATATGTTGCACTGGTTTATTAACACAATGTTTGAGTGGAGTGAGTGAGTAAGTTAGTATGGTTTTACACCGCTTCTAGCAATGTTCCAGCAATGGGTCATTTACCCATGTGGAGAATCGAACCCGGGTCTTTGGCTTGACAAGCAAATACATTAACCACTAGGCACCCACACCACCCCTCGTATAGTGTAAAAAGACTTGCAGCCTGGTGTGTCTCCAGAAGCACAGCAACACGTTGGATCACCCCTACTCAGAAAGAAGTACAGAGCTTGTACTTCCTGCCAGGTAACCTCGTTTGCATATTTATCAGATCATGATACCAAAATTATCGGATTGGTTTATAACATTGATGATACTTTAAGGGTTATTATATGGCAGTTTTCATATCATACCCAGTATCAACCCTCGGCCCCCTTGTTTGTTTAACGTCGCACTCAGAAATATTCACGCTATTTGATGGCGGTCTGTAAATAATCTGGGCCAGACAATCCAGTGATTGACAACATCAGCATCGATCTATGCAATTGGGATATGATGACATGAATCAACTAAGACAGCGAGCCTGACCTACCAATCCCGTTAGTTGCCTCTTACGATAAGCATAGTCGCCTTTTACAGCAAGCATGGGTTGCTGAAGACCTATTCTACCCCGGACTGTCATGGGTTGACGTCGAGGGTTGATTCTGGAGTCGTGGGTTTATATGGGGTCGGGTATGAAAACTGCCATATAATAAGTATTTTATCACATACCATGACATCAAATTGTAAAATGAATCTAATTAAATGTAATACATTTTCACCTTGTTTGGAAGACATTGTCACGGAAAAGCTAGCCGTGCAGACTACGCACAAAGGGATGTAACTCCAATTTCTTACCACCCTGTATGGATCGCCTATTCAAATTGCATTGACAAGCCTTATCAGCCTGGCAGGGGTGTAATACGGGTCTGGTTATTACACAGTTTAACTCCAGAGCTAAATCAGTCGTAAGTTTCTAATCTTTCTACACGTGTGTATGGTTACCTTGGAGAGAAGCGAAGGTACGTGTCCAACAATGTCAACAAACTCTCATTAAACACAGCCTGAAACAATAATAAACAACATTTCAGTGAGTGAGTTGGGTTTAACGCTGCTTTTAACAGTATTCCAGTTATATCGCAGCGTGTCAGCTAATGTTGGAGGAAAGCCCGAAGTGATGCGGGTCTCAGACGTATACCACTTCGGTGAAACCCACGAGCACGGTTATGGTGCTGACAAACCTAGAAACATAATCTGGGCGAACCAAGATTCGAACCCACAATCATAGGTTTCTGGCGTGCCCAAGGGACGCAACTCTGCACAGCGAATCACGGCACCTTAGACGACTGAGCCACCCGTGTCCCTACAACATTTCAGTACAAGAGTGAGTGAGTTAGGTATATTTGTTTATTCCTTTGATGTGTTTGATAACAGTCTGCCTACCCAAAACATGCACAAATGTTGAATAGAGAATATGTAGAGAACAAGGTTGTTTTATTTATTGTTTAACGCCACATTCAGCAATATTCCAGCTGTATGAGTCTGAACCAGACATTCTAATGATTGGCATCATGAGCACTGATCTATCCACTTGGGATATGATGACATGAATCAAACAAATCAGCGAACCAGACCACCCAATCCTGTTACTCATTTCCTAAGTCAAGCATTAGTTGCTGAAGACGACTTCTAACCCGTAAACAGGAATAAGAAATACTTTTAAGTGGGTCCGAATAGAAAGAGAACTAATAATAGTACTAACCCTATGATTTGTCATTTCTTTCAGAACAAGATTCTAAATTGTAATTTCATAATTAATTAGACCACTGACAATAACATTTTGGAGAAAAACAATCAGTACACCAAGAGATTCCATTGAGTGAGTTGGATTAATGCAGCTTTGAACAGTATTTTCCAGGTATATATGTCAGCTTAATGTGGGAGCAAAGCCTGAAGTGATGCGGGTCTCAGACATCAACCACTTCGGTGAAACCCACAGGTATGGTGCTGACAAGCCTAGAAACATAATCGGGGCGAACCGGGATTCAAACACACAATCATTGGTTTCTGGCGTACCCAAGGGACGCAACTCTGCACAGCGAATCGCGGCGCCTTAGACGACTGGGCCACCTGCCCCCCACTAGAGATTAGAAAAAGAGAAATACAATTAATTGCCAGAGTGTGTGATTCTGGGTTAGAATAGTTCCTCAGCATCCTCTTCTTATAATATAGACAATGAATGATGAAACCAAATGGATCGAGTGATCAACACTTGATTACTTGGTTGATTGTTTGTCACCATACCCTGATGGAGTGGAGAATTGCTCATCATATCAATCACTGGTTTCTCTGATCCAGAATAATTTAATTACAGGCAGTCATCCTATTGCTGAAATATTGCTGGCTGCTGCATTAAACAACAAACAAACAATAATTCAGGGATTAATCTGGGACTGTGAACTGAGAATGCTTGGCAGGCAAATTGGGAAGAATAGATATTTTGTCAAAAAACGTTTTTAATTCTTAATTTTCTAAATTTGTAGGTATTTTAACATTGAATTTCAACAATGCATTCCATTGCAAGAATGTTAAACTATGCATTAATGCCCCTTCCGCTATATTGGTCTTATCAGTGACATACAGATACCTCTACGAAGTCATAGGTGACTAACAGGATCGGGTGGTCAGGCTTGCTGAGGTGGTTGATGCATGTCATCGTATCCCAATTGCGTGGATCGATGCTTGTGATATCAATCACTGGATTGTCTGGTCTCGACTCAATTATTTACAGACCACCGTCATATAGGTGGAATATTGCTGAGTGTGGCATTAAACAACAAACAAACAAAAAGTTACAACCTATAATAGCATGACTTGGTGAATGTTTAATTCCAATTTGGGAAATTTTACTGACATTTGCTGCAGAATTGGGGTCGATATTTGTCCTCTAAGCCGTTCTAGTTAAATCTGTGTAATTGTTCATTGTTTCACAAGTACCTGACACCAGAACTTGTCGTGCGGAAGCTGAAGCAGCCAGTGAAGATCCTCCGCTATGAACTTTAACCTCTCCAGCCATTGTTCATATTGACCCCTGTCAGTTATGTCTGTAGGAGGCGGAGTGTAGGCAACAAACACCATCTTCTCCAGCCATTTGGGATGCTAAAATAATAGAAAATACATTTTGTAAGTTTATAACCAGAAGTTCCGATTAAAACAATTTGAAATTTAGATGCCTTTTTACTAATACTATAAAGAAACAGCTTTCCATAAATAATAGTGCAAATATTTTGATTCAGAGACAATGTACAAGGTTAAATTGAAGTGAAGCCAGAGCCAATTGGTATACTATTGGGTGACAAACAGATTCTATATCACACCAATGTATTGAGTAGTTCCTATCAATTCAAGGAGTTGAAACTGTTTTAAAGATGGTTAGACTTGTCTCAATCATTTTATCAGGCACTTTTACTTAGTTGTTGTTTTTAAACAACTTAAACAACAAATTCTAAGCTTGTCTTCTAAAGTACGGCAAAGAAGAGAAGTGTCTTAACTGTATTCTTATTGCACAACATAAAAATCCGACATTTTTAGCCTTTTGCTTACAGACGGCAAACTTCAATTTCTTGACAAGTTTGTCTAATCGGTTTATGACAGCTTAGTATCCATTGCCATAAGAAGATATTTATACGATACCAATGCTGGTAGATGATCCCTCTTGCCGCTACTGTCATCAAATGGAACTTGTTTCTTGTCAAGTGGAGCGGTCATGTTGTCACTCACTTTCAGCCTAAACAGATGGCCTTCACCTTGCTAAGGGATCATTCATTATCAATGGTAAATCATCAGTGTTCTGCTTTTGTTTTTATGCGTATCAACCAAAAAATCGTGTTAAGTGGAAATTATAATAGCTAGCTGTAAGTAAAATGCTGAATCAGATCGTATATTCGTGTATCTGTCGGAACGAAATAGGGAAACCCTCTTTAGATGATTGACAGGTGCTCCCTCATTTACTGCGGACTAGGCGTCATGGCGGTGAGTAAGGAAGAGTACCTGAAACGTTATATGTCGTCAGATGGAAGAAAGGAAAAGAAAAAAAGGAAGAAGAAGGACAATGCGTCAGGCAAACATGGGTATAACAATGCTTATTCCTGTTAGTGAGCGTCGTGATTCAATTAAGCGGTAAAATCAGTGTAATGGATATTACGCGCAACACACAAGTGCCCCAGTTTTCGTGCATTGTCATGCCACATTCATGGAATGTAAACATGGCAAATCGAAGGGGAGCAGTGCACTTTACCGGGCGCATCTTTTATATCGCCAGTTGGCTCAGTCTGCCGACGGTGGCTCTCACTTTACAGATCTCGCGTACCTCGTCGGTCCTTAGTTGTGTTTTTGTTAGGTAGATTACCACACCAACTCTTTCCTTAGCTCTTGGATCCCTTTACCGATCGAGCACCCCTTGTTCATGTTGTTATCATTAGGGTGAGGTACCAATTTCCAATCAAACACCCATGCACTATCCTGAGGGTTGGACACCACTTGCCAATCAAACACTCCTTTACAATCTTTAGGCATATGAACCCCTTTACAATCCTTAGGGTTTGTTATGATGTAGGGTATGGGTTAGTTATCGCATTTATGGAATTAATCCAATGTTATTTGAGGAAAGTCCGTACATTTGTTTTTATCAAGTTTCAAGTTGTAATTATTTGTGATGGCACCCATATTGGCTAATTAGATAAATTCATTAACCTAGCTTAGATTCAAGCTGGAAAAGTGAGTTTGATCCTCCATGCGTCTCTAATTGAAATCTGAAAAGTGTACTACCCCCATGTGCCAGACCTTTTCGTATTTTAATTAGTGCTGTGTGGAGGATGGACTTCGTGTTGTCAACTTGAAGCTAAGCTTGCCTAATCGGCATGTTGAGTTAATTTAATTAGCCAACACTTTACCATGAGACCACTTTACTGTGAGGCCATGGCACTATCAGTGTAAATGTTTTCTTTTACACCAAATAGCACAAGTTCTAGGGAGAACTTTAGATTATGAGCATGTGAACATTTCAGATGAGCTGCCAATTGTGGATATTTTTTTAATGTCTGATTAAAAAATGTATCTATGTCATAATTCTCTTTTTGGTGACAAACAAATTTGACCCTGGTCCTTCATCGTCAATAATTTACTGGCATGTACGAATACATAGCGTGAGAGTTTTCATCACACACTCACTTCGAAAGAGACGAAGAAATCGCCCTTGCTGGGGTTCGATCCCGTCTCAGTCATACCAAAATACGTTGGTACTTGTTGTTACCCTGTCTGGCGCTCGGCAAAAAGGGGCTAAAACAAGGACTGATCAGCTCAGAGTCAGTATACTGTGTCTGAGTGGGGTATTCATGTTAAACTGTGGCATGGTATCTCAGTAAGCTAGCACTATAAACTGGCATCAGCCCGGACTAGTACAAGCAGCCACACACACACACACACACACATGCATGCATGTCGCTATATATTTGCAATAATCTTGGACGCGACGTTAAAACCTGTTTCACCTCAACTTTAAATATGTTAACAGTTTGCGATGTCACAATACAAGTGTCACCTGATATGATACATATTTCAATACAAGAGACACAGTACGATACGCATCCCAAAACTGCATATACAACATTTTGTGAAGAAAACCCACATTAGACCATTCGACTGAGAATAGTGTGAGTGAGTATGGTTTTACGCCGCTTTTAGCAATATTCCAGCAATATCACGGCGGGGGACACCAGAAATGGGCATCACACATTGTACCCATGTCGGGAATCGAACCCGGGTTTTCTGCATGACGAGCGAACACTTTAACCACTAGGCTACCCAACCGCCCGACTGAGAATAGAGTCCATAGACTCAGTCATAAAGCGGCTTTTGAAACTGTCAGTTCTTGTAAACTGGCAACTCTAAAATTTACCAGTTCCCCCCTAATTTTTGCCAGTCCCAACTTTCAACAAATAAAAAAAGGTATGAAAATTATTTGATATTAATTCTTTCAACATCATGTTCAGTGCAAAGATGTCATCACTGAAGTTACAGTTAGATGATGACCTTAGATCTATACGTCAGTCACACAAACTTCAGTCACAATTTTCTCTCTCTTTTTTAATATTTCGAGACGAAGCTGCTACAGATGGTGGTAAAAGACAAGCTGACTTTGTTCGAAAAATGTACTTATATTCATATAACCAATGTTTTGTTCAACAACAAAGATTTATAAGGTACTTTATTTGCCAGTCCGTGTGGACTGGCAGCCACATGAATTACCGGTCCAAGCCTAATTTTACTGGTAATTACCGGTAAACCGGAACGCTGTAAAGGTAAAGAAGGACCCCTGACTAATACCCATCAACATGACACTAAGTCAAGTCAAGTCAACTATTCTGTATTAGAAAATACTAAGAAACAAACAAGTTCATGTACTGTATTACGACAGGCAGCAAGGAAAAGCTGGTCAGTCTTGTTATCGGGTTGTTTTGTATCCGAAAGACAATCAAGAAAGTTATGAGGAATTAAAAATATACATGATATATTTCGTACTTATTGATATCGATACGAGATCAACAAAGACAATTGATATGGGTTTAGATGTGAATCGATGCCAAATTAAGTGTATCAGGTATATCATCGAGCAAAGTTTGCTGATGGTGCACGAGTGTACCCGTGAATCTCAACATCACTATTAACTGTATATTTCTTCAACAGATTTTAATTCTCTACATTTTCCCTTTCAGGATGCAAATTATCGATGATGACATCACCGTAAACCACCTGTTGCCTAGCAACCTGCATAATACCCTGGAGGAGGATGTTGGTGACAACGAGCCGACGGTGGCTGATGTCATTGACGAGAGGCCGGAGCACATCAAACGTATGGAGGAGTTCCAGGATAGTCAGCGATGGAAGGGAGTTAACCATCGGAAAACAGGTAAGGGAGACACTGTTTAGCACTACCTGAGACCTGCATTAACCCTTCTTAACAGTTTATTTAAGGCATCCCTCTGAACTGCCTTGAACCCTCTCCAAGAACTCATTTAACCCTACTTGAGTGTTGCGTTAAGTCGTACCTAAGAACTGACTTTAATCAAAGTTAAAAATTGATTTAAGCCGTACCTGAGAACTAACTTTAATCAAAGTTAAAAATTGATTGAAGCCGTACCTCAGAACTTACTTTAACCCAAGTTAAAAGTTGAGTTAAGCCGTAACTGAGAACAGACTTTAACCCAAGTTAAAAGTTGTGTTAAGCCGTACCTGAAAACTGACTTTAACCCAAGTTAAAAGTTGAGTAAGCCATACGAGGCCCACATTACAATACATCGATTTACAACCCCTGTATCATAATAGATATGTTACATTTCATTACAAGTTACAACCGCCTCCGTGGTCTTGTGGTAGAGCGTCCGCCCGGAGAGCGGAAGGTCCAGGGTTCGATCCCGGGCCGCGTCATACAAAAAGACGTTAAAAGATTGTACTTGTTGTTACCCTGTCTGGCGCTCGGCATTAAGGGGCTAAAACAAGGACTGGTCGGCTCAGAGTCAGTATACTGTGTCTGAGTGGGGTATTCATGTTAAACTGCGGCATGGTATCTCAGTGAGCTAGCACTATAAATCGGCATCAGTCCGGACTAGTACAAGCAGCCACACACACACATACACGTGCATGCACGTCGCTATATAAGTGCAATAATCTTGGACGCGACATTAAACCCAATTTCACCTCACCTCACCTCATTACAAGTTACAATGGTGTTAAAACGTGAATAACAGAAACTGTTCAACAAGCAGCTTATGCAGATTCTGTAGTATTTCATGGTTGGATATAAATGGCATGACATTCGATTTAGGGTTGTACTTGCAAAAAGAAAGAATATCAATTTGTGAAATGAAAGTACTGTATCGGGATACATATCATATCACACCCATAGTATCAGGATGTGTATCGTATCGCAACATTACCGTATTATTACACATCTACTCCTCGGAAATATTGCTTGAACTCCCCAACGCGGTATCTCCTGTGGAAATCAGTTTTGGAAGATAAAACTCAATATTAGAAGTGTGTGAGTAGGATTTTGTCATTTTTTTGCAATATTTCAGCAGCATCATACATAGCAGGGACACCAGAGTGAGTGAGTGGGTTGGGTTTAACGCTGCTTTAAACAGTATTCCAGTTAAATCACGGCGTGTCAGCTTAATGTGGGAGGAAAGCCAGAAGTGATGCAGGTCTCAGACGTTTACCACTTCAGTGAAACCCACGAGCACGGGTATGGTGCTGACAAACCTAGAAACATAATCGGGGCGAATCTGGATTCGAAACCACAATCATAGTTTTTTTGCGTGCCCAAGGGATGCAACTCTGCACAGCGAATCACGGCGCCGTAGACGACTGGGCCACCCATGCCCCCCAGGGACACCAGAAGTGGGCTTCACACATTGTACCCATGTGGGGTATTGAACCTGGGTCTTCAGTGTGGCAAGCAAATGCTTTGCAGGCATGACAGAGTTCACAAATTAAAGGTGTTGTGAATGGTTACATTTTGTTGATAATAGTTGATGATTATCATGACAGAGTCTATTCATACATAAAAATCAATATACTCATTAACATAATTAATATGAGTGAGACATTTCTGGTGACTATTCATTGTTTTGTGTTTAGATGACGGTTCACCAGAGTATGGGGTGATCAAGAGAAGAGGTCGACATGATTCAGACTCTGACCAATCATCACCTAGAAGACAGAGGCATGACTCTGATTCTGACCAATCACCACGAAGAAAAGGTAGACATGATTCTGATTCTGACCAGTCTCCACCAAGAAAAGGAAGACATGATTCTGATTCTGACCAATCACCACCAAGAAAAGGAAGATACAATTCTGATTCTGACCAATCACCTTCAAGGAAAAGTAAAAGCAAACATAGTTCATCACAGTCAAAGCAATCACGAAAGGGTAGGCATGATTCAGATTCCGACCAATCACCACCTAGAAGAGGTAGGAATGATTCTGATTCTGACCAATCACCACCTAGGAGACAAAAACAATCTGACCAGTCCCCTTCAAGGAGGCATAAAGAATTCAAAACTGAAAGAGATTCTAAACAGAGAAGAAGGAAAAGCCGATTTAATCATTCAGATTCTGATAATTCTCCTCCCAGAAAAAGGCGGCATGGTTCTGATAGTGACTCTTCTCCGCCTCGGAGAATCAAGAAGGAAGAGGATGTTGAAAGTAAGAGGAAAGCCACCAAGACTTTGGGGGGAGCAAAGGCTGGTCTGTCTAGTGCTAGGGAGATGAAACAAGAGGCAGCCAAGATGAGGAAGAAAGAGGATGACATGTTTAGAAAGGTAAGATGCTGCTTCTGCCTGTTTGTGGGGCGGTCGGGTAGCCTAGTGGTTAAAGCGTTCGCTCGTCACGCCGAAGACCCGGCTTCGATTCCCGACATGGGTACAATGTGTGAAGCTCATTTCTGGTGTCCCCCGCCGTGATATTGCTGGAATATTGCTAAAAGCGGCGTAAAACCATACTCACTCACTCACTCTGCCTGTTTGTTTGTTTGTTGTTTAACACTTCATGAGCCTGATCAGCAGATCCATTGACTCGCTCCTTGTGTCCAGCCCAGGTTGCTGGGGACCAATTCTAATCCAGAATCGCAGCTTAACTTGACTGTATAATCTATTAAGGTGTTTACCTTAGCTCTTATGAGGGTGGGGTAGCCTAGTGGTTAAAGCGTTCACTCGTCATGCCAAAGACCCGGGTTCAATTCCCGACATGGGTCACCCACTCACTCTTAAGTAGGGTTTAAGTCTCAGGTATGGTTCATGGATCTTCACGGGTCTGCTGCATTTGTATTGGCACAAGATGTATTGATGTAATGAATTATTATGTTTGTTTGTGACCCTGAGAGGACTTGGACCGTTTAATCTAAATATAGCTTCTAACACGATGCAGCAATTCTGGTCCATGCAACCGCAGCTCGGAAATTTCAACCTTGACTCCAATGCAAACATTCCTTTGATTGTACTTCTTATTGGGTGTAGATATCACAGGGTGTATGAAATATCCAGAATGATATAATAGCATTACCTTTATTATTTCCATTCGGAACTGCTCATTTTAGTTTGATTTTAAGATACAGAAATTAGATTTACTGTTTGGCTTGCTTGTACTTAGAGTTTTGTAACCTGATGAGAAAGTGCATTACATGTGGCCTCCTATTGTGGTTTTTCAATTTTGGAAGCATTTTAGAATAAAAAATCTTAATTTATTGAGATTTGGTTGTAAGAATGTGTTAATTTTATTATTTATGATTATTACACAGATTGTGTGGTGTGACTATGTAGGTAATATGTTTACTACAGAGTTACAACATGTGAGACACTCCCCACAACTCAATCATTTTAACAATATCTCAGCCTATGCAGCAGTCTCATTACAAAATAGTCCTTCACAAAATAACTTTGAAGTAGTAAAAGTTTGGGAAAGTATTTCCAGTGTTAGCTCTTTCACAAAGTCTTTTGTTTAGATTGATGAAGACATGTTGGGCAAGAATGCAAAGACAGTATTTCGGGAAAAGGGAGGAAAGAAACGAAACTTTGCTGAAGAGAAAGAGAAAGAAGAGGAGGCGGAGAGACAGAAAGCCATCAAGGAGAAGAAATATGAGGAATGGGGGAAAGGGTGAGACAGTTGGTGCATTGCTTGGTTTCAAGATTCTTGGGTCCCCATGCTTGTCTCCCTGTGTAGATTCAGGGGCAGAATAGGTCCCCAGTACCCCATGCTTGTCTCCCTGTGTAGATTCCGGGGCAGAATAGGTCCCCAGTACCCCATGCTTGTCTCCCTGTGTAGATTCCGGGGCAGAATAGGTCCCCAGTACCCCATGCTTGTCTCCCTGTGTAGATTCCGGGGAAGAATAGGTCCCCAGTACCCCATGCTTGTCTCCCTGTGTAGATTCCGGGGAAGAATAGGTCCCCAGGACCTCATGCTTGTCTCCCTGTGTAGATTCCGGGGAAGAATAGGTCCCCAGTACCCCATGCTTGTCTCCCTGTGGGGATTCCGGGGCAGAATAGGTCCCCAGTACCCCATGCTTGTCTCCCTGTGTAGATTCCGGGGCAGAATAGGTCCCCAGTACCACATGCTTGTCTCCCTGTGTAGATTCCGGGGCAGAATAGGTCTCCAGTACCACATGCTTGTCTCCCTGTGTAGATTCCGGGGCAGAATAGGTCCCCAGGACCTCATGCTTGTCTCCCTGTGTAGATTCCGGGGAAGAATAGGTCCCCAGTACCCCATGCTTGTCTCCCTGTGGGGATTCCGGGGCAGAATAGGTCCCCAGTACCCCATGCTTGTCTCCCTGTGTAGATTCCGGGGCAGAATAGGTCCCCAGTACCCCATGCTTGTCTCCCTGTGGGGATTCCGGGGCAGAATAGGTCTCCAGTACCACATGCTTGTCTCCCTGTGTAGATTCCGGGGCAGAATAGGTCCCCAGTACCCCATGCTTGTCTCCCTGTGGGGATTCCGGGGCAGAATAGATCCCCAGTACCCCATGCTTGACTCCCTGTAGGGATTCTTGGACAGAATAGGTCCCCAGTACCCCATGCTTGTCTCCCTGTGGGGATTCCAGGGCAGAATAGGTCCCCAGTACCCCATGCTTGTCTCCCTGTGGGGATTCCGGGGCAGAATAGATCCCCAGTACCCCATGCTTGACTCCCTGTAGGGATTCTTGGACAGAATAGGTCCCCAGTACCCCATGCTTGTCTCCCTGTGTAGATTCCGGGGCAGAATAGGTCCCCAGTACCTCATGCTTGTCTCCCTGTGTAGATTCAGGGCAGAATAGGTCCCCAGTACCTCATGCTTGTCTCCCTGTGTAGATTCAGGGCAGAATAGCTTCCCAGTACCCCATGCTTGTCTCCCTGCAGGGATTCTTGGACAGAATAGGTCCCCAGTACCCCATGCTGTGGGGATTCTTGGACAGAATCAGTTCCCAGTACATGGAACATCATGCTTGTCTCCCCTTGTTGATTTGTGATAGAATAGGTCCCCTTTATATTGCAGCCTAAAACCACACTGCTGGTGAAAAGCTTTGAAGTAGAACTTGTGATTAATGTAGACAGTTTTCGGCCCATCCTTTAAAATTGCCACTTAACCAGAGTGGACCGTATTAGGCTTAACTAGATAAGACAATATTATCCTTAACTAGAATGGACAATAGTATGCTTAACTAGAATGGACAATATTATGCTCATCCAAAGCAGACAATATTATGCTTAACTAGATTGGACAATATTATGCTTAACTAGAATGTACAATATTATGCTCATCCAAAGCAGACAATATTATGCTTAACTAGATTGGACAATATTGTGTTTAACTACAATGGACAATATTATGCTTAACTAGAATGGACAATATTATCCTTGACCGGAGTGGACAATTTATGATGAACCAGAGCAAACAATATTATGCTGAATCAGCATCTTCCATGTTTACTTGGTGCAGGTTAAAGCAGAAAGAAGCCCTAGAACAAAGAGTGTCAGACACGCTCCATGAGGCAGCGAAACCGCTTGCCCGTTACCGTGACGATGATGACCTGGATGAGTTATTAAAGACACGGGAGAGGGAGGGAGATCCCATGGCAGCTTTCTTGAAGAAGAAAAAGAAGAATAAAGATCCAAATGTTAAAGGTAATTTCTCGTGGTTTGGTTTGGATCGCTTTTTTTGCAGGAAGGGTAACTTGTAACATGTGGGGAAATGATTCATAATTTTGCTGATGATCAGGGGAGATAACTCTCAGAACTAACTGATCACCAGGGCATACAACTCTCAGATATAACTGGCTAGGCTCTTCCCAGCAATTCATTACTTTTTCAGTACCAACGGGGGCACTGGTGGCCCAGTCGTCTAAGGCGCCGCGATGTGCTGTGCAGAGTTGCATCCCTTGGGCACGCCAGAAACCTGTGATTGTGGGTTCGAATCCCGGTTCGCCCCAATTATGTTTCTAGGTTTGTCAGCACCATACCCATGCTCGTGGGTTTCACCGAAGTGGTATACGTCTGAGACCTGCAACACTTCGGGCTTTCCTTCCACATTAAGCTGACACGCCGTGATATAACTGGAATACTGTTAAAAGCGGCGTTAAACCCAACTCACTCACTCACTGAAATGTTTATTATTGTTTCAGGCTGTGTTTAATGAGAGTTTGTTGACATTGTTGGACACTCACTCACTCACTCACTCACTCACTCACTCACTCACTCACTCACTCACTCACTCACTCAGCACCAACACCAGTGTGCAAGCAGCCATATATAGAAGAATCTCCCTGTATTTTCCCTGTAACCCCAATTTGTTTATGTGTATATTTGTGTGTATATCTTTGGCAGTGTCATAACATTGAGTTCGGAAAAGGTTTACTCTTCCCATATGAGTTTACATTGTTTGTGCAATCAGATTTCTTCGAAATTGCAACCTAGGGGAAAAGCATCCTTCTTCCCCTGAAAATTCTCACTGAACTAATTGACTGCCTCTATGGTCCTGTGGTAGAGCATCTTCCCAGAGAGATGAAGGTCGGGGGTTGATTCCCTGCCAGGCCATACCAAAATTTGTTACAAAATGGCACTTGTTGTTTCCCTGCCTGGAGCTCAGCATCAAAGGGATAAAACAAGGACTGGTTAGCTCCGATGTATAATGTACCTGAGTGAGGTATCTGTGTTAAACTGAAAGTCAGTGGGCTAGCACTATAAAACAGGCATACGTCCGGACTAGAACAAGCAGCCACATGCACACATGCATACACTTTGCTATATGGGTGTAATAATCTTGAATGTTGGGCTAGCACTATAAAACAGGCATAAGTCCGGACTAGAACAAGATGCCACATGCACACATGCATGCACTTTGCTATATGGGTGTAATAATCTTGAATGTTGGGCTAGCACTATAAAACAGGCATAAGTCCAGACTAGAACAAGCTGCCACATGCACACATGCATGCACTTTGCTATATGGGTGTAATAATCCTGAATGTTGGGCTAGCACTATAAAACAGGTTTAAGTCCGGACTAGTACAAGCAGCCACATGCACACATGCATGCACTTTGCTATATGAGTGTAATAATCTTGAATGTGACGTTAACCCCATTTCATCTCACGTTTTGATACTGAATATCACAAAATATATGTTCAATCCCCCCTTCTGACCCTGTTTCCAGAGAAGCCCAAGTACAGCGGTCCCGCCCCTCCCCCCAACAGGTTCAAGATCATGCCGGGATACCGCTGGGACGGAGTTGATCGATCAAATGGATTTGAAAAACAAATATTCACCAAGATGTCGGAAAAACGAGCTACAGAGAAGCTGGCATATAAGTGGAGCGTAGAGGACATGTGAACACTGTGGGTGACATGTGAAACTTCTGATGTGAACTCTCTGGGTGTCATGTGAAACATATGAACTCTGGGTGACATGTGAAACGTGAACTCTGGGTGACATGTGAAACGTGACATGTGAATGCTCTGGCTGTCATGTGAAACATATGAACTCTGGGTGACATGTGAAACATATGAACTCTGGGTGACATGTGAAACATGTGAACTCTGGGTGACATGTGAAACATATGAACTCTGGGTGACATGTGAAACGTGACATGTGAACTCTCTGGGTGTCATGTGAACTCTCTGGGTGACATGTGAAACATGAACTCTGGGTGACATGTGAAACATGACATGTGAATGCTCCGGGTGTCATGTGATACGTGTGAACTCTTTTGGTGATATGTGAAACATGTGACGTGAACTCTGGGTCACATCTGAAACATACGGACTCTCTGGGTGACATGTGAAACGTACAAACTCTCTGGGTGATATGTGAAACATGTCAGTGACATGTGAACACTCTAGCGGACATGTGAACACTCTAGCGGACATGTGAATGTCCTGTTTGACAAACCTGACTTCAATCTGTGTCGACATGGGACATGTTCTGTCCCTGACATAACATCCTGTTAAAGGTCAACAACATTCATGCATTCCTCCAAAACAAGCTGACATGCGGTGCCGGACTGAAATACTATTCAAAGCAGCATTAATGCAAACTCAATCACTAAAAGGCGAGTATGCTTGTCATAAGAGGCGACTAACGGGATCAGATGGTCAGGCTCGCTGACTTGGTTGATGCACATCATCGTATACCAATTGTGTGGATCGATGCTCATGATATCAACCACTGGATCCAATGGTCCAGATTTGATTATCTGCAGACCTGCGTCTTATAGCTGGAATATTGCTGAGTGCGGCGTTAAACAACAAAGAAACACAGCAAAAGATTTCACAAACATTACCATGTTTACAAGTTATTCTGGTGTAAAGACACATGAACAACAGCAGAAACAGATCAACAACCAGCTTAGGCAGATTTTCAAGCCTATTTGTTTCTGCCCTACGATATCCCATCATCAATCTCTGAAATTTAAAAAACAAATGATTCAGGGTTGGGATTCACCTGCCAAAAGAAAGAATATCAATTTATGAAATATACCGTATTCTACGTAATAAGAGCCTCGCTCTAATAAGCGCCCACGGCAATATTTGCTTATATATTTGCAAGTGAACAATCCCAATTACTATCCCTTCCGATTGATCAATGTACACAAGATTTATTTATTCGTGTATAATACGCACTCGTGTGTTATATGCACCCTTAATTATGGGCAATTAAATTCTGGAAAAATATATCTGTCGTATATAAACAGTTCAGACCGTCAGCATAAACCACAAAATTTATCTTTCCACTCTGTTTTTTTCCACCAAAATATTATTCTAATAAGAGCCCCCTATTTCTAATTTTGAGACCTCTCTGGGCTCTTATTACGTTGAATACGGTAATTACTGTATCGGGATACAAATAATATCGCACCATAGTATCGTAACACCACTATACCTTACTATTGAGATACGTGTTGTGCCATGTAATAAAGCCCTAGGTGCCGTTGTACAAAGCCATCTTAGCGCTAAGGTGATCGTAACTCCCATACCTAAACATCGACTAACAGTCACAGCACTAAGATTGTTTTGTACTATGCCACTCCGATCTGAATATTGCAGTCATTGTGAATTATTTATTGTCCTGATACAACCTATTGCAAATTCCCTCTCTGTCATTTAACTCAAATCCAAAATGTGCCTCTGCCAGGGGGCGCTCTCCTCCAGGTCACCAGAGTTACCTCCCTTAAACCCTCACTTTCAGGCTCCTTCCCTGTGTGTGACACCTTCGTTGCACTCTCGGTAACATCGCCACAAGTGTTGGCGTGGCCATTACAAGAAACTTAAACATTTGCCCTCTTACCCCTAATGTAGTAACGTTTATACTTTTGCTTATGTCTTTGGGGATGCCAGTACAGATATTTTTCAAAAAGGTTTACGACTGACCATATTTCCCAGATGAATTTAACTTTTTGTCTGTTTGATCAGATTGGTTCCAGATTGCAGACGAACGGAAAATCACCCTAATGCCCTCTTTTATTCTTACATGATAGTTGAAATAAAATAGAAATTCAAATTGACAAACAAAGAAAATAATTTAGTTAGGGTAAGAGAGCTCGGCGTCATGGCAGTCATTGCTTGTTTGTAAGCATTACAGTCCGTCGTTGCGAGTTCAACTCCAAGTATGGTTGTGACCACCTATCACAGTGGGGAGTTTTGACTGGTGGCTAGGATAGTACAGAGAGCTCTGCAAACGGGCTATCGCTGTGAGGAGCTTGCCTCACTTTCTGAAAGCCACTAAAATATTTCAAGATGAATATAATAACATCACATAATGTTCTAATTAATGGGATCTTGTTGAATTGTCTGATCACTTGTACTGCTTCTGTATTTGTTGATGCATTTGTAATCATACAAAAATAAACATTTTAATTTTTACTGTGAAAAAAAATAAATTGAAAATTTATTGAAATGAAATATCTTGGCTGTCTTCCTTTACCATGTTTATTCCCATGACACAAGTTCCCATAGAGTGATGTTCTGGGACCTGCTTCTGTTTCCTGGTCGAATCCTTTGACAGGTTTGAAGCATATTCAATTTTCAGACATCCATCATTAAATATTTGTTCAAGAATCTCTTTTTAGTATTAATCACCATGGGAATTCTATGGCAGAATAGACTAGCAGTACTGAAAGCTTGTATCCCCCGCTCCAACCTGGTGCATGTTAAACACAGGCTTATAAAGTCCTTGTTACTAGACAGTTTCAACTGTGGTTTGCCTGGTCCAGATAGTGGGTTTGAATCCCAGATTTCCCCCCATGTGGTCTTTGGCCCATCGTCACAGCGGTTGATATCTAACATGTCTAAGGGTGGCTACACATGACAAACTCTAGCTTACCAATTAATGTTTATAAAAATGTTTGCCGAGTTTGTCAAACATACGTTGATGTCTCACAACCAATCACTACTGTGTAGACATCACAATTTAGAATTACGTCTGCTACAAACTGGTGTCGGCATTTGAGAGGTGAGCAGATACTAAGTAACATGACATTTGTCGTGTGAACACACACATTGGCAAACTACCGTATTTTCTTGAGTATAGTGCACACCCATGTATAATGTGCACCCCCTCTAGCGGATTCAGTATTTTGGAGAAGAAAAAAATCGAATATCAAGCGCAGAAAAAAATTACACCATACCCCTTCAGCGAATTCCGTTAAACGAACAGGTGATGAGAAACTTGGTCAGTACAAATTCGAAATTTGAGATAAAAAATCATCAGATATGTTGATTTACTGTTTACATTGTATTTTTTGTTCTGCTAGGAATTGTTTGACATCCAGGGATTAAGATTACCCTGTGTTTTTTCTCATAAACTAAGCCGGAAACAGCAATACACACGTTTTCTTGGAATCTACCAGTGATTCGGTCAAGACACACAGAGACAATCCAGTGATTGATTTCATGATACGCAATTGGGATATGATGACATGCATCAACCAAGTCAGCGAGCCTGACCACCTGATCCCGTTAGTCGCCTCTTACAACAAGCATAGTCGCCTTTTACAGCAACCATGGGTTGCTGAAGACCTATTCTACCCTGGATCTTCGCGGGGGAGACAAGCATGGGTTGCTGAAGACCTATTCTACCCCGGATCTTCACGGGGGAGACAAGCATGGGTTGCTGAAGACCTATTCTACCCTGGATCTTCGTGGGGGAGACAAGCATGGGTTGCTGAAGACCTATTCTACCCCGGATCTTCAGGGGTGCAAACTCATGCTGTCGGGGTGAAGCCCGGTCGGGTAGCCTAGTGGTTAAAGCGTTTGTTCGTCACGCCGAAGACCCGGGTTCGATTCCGATGTGGGTACAATGTGTACAATTTCTGGTGTCCCCTGCAGTGATATTGCTGGAATATTGCTAAAAGCAGCGTAAAACCATACTCACTCATTCAGGCAATCCTTCCTGATTTAACTGACATGTCATTGAAGAACTGTAACAGTGTTCAAACTGGCAATAAATCTCACTCACTCACATTTCATTAACATGAAGGGGGTGGTGAGGTAGCCAAGTGGGTAAAGCTATGACTAAGAGCTGGGTTTGATTCCCCTCATGTCGTACGAGGATCAGGAGGTCAGGTCAGGGTCAGCAAGTGCTGGCAAACATCATATCGGCCACTGGTTTGTTGAGTTTATTTCTTTATGCTGAAAAATAGATGACTACTGCACAAAACAAAACATGACACTACACTTGGTTTAGGGTTTCACACAAAGCATAAATGTAGAGAATGGATGCAGAGAGAAATATACTGTGTTCCAAGCGATGCACGATAATATTCATTGTACCGACAGTGCATCAAGAGCAGTTACGGGTGTCTGTTAATTCAGGGGTGAGAATCTTCCGCGGAGCTGTGAATTTTTGTGACCACAAACTTGTTAAAATCTGATAGCGAAGCCCCCCTGAACCCCCATAAATGCCAAAAAATTATGGACCATGCTCCATTAAAAAGAAGTTTCATTCATTCTCATCCCTGCTTTTATATTATCCATCAATCATGACCACTGTCCACATGATCATTGATACATTCCAGGCTCTAAAGTAGTTATCAAAATGTCACTGCACCATTTCATTACTTTACAGGACCCCCATATTCCCTGCAAGGACCCCCATATTCCCTGCAAGGGCCCCCAAATTCCCTGCAAGGACCCCCATATTCCCTGCAAGGACCCCCATATCCCCTGCAAGGACCCCCATATTCCCTGCAAGGGCCCCCATATTCCCTGCAAGGACCCCAAAATTCCCTGCAAGGACCCCCAAATTCCCTGCAAGGACCCCCATATCCCCTGCAAGGACCCCCAAATTCCCTGCAAGGACCCCCATATTCCCTGCAAGGACCCCCATATTCCCTGCAAGGACCCCCATATTCCCTGCAAGAGCCCCCATATTCCCTGCAAGGACCCCCATATTCCCTGCAAGGACCCCCATATTCCCTGCAAGGACCCCGGTATTCCCTGCAAGGGCCCCCATATTCCCTGCAAGGACCCCCATATTCCCTGCAAGGGCCCCCATATTCCCTGCAAGGACCCCCATATTCCCTGCAAGGGCCCCCAAATTCCCTGCAAGGGCCTCCATATTCCCTGCAAGGACCCCCAAATTCCCTGCAAGGACCCCCATATTCCCTGCAAGGGCCCTTCAAGTCAATTATATGGGGTCCCTGGACTGCGACATTTGTACATCAAGGTAAAACAATGATGTGGATGATAATACATTTTATTCAGCACACATGATGATGGCACATGACAGTATATAGATAACATGATAGGAATTGGGGGAAAACAGCTAAAGCACTATATAACACAACTACAATTTAAGGAAATCCATCTTCAGGGCCACTGAGCAGATCAGACAGGCCCCATATATACTACTCAACTTTTGATAGGGTTATTTTTATTTTTTCATGATGCAGGAAACTGATTCTCATAATGTCGAGTTCCGTATTCGACGTAATAAGTCCCAGGGTGCTCTCAAAATTAGAAATAGGGGGCCCATTAGAATATTATGTTGGTGAAAAAAACAGTTGAAAGATAAATTTTGTGGTTTATGGTGACAGCCTGAAATGTTTATATACGACAGATAAATGTTTATATTCGAGTGTGTATTCTATGCGAATAAATAAGTCTTGTGTACATTGATCAATCTGAAGGGGTGCTAATTGGGATTGTTCACTAGCCAATATATCAGCAAATATCGCTTATTAGAGCGGGGCGCTTATTACGTCGAATACGGTATATTGATATAAATAGAATGACATATCTGATTTCCCTATCAAAAGTTAAGTAGTACAAAACTGATACACTTGACATATTATGAGAATATTTATTAAATACAATGACATATCTGATAATCCCTATGAAAGGTTGAGTAGTATAACCATATATACCATAATGTTAAGTACACTGGTATACATTACAGTATCATAAAGAGAATATTTCAAGTATCACAATATCATTAAGTCAGCACTATTGGATATATATTTATGTATATATATATTATACACGTAGCACAGTGGTAACATCAAAGACTAATCTTTCAGGAGGAGGGTAATAATAGTAATAATAATAATAATAATAATAAAAAGTATAAACATATGAAGACAATCGTTTGCAAAAGAAACGACAACACAAAATGGAAAAAGGAACTCAACTGTGTGATTCTTAACAGATAACAGATATTATTAGGGCAACATTTTGATTAGTTTGTTGCTAATGAACATAACCAGGGCCTTGCAGACACAGGCAGGATCTGTGGATTGAGTGAGTGAGTGAGTATGGTTTTACGCCGCTTCTAGCAATATTCCAGCAATATCACGGCAGGGGACACCAGAAATGGGCTTCACACATTGTACCCATGTCGGGAATCAAACCCGGGTCTTCGGCGTGACGTCTGTGGATTGACATTAATCGGACATGTTATAACTCTTAATATCAACCATCGTCAGTACTTCATGGGGTTGTATACAGACACAGGCAGGATCTGTGGATTGACATTAATCAGACATGTTATAACTCTTAATATCAACCATCGTCAGTACTTCATGTGGTTGTATACAGAACACTCCTCTATCACCCGTGAATACGCAGCTGCTTTGCTGTGTAGTTGCTACTTTTAAGCACCAATTCAAACCAATTCAAACCACAACCTGATTCCAGCAGAAATATCCTGCAAAGCTGTTGCTCATCATGATCAACCCGTTACCACAACTTGGCCAATAGCAGATTTGCACAGAAAAGTCAGAAAAGTATTGAGGTAAAGGACTGTCCAATGTCTGGTCTGCCTTGTGTGACGTCAGCACGCAAACATCACGAAATGCTCCGCTTGTTTAAGCGACAAGCCTTCGCCACAAGAACCTGTCTGAAGGAGAACTGGATCTCATAGAGACAATGGTTTAGTCTATCTATATTTCGGTTACCCGGCAAACAATAAGATGTCGTGAGTTGAATGTGAAAGGTGAGCTTCAGTAACTATTTAACTACAGTTGGTAATGCAACAGATTACAGCCTGAGCCATGTTACAATTGTGTGACATCCACTAATTCACATGTTTGCAAAAAGGACCTGACATACAAATACCTGTGTTCAACCAGACCAGATGCCAACTGGTATCCCACCTTGGCTAGTGCATCAATATTACCAACACACCTTCCACAATGTCACTGTCTCCTGTGGGTAATATTTCTGCCATTCAAAATAGATGAGGGAAATGATTTCATTTTGAGCTTTCACAACCTCAAAAAGATTATGTTATAAAAACAAACAACTCTCAATTGAAACAAGAGGTCATGCTGATCGTAACTGTCAAAATATTTATGCCTTTTTTTTCATGATCTATAAAGGGCAGATAACTCATCTACAAAGGGGAAATAACTCATGGTAGTTGTGCTGTCAAATTCTGTGTACAGTTTTTTTTGTATTTAGTTTTTTTAAATAATGAACGTCCATTTCTTCAAACACTAAACACATAACAATTAAAACACCATTCTAAAATGTGAATGTGACAATTCCATACAATCTCAAACAATTCAAAGCACCATTTGACAGCATAACATAATGACCATGTTTTCTACAAAGAAGTTATTATTTGTTCTATACATGACATAATCACCAACTGGAGCCTGAGTATGTGCTCAACTGGTGGTCAAACAATCAGAGAGCTCATTGAACAAGTGACCCAAATTCAATACTCGCGAAACCTATTTTCATGTTAACCAACACTATCAGAGATGCCAACCCGAATAGTGGCAAGTACAAATATATGAGATAATCATTTATTGGTAATTTATTCATCCAAACTCCTCAAAATGTGAAAACATTTCCATCACAATCATGGAGTTGGTAGGGGTGGCCAGTCGTCTAAAGTGCCGCAATTCGCTGTGCAGAGTTGCATCCCTTGGGTACCCCAGAATCCTGTGATCATGGGTTTGTTTTGGTTTGGTTTGTTGTTTAACACCACACTCAGCAATATTCCAGCTATATGCCGGCGGTCCTGAATCTGGACCAGACAATCCAGTCATTGACATCATGAGCATCAATCCACGCAATTCGGATACGATGACATGCACCAACCATGGGTTTGTATCCTGGTTCGCCCCGATAATGTTTCCAGCTTTGTCAGCCCCATACTCATGCTGGTGGGTTTCACCAAAGCGGCAAACGTCTGAGACCTGCATCACTTTGGATTTTCCTCCAACATTAAGCTGACACGCCGTGATATAACTGAAATATTGTTCAAAGCAGCATTAAACCCAACTCACTCACTCAAACATGTTACTGACTGATTGGTAACTGGTTACATGTGTCTCAATACCTGTAGCAAGGGCATTACTGGCCTCAATTACTGATGATGCTTTTTGAGTGAGTGAGTGAGCTTTTAACAGTATTCCAGTTATATTGCGGCGTGTCAGCTTAATGTGGGAGAAAACCCCAAAGTGATGCAGGTCTCAGACGTTTACCACTTCGGTGAAACTCACGAGCATGGGTATGGTGCTGACAAACCTAGAAACATAATCGGGGCGTACCGGGATTCGAACCCACAATCATAGGTTTCTGGTGTGCCCAAGGGACGCAACTCTGCACAGAGAATCGGGGCATCTTAGACAATTGGGCCACCCGTGCCCCTGATGATGCTTTGTGACTAAATTCATAAGATATTTCACTTTATGATATTGGTGAAATTTGGAATATCATTGGAATATCGTAATGATTCTGCCAACAGTTCCATAATGGCCAGTGGCATATCTGTGATATGATGACTTTAAAGCACAGCAAAGTAATGGTTTTGGATTTATGACAGGACGCAGCATCAATCCATGAATCAACAAATACACATACAGAGAGGGGACACTGGAGTTCAAGCCTTTAACAGGCTTCCAGCTGTCATTTTCAAGGCTTTTCCGGGTTGGGTTTTTAGACTTAGTCTGTCAATATTTGTAAAAAACAAGCACACTATATATTAGTCGTAAGACCTAAAATGTAGTTTGAACATAAATACATGTAGTTTTGTACAAATTCAAGGCTTTTCAAGCTATTTTGGTGCTTTTCATGGTTGTCACTAAAAATAAAGGCTTTTCAAGGTAGACACTAACAATCAAGAGAGACAGTAAAATTCAAGGCCTTTATAAGCCTTGCTAACCCTTGTTGACAAGCCACACTTACAAGGTGTATTAACATCATATTCTTACAAGCAGACAACAAACAAAGAGGTCATATACAATCCACTTCTCAAAGATCAGGTGAGCTAATATCATATTACTCAAAAGAAGTTAAGAAACACACATTTCACTTGACTATAGTTAATATGTTGTGGTCTTAACGTCTATTGAGTAGTTTATACTTAAGCAAAAATATAACATATTCATTCAAAATCATATGTAATGTAAAGCAATTCTTGAAGAATGGAAATGATTTAAAAAATATTTTGCCCCTAATGCGATTAAATCAGATCTATTTGTGTTACAGCTAGTCCTGCACCATGACTGGGGAATATATTTATTTCATAAAAAAATAATGTAGATATGTATACAAAAGCAAGTCTAGCCAGCTCTATTCCACAGCATCGGGGAAAATTATTTGTTTAATTTTAGAGTCAAGAAGGGTATTGTGTAATATAAGATTTCATAGACGACATGTTAGTCTATGTTATGGCAAGAAAACATTGATAAAACCTGTAAATGCCCATGCTGGTTCAACATGGAACTTGAACGTGTGAAGTAAGTTGGTTGCCAGAAAGAATATTTTGGAGAGGCCCCACTTTGTCGACACAATTTCTTCACTGACATCAAGCTTCAAGAGCATGTAAAACAAAAGTTTTCTTTAAAAATGATATAAAACATATTGAATTCAATGAAACAAATAAACAATAAATTGCAACAAAAGTCACTGTAAATCTTCTGAAAAGTGGATTTTGCGGGATTAAAAACTTGGGACCCATTCCACAAAATGATTGTAGCACTACGACTGTTGGAAATCAATGTTAAAGTATGCAAGTTACAATCATCTTAGCACTACAGCTGTCGTAAGTCTATGTTAAAGTATGGGAGTTACGGTCATCTTAGCACTACGACTGTCACGTGTCTATGTTAAAGTATGGGAGTTGCGGTCATCTTAGCACTACGACTGTCATATGTCTATGTTAAAGTATGGGAGTTACGGTCATCTTAGCACTACAGCTGTCGTAAGTCTATGTTAAAGTATGGGAGTTACGGTCATCTTAGCACTACGACTGTCACGTGTCTATGTTAAAGTATGGGAGTTACGGTCATCTTAGCACTACAGCTGTCGTAAGTCTATGTTAAAGTATGGGAGTTGCGGTCATCTTAGCACTACGACTGTCATACGTCTATGTTAAAGTATGGGAGTTACGGTCATCTTAGCACTACAGCTGTCGTAAGTCTATGTTAAAGTATGGGAGTTGCGGTCATCTTAGCACTACGACTGTCATACGTCTATGTTAAAGTATGGGAGTTACGGTCATCTTAGCACTACAGCTGTCGTAAGTCTATGTTAGAGTATGGGAGTTACGGTCATCTTAGCACTACGACTGTCATGCGTCTATGTTAGAGTATGGGAGTTACGGTCATCTTCGCACTACGACTGTCATGCGTCTATGTTAAAGTATGGGAGTTACGGTCATCTTAGCACTACGACTGTCATGCATCTATATTAGAGTATGGGAGTAGCGGTCATCTTTGCACTACGAATGTCATGCGTCGTAGTTAGAGTATGGGAGTTACGGTCATCTTAGCTCTACGGCTGTCAAGCGTGTATGTTAAAGTATGGGAGTTGCGGTCATCTTAGCACTACGACTGTCATGCCTCTATGTTAAAGTATGGGAGTTACGGTCATCTTAGCACTACGACTGTCATGCGTCTATGTTAAAGTATGGGAGTTACGGTCATCTTCGCACTACGACTGTCATACGTCTATGATAGAGTATGAGAGTTACGGTCATCTTAGCACTACGACTGTCATGCGTCTATGTTAGAGTATGGGAGTTACGGTCATCTTAGCACTACGACTGTCATGCGTCAAAGTTAGAGTATGGGAGTTACGGTCATCTTAGCTCTACGGCTGTCATGCGTGTATGTTAAAGTATGGGAGTTGCGGTCATCTTAGCACTACGACTGTCATGCGTCTATGTTAAAGTATGGGAGTTACGGTCATCTTAGCACTACGACTGTCATGCGTCTATGTTAAAGTATGGGAGTTACGGTCATCTTCGCACTACGACTGTCATACGTCTATGATAGAGTATGAGAGTTACGGTCATCTTAGCACTACGACTGTCATGCGTCTATGTTAGAGTATGAGAGTTACGGTCATCTTAGCACTACGACTGTCATGCGTCTATGTTAGAGTATGGGAGTTACGGTCATCTTCGCACTACGACTGTCATACGTCTATGATAGAGTATGAGAGTTACGGTCATCTTAGCACTACGACTGTCGTGTCTATGTTAGAGTATGGGAGTAACGGTCATCTTAGCACTACGACTGTCATGCGTCTATGTTAGAGTATGAGAATTACGGTCATCTTAGCACTACGACTGTCATGCGTCTATGTTAAAGTATGGAGTTGCGGTCATCTTAGCACTACGACTGTCGTGTCTATGTTAGAGTATGGGAGTAACGGTCATCTTAGCACTACGACTGTCATGCGTCTATGTTAGAGTATGGGAGTTACGGTCATCTTAGCACTATGACTGTCATGCGTCTATGTTAAAGTATGGGAGTTGCGGTCATCTTAGCACTACGACTGTCATGCGTCTTTGTTAAAGTATGGGAGTTACGGTCATCTTAGCACTATGACTGTCATGCGTCTATGTTAGAGTATGGGAGTTACGGTCATCTTAGCACTACGACTGTCATGCGTCTATGTTAGAGTATGGGAGTTACGGTCATCTTCGCACTACGACTGTCATGCGTCTATGTTAGAGTATGAGAGTTACGGTCATCTTAGCACTACGACTGTCATGCGTCTATGTTAGAGTATGGGAGTTACAGTCATCTTAGCACTACGACTGGCATGCGTCTATGTTAAAGTATGGGAGTTGCGGTCATCTTCGCAGTACAATCACTTTGTGAAATAGGACCCTGTAAGCCCTACAAACAAATTTTACAGAGATTAACAGCTCAATAAAAATATGTCACCTTAAAAAGATTATCAGCTCCACGAGCTTGGGAGGAGTCAACTGACGGTAGTCAGCTGTATCACCAGCTTCAAAAATATGCTTCACTTTACAAAAGAATCTCTCAGCAATGTCACTGTTTCACAAGTTGAATTTTTAGGAGATGTGTTACAAAATGTATGGAAACAAAATTCTATCCAATATCAGACTTTTGAACTGATTCATTACTGCCAGCACTTTGGTTCCTGACTAGCCGAAGTTGCAGAGAAATAGCCTACAATGATCTACTATCAGAAGTCTGTTCCCCACTCAATCTACAAACACACATTTAAGAGAATATGTACAAGTATTTAAACATTCATCCTTCATAAATTGGTGATAGATTATATAGGCATAATATTGTAGGTTTTCATGATGTGAGTGTAACGAGACTGTCAGAATAATATTTAGTTAGTTCAAACAGGAGAATTAGCCAGAGATTGTCCTCCGGCCAGGACCTGTTAAACAAAGCAATTTTATCACAACGATAATCAAATTCGTAAATGCTGTGGTTATATAGTGTGGGTATTATGACAATTGTAGCCCTTATCTGATCGTAACTTCCACACTGAAAGATAAATGAATGACAGTCTTAGCATGAAGATTGCTTTGTAGAATGGAGCTCAGGTCTGGTGTCTCGTTCCGGAAGCTATCTTGGTGCTATGACTTGTCACAAGTTTATGTTCAAGTAAAGGAGTTACGATCATCTTAGTGCTAAGATTGCTTTGAGGAATAAGCCCTTTCCACAAAGTGATCTTAGATCTGAGACTGTCACAAGTTTATGTTAAAGTAAAGGAGTTACGATCATCTTAGTGCTAAGAATGCTTTGAGGAATAAGCCCTTTCCACAAAGTGATCTTAGATCTGAGACTGTCACAAGTTTATGTTAAAGTAAAGGAGTTACGATCATCTTAGTGCTAAGAATGCTTTGAGGAATAAGCCCTTTCCACAAAGTGATCTTAGATCTGAGACTGTCACAAGTTTATGTTAAAGTATAGGAGTTACGATCATCTTAGTGCTAAGACCACTTTATGACACAACCGGGAACACTGACGATTGTTTTTTATCATCCAAAACTGCTTCCACAAGAGATATTGCTTGGGTGAGATCAAGCAATATCATCTTGGAGATATTACTACATTGAAAATAAATCTCAAGACTTTGCAGGCCATGATGTCTCAATAAAAGACATCACTAATCTCTCTGCAACTGAAAGTGGTTAGCTGTACTTTGAACACTGAAGACACCGCTCGTTACTGATTACGAACTGAAAAGTCGGTTGAAGGAGTTTGGATGATAAATAGAATACCATTGTCTTTTGATATCAAATATATCAACACTCGAATTTTAAACTTTCGTTAACTCAGGTTGATATTTTTCAATTCAAAAGACACTCGGGTGAGATTCTCTACATTGCTTGTCTCCCCTGCCAACAGTCTGTAGTCTTCTGTGACACAGCCCAGGGATTTCTAGGATGTATGAAAATGACATATACATGGTTGATGAACACATAGTGATTAAATTCTTACAGAAACAATCATAGCACATGGTTGGTTATATAAAGAAGACATGGTTTCAAAACAATATTTTTTCACATTGCAAAAATCAGTTTGTTGATCCCTCCAGCACATGACACTGTACATCATGACAAAATATTATATAAATTAATCATAAAACCATTTCAACTTTCTTAATATACATTTTTGCAATTGTCATTATTGAAAATAACATTATTACCAAAAAAGAAAATACTTAAAAAAGATATTCAAAAACTGAAATTTCAGAACCATTTCAAAAATTAAGGAGATCTTACCATTTACTAGACATTTTTATGGCTAATTTCTTATATTGAGTACATAAGACTTTCTTTTTAATAATTTGGTTGATGGATTTCTGGTCTCAAAACCTTCGGTCAGAGGTCGAAATGAAAGCAAAAAATTCCATTAGTCCTTTCAATGTTTAATTTTAATTTTCATATAATTATTGGTTTAGTAGAATGATATTTCTTTCTCAAATTGTCTATTCTTCAATTTGAAATAATACTGATAAAGTCATTCTACAGGAAACAAAGCTAGGAATAGTATTCATCGTTTTTAAGCATACAGGTTTTTAAGCATACATTTACGGGTCATTGAGCGAGGGATGTATAGAGATCACTTCTAATGTTGAAACTGTATTGATACAAACTTATGAAGATTACCATGGTTACGATGGGGATATAGAGGGCAGAAAATTCAATTTTAGACATCTAATGGATCGGCCAAGTTTATATTTAACATTAAGTTGATTAAATGCAGGTCTAGATAGGATTTTTAAAAATCTAATCACATAGAGAAGAACTGATTTTGTTGTGAATAAATATATCGATATATCATGATATTTTCGAGTCAATAAATCGATACTAAATATACAAACAATGACACCCAACTTTGAGCATGTATCACATGTCCGGGCAACCATTTACAAATTATTTTTTTCATTTGTGTTACTATCAGACTCAGTGGTAGTAACAGGCTTTAAATGGGTTTATTCCTTTTTGTCCCTCATTCCTGAAGTTTTGAGTTGGCTCTCTGTAAACATATTAATAAAAAATATAACACCTTAACAAACTTCAACAAACAACAAAAATATCATTTGATTTGCCATTTGACAAACTAAACATGCTGGTATTCAAATAATAATCTTTAATCAACCTTCAAAAGAATCAAAATCTAATTAAAATATCTTTTGTCTGAGTCAAACATAACAAAACAAGCAAAAAATAGGTTGAAACGTAATCCTTAACAACATACTATTTCCCTTAAGACTACATATCCTTAGGCAGGATAAGGCAGAATCAATCAATTGTCTTGTAAAAACTTCTAAGATTACAGGGGTGGTCGGGTAGCCTAGTGGTTAAAGTTTCAGATCGATACATCACCTACCGATACTCTCATCGCGATACACTGAATCATTACACTCCTAACAATAAGCAGCAGATTTTTCATTTTATGCTTGAAGGAATTTCAACATAACTTCATGCTAAACAATATATTCTATACCCATCGTATGCTTATGATGGTTTTTAGTTCTGGTACTCTTAAGCAGCAAGCCGATCCGGGTCTATCAGTGGTCATTGGTCAGGTGTCTCTGAGAAGTCACACGACCGACGACGAGAGACAGAGATCTGCCAAGGTGTCAAGGCCAACTGAGTTCACTGTACTGTTCAAGGTCGTGGGATTGGGGTGGGAGGCTACAGGCATAGCTTGGGGCACCACGGAGCTCATGCTGGTCATCGGAACATACTTATCACACGCGTTGGCGTAATATTCATGCAAATGGTTAAGTGGCATCGGCGGTAACGGCAATGGTGGAGGTGGGTGTGAGTACTGGGCACTCATCTCCACGTCAGCGTTGGTGTAGGAGCTGATCAGTGCCGTCGTAGCTGCTGCCTCTGCAGACATGACATCACTGTGTTTCTTCATGTGCGCTTTCAGAGAATTCGAATGTCTGTACTTCTGCCCACAGATCTGACACGAGTATGGAAAAGCGTTTTCGTGAATTCGTCTGTGGCGCTTCAAATTTCGGTGATCGCTGAAGCGGGTTCCACAGTCCGTACACATGAACGGCCGCTCTCCGTAGTGGATGCTCCGCCGATGGGATTTCATACTCTGGTAATGATTAAACGCCTGGCCGCAGACGTCACAAAGGTATTCCTGGAGATGGTAGCAAGTTCGGTGGTGACTGAGCAGCCCCGCTTGTTGCGAAAACGTCTTGCCGCATTTATCACACACGTAGTCCCGTTGTTCGCTATGAATCTGCTTGTGGCGTCGCAGGAAGTCGTATTTGTACGTGCGATAGTTGCACCCCTCCTCCTCGCACTCAAACGGGCTGTTGTTGTTGTGGACCTCTAGACAATGGTTACGTAGCTCACGCTCAGTCTTAGTTACGATGTTACAGGACCTGCACTTCAGGTGGAAGGCGTTTGAGTGAACTGTCCGCATGTGTCGCGTGAGGTTTGACTTGCGGATGTAGGCCACACCACACTGGGTGCATCGGAAGGCGTTGTGTTCCGAGCTGGTTTCTATGTGGTTCTGGAGGTCGTCTGACGTTTCAAACGTTGAAGTGCATCCTGGACATTTCAGCTTCCCCGCCTTGTCTCGCTTGGTGTGCTTTGGCTTGATCTTCTGTTTACGACGCCCCATTAGCCACTTCATTACCGCAGTGTTCTTCTTGTGGGGCCACATTCGACGGCGGCTTTCGTACGACTTCTTTTCTTCCTCATCTGAAATCAAAAGGGTTGAAATATTTCTACATTGACAATATTTAAACATACTGAATATATCGAAAACTTTGTTCCACAAAGCGATCTTTAGAAAAGGAGATTGTAACCCCCACACTTCAATTATAACAGCTGTAGCACTGAGATCACTTTGTGGAATGAGACCCAGATACAAGCACACCGGGGTAGTGAGGCTCTATTATTCTGCCCTGGAATCCCCACATGGAGACTAGCCCACCAGGGTAGTGGAGAATTATTCTGCCCTGGAATCCCCACATGGAGACAAGCACACCAGGGTAGTGGAGAATTATTCTGCCCTGGAATCCCCACATGGAGACAAGCACACTGGGGTAGTGCAGAATTATTCTGCCCTGTAAACCAAACATGGAGACAAGCACACTGGGGTAGTGGAGAATTATTCTGCCCTGGATCCCCACATGGAGACAAGCACACTGGGGTAGTGGAGAATTATTATGCCCTGGAATCCCCACATGGAGACAAGCACATTGGGGTAGTGGAGAATTATTCTGCCCTGTAAACCCAACATGGAGACAAGCACATTGGGGTAGTGGAGAATTATTCTGCCCTGGATCCCCACATGGAGACAAGCACACCAGGGTAGTGGAGAATTATTCTGCCCTGGAATCCCCACATGGAGACAAGCACACTGGGGTAGTGGAGAATTATTATGCCCTGGAATCCCCACATGGAGACAAGCACATTGGGGTAGTGGAGAATTATTATGCCCTGGAATCCCCACATGGAGACAAGCACTGGGTAGTGGAGAATTATTATGCCCTGGAATCCCCACATGGAGACAAGCACTGGGTAGTGGAGAATTATTCTGCCCTGGAATCCCCACATGGAGACAAGCACACCAGGGTAGTGGAGAATTATTCTGCCCTGGAATCCCAACATGGAGACAAGCACTGGGTAGTGGAGAATTATTATGCCCTGGAATCCCCACATGGAGACAAGCACTGGGTAGTGGAGAATTATTATGCCCTGGAATCCCAACATGGAGACAAGCACTGGGTAGTGGAGAATTATTCTGCCCTGGAATCCCCACATGGAGACAAGCACACCAGGGTAGTGGAGAATTATTCTGCCCTGGAATCCCCACATGGAGACAAGCACACTGGGGTAGTGGAGAATTATTATGCCCTGGAATCCCCACATGGAGACAACCACATTGGGGTAGTGGAGAATTATTATGCCCTGGAATCCCCACATGGAAACAACCACACCGGGGTAGTGGAGAATTGTTATGCCCTGGAATCCCCACATGGAGACAAGGACACTGGCGTTGTGGAGAATTATTATGCCCTGGAATCCCCAGAATGTTGAAAGCACCGTACCAATTACGGTACAAAATTATGTACATACATTACAAAATTGATTTCCTCGGAAAATACTAGCCATAGTTCCTAGTCGGCCGTAGCTTATTATTAATGATATCCTACCTGGTATGTATTCCTCCTCATCCTCCACATCCTCCTCGTCCTCTATATTCACCTCCTCGTCTTCATCGTCCGCTGGTTGCAGCGTCACCTTTTCCTCACTCACCTCCGTCTTCACTGCACCATCACCTCCCACAACCTCACCATCAGATCGAGGCTCGGACGGAACTGGAGCGATTTTGATCTTCGGCGGGCGGCCCCTCTTGGCATATTTCTTTTTGTATCTGCGCCTTGGTCGTCCGCGGCGTTTAATGGGTGGGTTGACAAACTCCTGCTCGTCTTCGGACATCTGCGTGGACTTGTCCCGACTGTATTCAGCATTGTACCCCTCCATGCCATATTTTTTTATAGTCACCTGACGAGATGGATATAAAACATGAATTAGGTGAGCAAAATATTGAGCCGTTGTGATGACACGATTCAGCAGCTTCTCAGCAGTTGCGATGTTGTTGATTTTTGCATGTGCAATTTTATTAAAAGGTGAGCATATGCTGTGCCACCAGTGGCACCTGTCACAAACACATGCAAAGGCAAGTCAACTGTTTACTTGTAAAAACACAGAAAATATGGTACAAGTCAAAATTGGGAATGGCGTCAGACATCATGTTTGTCACTGATGAGAAAATTTGGAAAAGTCCTCCTCATATTTACTGTATAACTTTTTGCAAAAAAATTACCCAAGCCTTGCATATTGTAACCATGGTAACAGCAGCTGACAGCCTCGTGGCAATCAGAGGACACCTGCAGGTACTCCTACCTGTACTCCCCCTGTAGCCAGCAAGTCAGGGTGCACGTCGCTGGCCTCGAGGCCGGACTTGTGGCACTGGGTGATGTAGTCTTCACATGCTGTGTAGATGTCCGACAGCATCAGGCGTTTGGCTGCCATGGCAACGAATGGTGCAACAGCCAGGTCAAAACATAGAATTCCTAAAAACAACACATAAGTATTTATTTGCATTATCATATTTTCGTACAAGATGTTGACAAATAAAGAAAATACATTCAGAATCTCACAATAGGAATTGATTATAATTTCAGAATTGATCATTGGTTTTAAATTACAAGTTGATCAATTAGGAGATAAACCCAGTGTGTTTTCAATGCATAGGTATCAAATGCAGATTTGATACTCATAAATTTCATTTGAAACCTAAAGCGATAGTATTCTTCACTATGCTCATGAACCTCTGGGACAAAATGGTCTTTAGAACAATTATAAACCTCTTGTCGTTTAACTATGTATCTTACACCATCAACAAAGTTCATTTCTGAACATGCTGAACAAACATTCAAAAAGACCTTTTACATAATGAGTGAGTGAGTAAGGTTTTACACCGCTTTTAGCAATATTCCAGCAATATCACGGCGGAAGACACCAGAAATGGGCTTCACACATTGTACCCATGTCGGGAATCGAACACGGGTCTTCGGCGTGACGAGCGAACGCTTTAACCACTAGGCTACCCGACCGCCCCCCTTTTACATAAAGTCCTTGGGACTTGGGCTGGAACAAATCCAACTTTACTACCCAGGTACCCAGCCCCCTATTACCCGACCCTACCCGGGTACCCAGCCCCCTAATACCCGACCCTACCCGGGTACCCAGCCCCCTAATACCCGACCCTACCCAGGTACCCAGCCCCCTATTACCAGACCCTACCCGGGTACCCAACCCCCTATTACCCGACCCTACCCGGGTACCCAGCCCCCTAATACCCGACCCTACCCAGGTACCCAGCCCCCTATTACCCGACCCTACCCGGGTACCCAGCCCCCTATTACCCGACCCCACCCGGGTACCCAGCCCCCTATTACCCGACCCTACCCGGGTACCCAGCCCCCTATTACCCGACCCTACCTGGGTACAAAGCCCACTATTACCCGACCCTACCCGGGTACCCAGCCCCCTATTACCAGACCCTACCCGGGTACCCAGCCCCCTATTACCCGACCCTACCCAGGTACCCAGCCCCCTATTACCCGACCCTACCCCTATTACCAGACCCTACCCGGGTACCCAGCCCCCTATTACCCGACCCTACCCAGGTACCCAGCCCCCTATTACCCGACCCTACCCGGGTACCCAGCCCCCTATTACCCGACCCTACCCGGGTACCCAGCCCCCTATTACCCGACCCTACCCAGGTACCCAGCCCCCTATTACCAGACCCTACCCGGGTACCCAACCCCCTATTACCCGACCCTACCCGGGTACCCAGCCCCCTATTACCCGACCCTACCCGGGTATCCAGCCCCCTATTACCCAACCCTACCCAGGTACCTGCTGTAGGTTTCAAGAGTTGGGTACAAAACAGCTGATTGGGAATTGATTTACAGGAGCCCTGGCAAATACTATTTTGATACACATATAAAATGATCTGATACACTGAAGCTGACTGAAAATTTAAATTTACACAAACATATAAAAGTCAGAAGCAATGTGTGCATAGTCAGAAAGAAATGTGAACGTTAGTGACTTGTAGTGCAGCGACGTAGTCTTATCGTTATTGTCATAAAACAATAAATCATGTGACTAACCCACGGGTCTGGTAGTCCTGAGGGCACCCAGGTCCTGCTCAGTACGCCCCCCTCCCCCCCTCACCCCCTCTACCTTAATACCTGGGTTACCAGCCCTACTTGGGACCATACACCATACATCATTTCAAACTATCAATATTTTTCGGCTGATGTGTCAAGTTAACATGGTTAAAGGACTCCCTGTCAACGAGGTCTCACTGTTAGGGGCGTGATTAATTGGATATTTTAGTATCAATATATTGACTCAAAAGTATCACAATTTATCACAGGAGTCGATTTAATTGCTGACCCATTGGCCCGTGGCCAGTTAACATTACATGGTTAAAATTACAAAAGTCTTGCTGACACGTAAAGTAGATGATCCGTCTGGCTAGTCCAAATTTCTCCCCTTCTCCGTGTATGTTTGATTTTTTAATTGGACCATCTTGGTTGTAGGAGAGCTGGTCGCCATTTTGTAATGTTGGGTACAACAACATCTTAATTTGCTCATAAATCACCATGAATTGAGGCAAATGGAAGCCAAGATTTAATCTCAGAGTGCAGGAAAAAACGTTTTAGGGGTGAGGAGTTCTAACATTCGAAGAGCCCCACTAGGTAGCCATGAGACGTCAGGTTCAGCCACTACGCGGCCTCCACCATTTACTTATAGGCCAGTCAACTTGGAGAAGGGCCAGTAACTTTTAAAAGGAGCAAGCCCTGCTGGCTACATACAAATTTGTAGTTAAATCTAACCCTGATATCTGTGAATGTGAGTGAGTTTGGTTTTACGCAGCTTTTAGCAATATTCCAGCAATATCACGGCGGGGGACACCAGAAATGGGCTTCACACATTGTACCCATGTCAGGATTCGAACCCGGGTCTTCGGCGTGACGAGCGAACGCTTTAACCACTACGCTACCCGACCGCCCCATGATATCAATTTATCCATTAAAGTTAAAGTAATTATTCTGTATGTGTATTGATACCTATGTAGACCTGCAATTAATTAATTTAATGCTAAATACATGTATCATGTGTATGAGTGAGTGAGTGAGTGAGTGGGTGAGTGAGTGAGTATGGTTTTACGCCGCTTTTAGCAATATTCCAGCAATATCACGGCGGGGGACACCAGAAATGGGCTTCACACATTGTACCCATGTCGGGAATCGAACCCGGGTCTTCGCGTGACGAGCGAATGCTTTAACCACTAGGCTACCCGACCGCGCCCCATGTGTATGAACTGGGCTGATCCGGTTAAATGTTTAAACTGAATTTTCTGACCTATCATTCACCATAATAACCATGGTAATCTCAGCAAATGTAGACATTTCTTTGGCAGCAGATTATTAATTAATTAATGTGCCTTGTGTTTGTGTGTTTGTTTGTTGTTTAACGCTGCACTCAGCAATATTCCAGCTATATGGCTGCGGTCTGTAAATAATCGAGTCTGGACCAGACAATCAAGTGATTGATATCATGAGCATCAATCCACGCAATTGAGATAAGATGACATACATCAAACCAAGTCAGCGAGCCTGACCACACAATCCTGTTAGTGGCCTCTTACGACAAGCATAGTCACCTTTTACAGCAAGCATGGGTTGCTGAAGACCTATTCTACCCCGGATCTTCACGAGAGAGAGAGAGAGAGAGAGAGGGAGAGAGAGAGAGAGAGAGACACAGAGAGAGAGAGAGAGAGAGACAGACAGACAGACAGACAGACAGACAGAGATATGTAGATATGTAATGTTAGGACGAGGAAGGTCATCACTGAACCTGAACACTATAATGCTCGTTCATGTCAGGAAATATACAACGCCGACTTAGTTCCTTAATTATGTGAAACTTCCTGATTGTCAATGGTCAGGCTGTTATGACAAATCATCAACAGATAATCTTTCTGAACGATGTTGCTATGTCACATGCAATTTCATTAGCACTGACAGTGTTTCCTAACCTCAAGGTTTTAACTTCTCTCTGCAAGTGCATTCAGTGATAAGAATCCTCGATGTGAAGCATTATTTCATTGTCAGGTGAGACTTTTTGCATTTTGGTGTACCAATTCCTCTTTCCCAAACACGAATCAGGTTCCCCCCGATTATGTTTCTAGGTTTGTCAGCACCATACCCATGCTTGTGGGTTTCACCGAAGTGGTAAATGTCTGAGACCTGCATCTCAGTGTGTGTGGCTGCTTGTACTAGTCCGAACTAATGACAATTTATAGTGCTAGCTCACTGAGATACCATGTTGCAGTTTAACATGAATGCCCCACTCAGACACAGTATGCTGACTCTGAGCTAACCAGTCCTTGCTTTAGCCTCTTAATGCCAAGCGCCAGACAGGGTAACAACAAGTACCATCTTTTAACGTCTTTTAGTATGACATGGCCGGGGACCAAACCCCGGACCTTCCGCTCTCCAGGTGGACGCTCTACCACTAGACCACGGAGTCGGTCACTCTCATTATGTACATCACTTGCTTGATAAAGTCGTTAGCATCAACACCGAAACATTGCCCCAATTGTAATAAAGAAGTAGCTTACCCTCAAGCTCTTGTCCTTGTGCTTGATAAGTTAACAAGTAAATTCTGGACTGTAAATGTAGTAATTTCATCACAGATTCCACTCATCTTCCCGAGGCAAGGGAGTTAACTGACTTTAAAAGTCCAGTTCCCACCCTTATTATAGAGTTATATTTTGGCTGAACTAACGAGTCTATACACAATCAAAATCGTGTTAAGAAATCGAAATGTGCACCGCCAACTCGGCATCAACAGATATTTTTCAAATCTTTTCATGTTTTGAATCAAGGTGCTCATGTGATTTGCTGCACTTCGCAAAGCAAGACCCGTTCTATTACAACATAGACCTTGATTATTGATCAGATCGTCTTGACCATGTTGACAGGGGCGCAGCCATTTTGTTTGAATCACATGCAAGTGATATGAGAGGTGGAATCAGGACATAGAAGGGACATAACTCATCATAGCCACTGGTGGTGCTACGATCTAACCCAGAAATTTCAGCCTAGTTTGGGAAGGGTGGAAACTTGACTTTTATAGTCTGTTAACTCCCTTGCCTTTTGTCTTAACTTTTGTCTTAATGATGCGTAAAACGGGCAGATAAACACGAAATGGACTTCATTCTCAATAGAACCATTGTTACATGGCCGACAAAAGTGTTGTGAATAAACAATATCCTCGCTTCTGCCCAGATTTCTCCGTATAGGCAATTCACTTAATCTTAACGGGGAAAACATATGTCTATGGTCGCTATTTCTAAAAGCTGTAAGTGTAACATAATATTCTATATGCAATTATATCTTAACGTGTGAATAATATCTTTATTTACAAGACTCATAAATTTTCATCTGGATACTCTGTTTGTTACAATCCAACAAACGCTGTCTAAACAGCTCAAGAATGTTCAATTAACATCACCAATATTCTGTTCGTGCCACACATAACCAAATCCGTAAATGTCGAGTAAATATTTAACAAGAGTTGCCCAGGTAATTCTACCACATTCATCCAGCTTCTTCATTAACAAAATAAACTGTCGGTGATATCTGCGAGATAGATGTTTAATGACTCCCCAAAACAAATTTACAAAAATTAGTATGAAAAGTTTCGACAGTTTGACGAGCTTTGCAAACCCAGATCTCCGCACCATAAAGAATAATCAGGTTTATCTTAATATCAAACAAAAAATGTTACCTGGAATATTTACAATGTGAAACTGCAGCTTTTTAATGGCAAACATTGACTTTAATCTTTAGGGTATCAATGCATTTAGACCAAGACAATCCATTTGAAAACAGAACACCCAGATAACTATATAGTTAGTACTAATATTAATATGCATATCATTTAAAACCATCATTGATCATCATCATTATCATCATCATCAAAATGCCACCTCTTCTAAACACCAAAATTTCAGTTTAAGACATGTCAATTTCAAGTCCCCACATTTTATAAAAATTAGATAAAATAGGCTTAAAACAATTTAAGAATTGGTTCTCAGGTAGTGACTTTTGAAAACATAGTGTGGGCGGGTGTTTTTTGTGTTTTTTTGCTTGTTCAAACTTTTAGGTAACCAAATAAACAGTTGTGTACCATCAACCTGGGTAAAGGCTACCTACATAAACAAGCATACTAACTCCTATTGCCGCCATTACCATAACACAAGATGCGCAGTAAAGCAGTACGCATAAAAAGGGAAGTAACTGCATGTTATATTGGATCACATTATTTAAACAAATGGGATTTTTATTAAAAAAATATTTGAAAATGGAAATAAAAACGAAACGTGCAGCAAACTTGATGATGATACGGGCGGTGCCTGAGAACCAAGATTATTATTTTTTTAGCCATATAACTCTTTCTGTGCAGACCTTTACAGTTGCATCAAATATACACAAATCATAGGTCAGTGAATTCCTCGCTACTCACTACTTCCTATCAAAGACTGTAATTCAAGGATAAACATCATGTACAGAAAGAGACTCAACACACAGCCCTGTCGAACGCCGCTCAGTGATTAAAAATAGTCTGGTGTTTTTGTTACATTTGGTAAATGTGAAAAATATAAATAGTTTTAATGCGAAAAATATGTTAATTAATTGTGATATTTTTATATTTTTGTCTATGACACTTCTAGGTTAACACTTTTAATGTCGAAAAAAATAGGTTCATTTCCGTGTGAACTTGCCCTTTAATATCAAACAAAAAATGTTACCTGGAATATTTACAATGTGAAACTGCAGCTTTTTAATGGCAAACATTGACTTTATTCTTGAGGGTATCAATGCATTTAGACCAAGACAATCCATTTGAAAACAGAACACCAAGATAACTATATAGTAAGTACTAATATTAATATGCATATAATTTAAAACCATCATTGATCATCATCATTATCATCATCATCAAAATGCCACCTCTTCTAAACACCAAAATTTCAGTTTTAGACATGTTAATTTCAAGTCCCTACATTTTATAAAAATTAGATAAAATAGGCTTAAAACAATTTAAGAATTGGTTCTCAGGCAGTGACTCTTGAAAACATAGTGTGGGCGGGTGTTTTTTGTGTTTTTTTGCTTGTTCAAACTTTTAGGTAACCAAATAAACAGTGGTGTACCATCAACCTGAGTAATGGCTACCTACATAAACAAGCATACTAACTCCTATTGCCGCCATTACCATAACACAAGATGCGCAGTAAAGCAGTTCATATAAAAAGGGAAGTAACTGCATGCTATATTGGATCACATTGTTTCAACTAATGGGATTTTTATAAAAAAATATATTTGAAAATGGAGTGAGTGAGTGAGTGAGTATGGTTTTACGCCGCTTTTAGCAATATTCCAGCAATATCACGGCGGGGGACACCAGAAATGAGCTTCACACATTGTACCCATGTCGGGAATCGAACCCGGGTCTTCGGCGTGACGAGCGAACACTTTAACCAGTAGGCTACCCGACCACCCCTATTTGAAAATGGAAATAAAAACGAAACGTGCAGCAAACTTGATGATGATACGGGCGGTGCCTGAGAACCAAGATTATTATTTTTTTAGCCATATAAATCTTTCTGTGCAGACCTTTACAGTGGCATCAAATATACACAAATCATAGGTCAGTGAATTCCTCGCTACTCACTACTTCCTATCAAAGACTGTAATTCAAGGATAAACATCATGTACAGAAAGGGACTCAACACACAGCCCTGTCAAACACCGCTCAGTGATTCAAAATAGTCTGAAAGAGAGGTTTTTGATGTTCTGAAAGCTCACAGAATCTTGGAATCGTCTTTCTGACGTGACCCGTAATGGGTTGTCCTCAGATCTTTGTTTAGCGATAGCGAGAACTAAGATCTGATTTCAATGAGATCGTCTATTTTTTGTGCAAGGAAATGACATTTCGCTTTGCTTTGAGGTTAAATATATATTTGTGGTCTTGAAATACTAAAAAAACCAAGACAATTGTGATTGAACTTTGTGTGAATGACGTGTAGATCAAACTAAGTTACTTCAGAGATGACGTCATTGCATTTATTTGTTGAAAGTTGGGACTTACAAAAATTAGAGGGGACTGGTACGTTTTAGAGTTGCCAGTCCACCAGGGAAGTCCAACCCAACGGGAAGACTGACCTGTATCGGAACACGCAGGTGATAGATCAAGTTGAAAGGTGAGCATGGTGAGTTGACAAGTTTTGAATATACCTGTATCGGAACACTTTTTTTATACATCAAGTGAGTTAAAGACTTCGACTATACCTGAATCGGAACACTCAGGTGATACATCAAGTTAAAAGGTGAGTTAACGAGGTTTCACAGACTCACCTGTATACATCATTTTGATGAGCGGTGTGATGGCTGCATGATCCACCTCCGGAATACAGAGAGACATGTTCTTCTTCAGGTGACACAGCACTGGACTGAAAGCTGCGAGGACACACGAATGAACCTTGAACTCTTTGTCCTTGACCTTCACAACAAGGTCACAATGTTGACCTTTCAACCACTGCTGGTGCAACTGGTGACGAAAGTTTTCTGAATGATCGTCAATGATATGTACAAACTTTGTAGCCACGTTTGAACTGGACTTTTGGGAATCGTCGCCAGATGAATCTTCCTTCTTACTCCTGTCTGAATAATTATCATCCATATTTTCTTCAAGATTCTGAACAATTTCATTAACTCTCTCCGCGAATTTTGAGGCTGTCATTTCCTCACTAGTCTCTTGTGGGACTTGTGACATCTGTGTCCGAGACTCGTACACAGTTCGTTGAACAGCCATGCGATCAACAGGAGCCATTACCTCCCCTCCCAAGCTAGCCACACCCGACATACCATTCACCGATCTGACGGCCATGTTATCCACACCACGCCTCACCATGTTATCCATACTTTGATTCGACATGTTATCCATGTTTTGATTTGACATGTTATCCATACTTTGATTCGACATATTCATACTTTGACCCGATATGTTATCCATATTCTGGTTGTTAATACTTTGGCCAGACATGTTATCCATACTTTGCCTGGACATGACACCACTTCTGCTTGCTGTAATGTCTAAACTCCTACCATTCAGTCCATGAGATGACATGCTTTCGATACTGCGAGGAACAAGGCCATTCATTCCACTGGACGCCATGTTGTTCAAGTCCCTTGTGGCCATACTCATTCCACGGGGATCAAGACTGTCCAGGCTCCTTGTCGGCAGCGTGTCATACCCTCGATTCACCATACCGTCATATCCACCTGCATTCATATCCAATCCCCTGGCAACTATGTTGTCCAGTCTACTGGCAGCCATGTTGTCTAATCTGGCGGCGGCCATGTTGTCAATTCTTGAGGCAGCCATGTTGTCCATACTGTTTGCAGCCATACTTGCCATGCCAACATTAACCAGACTGGGATCTTCATTATCCAAACTTCCTGTTTCCATGGCTACCTATAGATCAATTTTGAAAACAATAATAAAATTAAAATCAGAATTTGAAGTTTATAGCTTGGCTGAGATCAAACATATTTCAAATGTTGAGTGAAATATCAGGTTTCTCTCATCGAGTGACAGGGGGGAGTGGCGTCGCCAGAGTTAAAATATCCCCCCCCCCCCCTGTTACGAGATGAGAGAAACATGATATTTCACTCAACATTTGAAATGACACATGGAATATCCTATTTAATATATACTTTTTGTGTAGTTGTATACTGGAAAATTATTTTTTGTCATTACAAATATAAAACCTTGAAATGTAAATTGTCACTACCTAACACAGGACGTTTCACCACCCTTGTATTTGAGACTTATAAAGTAGTTTCAAGTTTGCGAAATCTTAAAACGTATAAACAAAAGTAATAAAAAATATTTGAGGTAACTAAAATTCTTTATCATACATTTGGATATAATTATATACAAAGTCGACTTAAAAAAAATATTCTTGAAAGCTATGAGACTGAAGTTGGAAGTTAAGGAATAAACACTGGTCAAGTAACAAAAATGGCGCTCGGTGAAACGAATAGTCTTGACTGACAAGTTAAATGACAAATTTACAGTTAATAACGAAACATTATCAAGAGAATAACAAACAGCAAGAAGCGACATTAACTCAATAAATGACCACTTTCATTATTTAGCCTTGTCAATGTGGAACTAAAGTAAAAAGAAAGTCAAGAGGTTGTGTACAGGCCAGACACTTACGATAAAGGGAGACAATTTGAGTGAGTGAGAGATATGGTTTTATGCCGCTTTTAGCAATATTCCAGCAATATCATGGCAGGGGACACCAAAAATGGGCTTCACACATTGCACCCATGTCAGAATTCGAACCCGGGTCTTTGGCATTTCGAGCGAATTGCTAAAAGCGGCGTAAAACCATATTCACTCACTCATTTAAAATTAGTAGCAATATTGATGCATTGAGAACTGGTTCAGAATTATTGCCTCAAAGGCTACTATATTGACCCGCAAAGATTCCGGGGTAGAATAGGTCTTCAGCAACCTATGCTTGCCGTAAAAGGTGACTATGCTTGTCGTAAAAGGCGACTAACGGGATCGGGTGGTCAGGCTCGCTGACTTGGTTGATGCATGTCATCGATCCCAATTGCGTGGATCGATGCTCATCATATTAATCACTGGATTGTCTGGTCCAGACTCGAATATTTACAGACCGCCGTCATATAGCTGAAATATTGCTGAATGCGGCGTTAAACAACAAACCAGTCATGGAATTTTTACTTGTCCAGAGCAAAATCATGTCACAGGCTAGTGGACCAGTGTGAATCTCTAAGGCTTGGTTGTGGATGTCTCAGCGTCTGTATGGGATGTCAGGTTGTAAATACTGTGCAGTACCTGTAGTCATGATTTTGCTGAGGTACACGTGTTTTGGTGGTTGAGACCAAGTAACCAGGCTGAATTCAGTGACTAAAATATTTCCATTGTCTTTTCCAAAACATCTTAAGCTACAACATTTTTATCAGACATTTGTTTGTTGTTTAACGCCGCACTCAGCAATATTCCAGCTATATGGCAGCAGTCTGTAAATAATCAAGTCTGGACTAGACAATCCAGTGATTGACATCATGAGTGAGTGAGTGAGTTGGGTTTTACGCCGCTTTTAACTGTATTCCAGTTATATCACGGCGTGTCAGCTTAATGTGGGAGGAAAGCCCGAAGTGATGCATGTCTCGGACGTTTACCACTTCGGTGAAACCCACGAGCACGGGTATGGTGCTGAAAAACCTAGAAACATAATCGGGGCGAACCGGAATTCGAACCCACAATCATAGGTTTCTGGCGTGCCCAAGGGACGCAACTCTGCACAGCGAATCGCGACGCCTTAGACGACTGGGCCACCCGTGCCCCCGATTGACATCATGAGCATCAATCTAAGCAATTGGGATATGATGACATGTATCAACTAAGTCAGCGAGTCGGACCACCTGATCCCGTTTGTTGCCTCTTACAGCAAGCATGGGTTGCTTAAGACCAATTCTAACCTGGATCTTCACGGTGGGGGGAAAGACAAGTATGGGTTGCTAAGACCAATTCTAAACCCAATCATTATGGTTTTTATCAGAAGTATGCATAAATAATGATTGTGTCTCATATTCATGTGAGGTTACATTCTGGCTGAAGACAGATAGGCCTATTTCTGTTTGATAAATACCAGATATTCTGTACTAAAGTGGATTTGCTAGATATCAAATTCTAAGCCAATATAAATTGTACGCCCTACGCCCTACCATTTCGCAAGACAATTAATGTAAATGATATAATATTTATCCAAATTTTGTTTTTAACAACTTTAGTTAAAATTACCACAGACAGATACATAGCACAGATATTAAAATCGATACACGCCCACCGCTTGAGTTCCGCAAAATTATGGGACGAACATAAAATGTCAAACTGAAATGAAATTGACATCTCAAAATATCGCGCACTTGCAATATACTGTTGAACTCGTGCAATATTGTCTCGTGCACCGTGCACGTGGGCAATGTACTCGCCTATTGTTTACAAATGACATAAACTATTGTTTACTTGACACCCAAACGCGTGGCGAGAAGTTGCACCCGCGGGTAACCCCTTATCGTTTCAGTACCGTTAACTCATTTGCGGCGGCTAGCGGGAGGCAAATTAATTTGCCGATTATTAACCAATTAGCCTGTAATATTATGCAATGCGACCGGCCAAAGACCTAGAGCGTTAGCTAAAGCAAATACAAAGAGTCACTGATGCATATTACCTTTGCAAACTATGCGGAATTAGCATGGAATTTGTGGCAATATGGCGGACCATCGTCTTCTCCGAGCTGAAAATGTAGGTTAACCCCTACCGTTGAAAGAGTTAAGTCCCTTGGCACTTCTAACTGTAAATTGGCCGGTGAGCCGTGGCGATTTATCGTTATTTGTAATCAGATTATTATGCAAACTTGAAGAATGGTTATGTTAATATCCGATTTAAATGATAGTTAGATACGTTGTCCAGGTATTAAACACCAATTCATGAAAGTCGTTTGTTTTACGTATTCTGTTAACCCATTATCAATTAAAGATCAATGAAAGTTGCTAAGTTGCTAAGGAACATATACTTGTCGAAAATTCAGATAAAGACATTTTACGTGTAAAAGTGACACTTAATATGTTAAATACAAAATATTTATCAATAAATTGATTCGGATGATTCAATAGAAAAAAATCTAAAAAAAATCCCCCGTTTGGTGTGCAAATTTGCATCTTTACACAGATCTATATGACAACACATGAACGATATATTAGTATGATATCCTTTTTCGCTCTGTGACAATATGAATTCAACTGGACTTCAAAAATAGCTGGTGTTAAAATTGATAGTGTGGCAATATTGATTGAAGTAGCTGTAAAATCACCACTTAAACGCTGTTCACACATGCAGTCATTTTATCGCCATGTGGTAATAGCTGTTCAGTTCTAAGCAGTGTTGCCAGTAGGGCTGGGACGGGTAACTCGGGTACTCGGGTCGGGTGGGTACTGAGTAGGACCCGGGTACCCACGGGACTACCCGGACCCGAGTTTAGTCACGTAATTATATATATATTGTTTAATGGCAAAACTTATCTAGAGCTCTATGGCTACACTATAAGTGACAAATATTCACATTTCTTTCTGACTATATATGTAAACATACCTTCTGGCTTTATATGTTTGCATAAAGATAAAACTTCAGTCAACTTCAGTGTATGCATGACCAGATCAGTTTATACGTGTATCTAAATGCATTGTGACAGGTGTACGGCCAAACGTTTCCCAATCGGTCATTTTGCAATCTCATTAAAATCAGACCTCAGTTCTCGCTACCGCTAAACAAAGATCTCAGGAAATCCCATTAGGGGTCACTTCAGAACGACCTTTCATCCGACCAATCAGAGCACCGCTAACCAGATTATGAAAGTGACAGTCGGGATGTGATTTCTAATCATGCAACCTCGAAAACTTTAACTCCGAACGATAGGTACGGGTTTAACGACTGAATCCATACAATCTAGACCATCGATTAGCCATTCCAGAATGTTCTTTTGTTCGGGTTTCAAATGGGATGTCCTCAGATCTTTGTTTAGCGGTAGCGAGAACTAAGATCTCATTTTAATGAGATTGGTCATTTTGTACCAATCTCTTGAGGCCTACAGCGGACACCCGGGTAGGGTCGGATAATAGGGGGTTGGGTACCCGGGTAGTAAATTTTTACTCGTCCCAGCCCTAGTTGCCAGATGGTTTTCAGGTGGGTTGTTTTAATTATGAAAACAGAAACAAGAACAAATTTAGTAAAAGGTATAATAGTTTCTCGAAGCTGTGTTGATTCCCGGCGTCGGAGTCTTCTTGTCAGACGTACACCGTTCATGTATATACCTAAAGTACAGATCGGGATCGGGTGGTCAGGCTCGCTGACTTGGTTGATGCATGTTATTGTATCCCAAATTCGTAGATCGATGCTGAACATACTGTGTTACCTCCCCTGAATCAACGAGTTCCACCTATTACACCCCAAATGGTTATGCCTCGCCGAACTGAAAATGAGTTGTTGCGGGCAATGGAATGCTTAAAAAGTTAATTGTTTCTAACTAAGTTTCCAGACGTTTAGGTGTTCATCGTAACACCATACAGTAACTCTGGGTGTCGGTACCAAGACTGGCAACACCAGGGACCGACCACACGAGGTTAATTTTTTCTAGGCGTTTAGGTGTTCATCGCAATACCATACAGACACTCTGGGTGTCGGTACCACGAGTGGCAACACCATGGACCGACCACGTTCTTGACGTTCACAAGTAACGTCACGTCGGCAAGATAATCATATCCGTCTGGTTTAACCTCGACGTCGGTTTCAAACTGCCACTTCGACAGCCCGCAGCATCCCTGGTCTATGTGCGATTACTGCGAGGACTGTGAGGAATAGATTACGAGAGCCTAACATCCGACCACGATGTCTAGCTATACGTCCAATTTGATGCCACGTCATCGAAGTGCACCAAGTGGTCCAGACAACATTTGATGTTCAGGTTACAGGGCAGTTATAGTCCTCGCCACTTGAAATAGAATCACGAAATATCGCGATGATTAATTAACGAAGATAGCTGCATGTGTGTTTATACCTCTAAAGTGAGAACAAGCCATTCCGCCGATAAGGAGTACTACTTACAGTAACCACAAGAAGTACGAGGTGCGCTTTTCAATAAATATACATTTTGTTATAGTCCTCTTCACAGGTGAGTCCAGTTCTCACGCTATAGCAGTGATGGCCGTCACCGTGTTTATTAACATCGAGTGGAACGTTACACTGACGCGCGCGTTCAGCATCCTGCATTACGCTGAGTATGTTCAGCGTCCTGCATTACGCTGACGCGCGTGTTCAGCATCCTGCATTTCGCTGACGCGCGTGTTCCGCGTCATGCATTACCCTGACGCGCGTGTTCAGCGTCCTGCATCACCCTGACGCGCGTGTTCAGCGTCCTGCATCATCCTGACGCGCGTGTTCAGCATCCTGCATTACGCTAACGCGCGTGTTCAGCGCCCTGCATTACGCTGACGCGCGTGTTCAGCGTCCTGCATTACGCTGACGCGCGTGTTCAGCGCCCTGCATTACGCTGACGCGCGTGTTCAGCGTCCTGCATCACCCTGACGCGCGTGTTCAGCGTCCTGCATCACCCTGACGCGCGTGTTCAGCATCCTGCATTACGCTAACGCGCGTGTTCAGCGCCCTGCATTACGCTGACGCGCGTGTTCAGCGTCCTGCATTACGCTACGCGCGTGTTCAGCGCCCTGCATTACGCTGACGCGCTTGTTCAGCGCCCTGCATTACGCTGACGCGCGTGTTCAGCGTCCTGCATTACGCTGACGCGCTTGTTCAGCATCCTGCATTACGCTGACGCGCGTGGTCAGCGCCCTGCATTACGCTGACGCGCTTGTTCAGCGTCCTCCATTACGCTGACGCGCTTGTTCAGCGTCCTGCATTACGCTGACGCGCGTGTTCACCGCCCTGCATTACGCTGACGCGCTTGTTCAGCGTCCTGCATTACGCTGACGCGCTTGTTCAGCGTCCTGCATTACGCTGACGCGCTTGTTCAGCATCCTGCATTATGCTGACGCGCTTGTTCAGCGTCCTGCATTACGCTGACACGCGTATTCAGCATCCTGCATTATGCTGACGCGCGTGTTCAGCTTCATGCATTCGGTGGTGGGGTGAGATGATGTGAATGGTGTTTAACGTCGCGTCCAGAAGATTATTGCACTGATATAGCGACGTGCATGCGTGTGTGCGTGTGGCTGCTTGTGCTAGTCCGGACTAATGCCGATTTATAGTGCTTGTGCTAGCCCAGTGAGATACAATACTGCAGTTTGACATGAATACCCTACTCACATTCTACTGACTCCAAGCAGACCAGTCCTTGTTTTAGCCCTATAATGCCGCGCGACAGGCAGGGTAACAACAAGTACCGTCTTTTAAGGTCTTTTTATAAGACGCGGCCGGGGATCCAACCCCGGACTTTCTGCTCTCCTGGCGGACGCTCTATACCACTAGACCACGGAGGCGGCCATTCGGTGATGGGGTCGTAATTTGATAGGTGTACGGTAACGTGACGAAGTTATCCGTCCTCACGGTATCTTCAGACCTATGGACGACATATAGAGTAGTGGCCAGACCCTCAAACTGCCGACATACCCCTCCCCAAAGTAGGACAAAGCAAACTTAGATTTTCTTTATGTCTCTGTATCCAGCAGACTAGAAAATTATGGTTGCGGTCAAATGTTTTGGTGGAAGATACTGTTTTGGGGTCAAAATGCACATTTCTGTTGTAAAAATAGTGAAACTCAAATAAAGTCCCCTTAAAAAGGTAGCGTGTGCATTGAGTCCTGTTTTTTTTATCATTTATGTGATAGTTTACCTATAATAGACTTGAATTATATTTTTTGTAAAAACCTGTAGCCTCGCACAAATTGAGTTATCAGTAAAACTAAGCCCCCAAATGGTTAATTTCGTTCTATTTTCGCAATGGATTATTAGTATTATCAACCAAGTCATTTGATGTTAAAAATGAACCGAGACGCCTTATGATGTGTTCATATTCAACATAACTTTTATGATATTTGAAAGAATTGGTAATATGCTAACCCACCCATTTTGTCAAATTGGGCACTGTTTAATTCGCATTGTTAATTTCATTACTAAAAGTTTTATACAACACATACCTATATACTATTTCTATATAGGATATTATAAAGGCCTGCCTAAAATCAATGATTTTTTTAAACCACCAAAGAGGTCGATTTGAAGGTCAATGTCACTTTGAAGGTCAAGTTCTAAATTAATGCATAAAAATGCCACAAATGTTTCTGAGTATGCTTGGTAAAGCCCTATAGAATATACGAAAAACACTGGATGACCTAGACTATGTCCAGGCTTTCAACACTGACAAGGCAGCTAGAATGCTCCCACCGACACAAGATGCTTTCAAGCAACACGTTTTGAGACAATATGGCTACATAGTCTTTGGTTTGGTTTGTTGTTTAACGCCGCACTCAGCAATATTCCAGCTATATGACGGCGGTCTGTAAATAATCGAGTCTGGACCAGGCAATCCAGTGATTTATATCATGAGCATCGATCCGCGCAATTGGGATCGATGACATGCATCAACCAAGTCAGCGAGCCTGACCACCCGATCCCGTTAGTCGCCTTTTACGACAAGCATAGTCGCCTTTCACGGCAAGCATGGGTTGCTGAAGACCTATTCTACCCCGGATCTTCACGGGTCGGCTACATAGTCATGTGCCAAACCGCAGTGTGGAGAATCCTGAGGGAACTAGGTGATGATGGGCGTCTTGGACACAACATGCTCGTGTGAACCCGTGAGCACTCGTCCAAGTCAGATACATCACTCATTTGAGCTGCAGTGACAGATCATATGCTTGTCGTCTCCAGAAAGTGTCCCTGCCTCATGGCTGGACTACCATGTACAGAGAGCAGTGCACCTGCTCTGGCTGCCTAAACGGTGCACGTGATAATGAACCTGAGGGTTAGAGTTACATTGGTAGTGACCAATGCATCTTACGGTAGTGGAGCAAAAAAAATGAATTTGTTAATGAGTTACTGACAATATTGAATCAATTGCTTCAGATTGAACTTCAAAGTTAATATGATCAGCAATTATAGTAGATAACAAGCATAAAATACTCACATCCCCCGCCAATATGACATGTCGGGTGTGTGCAATGCATTAGCTCCTGTGAACTATGTTCACTGGGCCTTTTTGTAAAGAAATATAGTACGTTTTTCAAGATCTGCTCCGAAAACGAGGACTACCTCCATTTTCAGTCTAAATCAAAGTCGTTGCCATGGAAACTCGAAAAATATTTCTTTTTTAAATCCCAAACTATCAAAAGGCACCAGTTTACCACTAGATCTATCTATGCGCCAAATTTGGTGAAGAAATATGGTACGGTTTTCAAGATCTGCTCCGGAAACGAGGACTACTGCCATTTTCAGTCTAAATCAAAGTCGTTGCCATGGAAACTCGAAAAATATATTTTTTTTAAATCCCAAACTATCAAAAGGCACCAGTTCACCACTAGATCTATCTATGTGCCAAGTTTGGTGAAGAAATATGGTACGGTTTTCAAGATCTGCTCCGGAAACGAGGACTACCGCCTTTTTCAGTCTAAATCAAAGTCGTTGCCATGGAAACTCGAAAAAAAATTTTTTTTTAAATCCCAAACTATCAAAAGGCACCAGTTCACCACTAGATCTATCGATGTGCCAAGTTTGGTGAAGAAATATGGTACGGTTTTCAAGATCTGCTCCGGAAACGAGGACTACCGCCTTTTTCAGTCTAAATCAAAGTCGTTGCCATGGAAACTCGAAAAATATATTTTTTTTAAATCCTAAACTATCAAAAGGCACCAGTTCACCACTAGATCTATCTATGTGCCAAGTTTGGTGAAGAAATATGGTACAGTTATCAAGATCTGCTCCGGAAACGAAATGTGACGGACGGACGGCACCCATTCCTATATTCCCCTTCCACTTCGTGGCGGGGGATAATTATCTTATATATGATAACAACTTGATAAATGAAGTTCATGGACGAAACTTAAATTTGGACATTTAGATTTCTCATACATTCCGAAGTGAAGACGAAATATTGTCATCTTCCTGTATTGGCGCCAATCTCGGGGAGTTTTTTAATAATTTGAAAATGAAAACACAAAGTGTTTTTTTTCATGTTTTTAACCCATTTTGGTTTATAACTCTAATGAAACAATATTGCTTATTTATTCTATTGTATGTTTCTTATATCAGCACATTGATTTTGTGATAAAATGAGAAATCCAATATGCAAAATTGACTTGTTTAGAGATATATATTTGTTTTACTGAATTTTGACACAAAAATGTGCATTTTACTAAAAACACGTTTGTCACCAAAAGAAATCACAACCAGCATTTTCTAATACATAAATGACATCTTGTGGTTATGCTTTGTTCGACTGTGGGGAGGGGTTGTCCTGAAATAATCTGCCTCTTTAGGGTTGGCCGCTCTCTAATATCACTTCACAGCAGGACAATGCATGACCTTGTGTGGCACTTGCGGTCACCGACTCCACTGGACAACAGAACATCCAGCCAGATTCGACGTCCATCGAAGACATGAGGGATGAAATGAAACGCGGTTTACATCGACTTCCAACCAACGGATGACGTTGATCCAGCTGAAACAGGCCTTGGTCCAGATGTGGAATGCCACCCCACAATCCTTCCTCCATCTTGTGACGTCAATGAGGCGCCGTTGACAAGTTTATGTCACTGCTAATGGTGGTCCTCCCTGACATTGCCCCCACCCACTTTCGGCCGGAGATGAGGTTTACAGAGAACGTTTTTCATGGACTGCAAAATATTGGTCTGTTGCAAAATGGTCACTTCCAGGTGTTTGCTTTGCCGCCATGCGGGTACAACCTCGTTTTGGATTTTGAGTGAGTGAGTGAGTGATAGAGTGAGTTGGGTTTAACACCGCTTTTAACATTATTCCAGTCATAACGCAGGTGACAGCTTAATTTGGAATGAATGAATGAATGAATATTGTTTTACGCCGCATCAGCAATTTTCCAGCTATTCATGGCAAGCTTAATGTGGAAGGAAAACCCGAAGTGATGCAGGTTTCAGATGTTTACCACTTTGGTGAAACCAATGAGCACGGGTATGGTGCTTCACGACTGGGCCACCCGTGCCCCCTCAGGATAACAAGCAGTACCATCATTTAATGTCTTTTGGTTTGATGCAGCGAAGAATCCCCGGCCTTCCGCTCTACCACAAGACCACCACTAAAACGGTCCCCTATTAAGTCGTTTCGTACAATCAGACCAATTCTGACCAGGGTCCTTTGTTAATCAGCAATAAAATAACAAACCATGAAGTGATTGTACTTTATTGTTACCTATGTACACGTGACTCGCCCACAGAGTGTGGTGAATACAAATATAGATCAAGGGGACATCACACTAACACACTTTCCCACCGATACAAGGAGTTGCCTTGTCAATAATCGGTTTGCCTCACTCAAACACAAAGGTATTGTCTGTCATTTCCAATATTTTCCACCAATAAATTTGAATACAAAATTCATTTCAAATCAAAGCACATTTTATCAACCAAAAAACATTTTCGCAAATATATTGTTTCAAATAATTTTAAAGCTACCAACAGCTGAGATATTTGTTAGTTTGAAATTGGAATAAGATATTTGTAACCATACAAATGTGCATTTCTCCAAGGAGATACTCAACAAGGCATTAACATTCTCAAAACGTTGATATCTTCTCCAACATACAACTTGTTTAATTCCAGCCTCACTATCAATATGGCAGTTACATTCTCTCATCGCTTCAGAATAATGAAAATTAATTAGAAAATGCAAGACAGTGGATTAAAACAACCAATTTGGTTTTCATTTCACACTGTTCAGCCTTTTCCTTTATTGGATCCTTCATAAACCATGGCCAAACGCTGATAATGAACTGAAACGAGTGAACTCATAGAATGATGGTGGGTGGGGTGACTCAAAAAGATGAAACATGGATTGTTGCTTGGAACATATATTCCCTTATAATTACGATTTTACCAAAGAGATTTCTGAAATTTGAAAAGATTTTCAGCCCATTATTTTATGCACCTCTGGCAACAGTTTTAACAGATCTATAAAACATAGTGAAAGAACAATGCTTTTAAAAGAGCGAGAAGTTCTCAAGTGGCTTTAGTTCCATCATTAAACGGGTTCATACCAAGCAAGCACATCAACCACTTCCCTAACATAGGGGATTCAAACCCTGAACAAGTTCATACCAAGCAAGCACTTCAACCACTGCCCTAACACTGGGGATTCAAACCCTGAACAAGTTCATATCTAGCAAGGGCACCAACCACTTGGCTAAAGCCTGAACAAGTTCATACCTAGCAAGCACATCAACCACTTCCCTAACACTGGGGATTCAAACCCTGAACAAGTTCACACGTAGCAAGCACTTCAACCACTGCCCTAATACTGGAGATTCAAACCCTGAACAAGTTCATATCTAGCAAGGGCACCAACCACTTGGCTCAAGCCTGAACAAGTTCATACCTAGCAAGCACTTCAACCAGTGCCCTAACACTGGGGATTCAAACCCTGAACAAGTTCATATCTAGCAAGTGCGTCAACCACTGCCCCAACCCCCGGGAATCAAACCCTGAACAAGTTCATAACTAGCAAGTGCATCAACCACGGCCCCAACCCCCGGGAATCAAACCCTGAACAAGTTCATAACTAGCAAGTGCATCAACCACTGCCCCAACCCCCGGGAATCAAACCCTGAACAAGTTCATAACTAGCAAGTGCATCAACCACTGCCCCAACCCCCGGGAATCAAACCCTGAACAAGTTCATAACTAGCAAGTGCATCAACCACTGCTCCAACCCCGGGGAATCAAACCCTGAACAAGTTCATACCAAGCAAACACATCAACCACTTGGCCCACTGCCCCACATTGTTACAAGGCTAACAGAGACTCATTCTCATATATATACATGATGCATTACTGAATTAACAAATATTTCAAAGGTCATTTAGAAGTGAAAGACTATCTCATTAACAGTTTCAAAAATATATACAAAATTTAAAAATACTATTCATCTGTAAACTATAACTGCAGATTTAAACAAAGACACTGTGTTAATTTCCCTTATTGATGTCTCTTGAATTAAGATATTTTAAAACAGAATTTAAGATCATGAATTTTAGAGAAAAAATATGGTATATGAAAAACAAGAACAATTTGTTTAACTGACATGATTAAAAAAATCAACAAGTATCAATAGAAATGAACACTTAAAATATACTGAGGGAAATAAGTAAGGGTATACCTTTACACAGAAGTTTGACATAGTGAACACAAGTGGTTTGTCCGTTTCACTCAGTGAGTGAGTGAGTTGTGTTTAACGCCGCTTGTAACAGTACATGTATTCCAGTCATATCACGGCGTGTCACCTCAATGTGGGCGGAAAGCCCGAAGTGATGCAGGTCTCAGACGTTTACCACTTCGGTGAAAGCCATGAGCACACAAACCTAGAAACACAATCGGGGCAAAACGGGATTCAAACCCACAATCACAGGTTTCTGGCGTGCCCAAGGGACACAGCGAATTGCGGCGCCTTAGACTACTGGGCCACCCGTGCCCCCTTCATTTCACTCAGGCCTTAATGACAACACTGAGTGAAAGGGAAATGCAGACGCTACTTTTTTGTGACTGTCCTTCGTGTTCCCTTACTTTTTGCCCTCAGTATATGTCAGTTTAACCTTTGAGAGATATGTTCATCTTTATCTTGGACAACAATATCGATGAGAAATTTACTCATACTGCACAAAGGATTATTACATAAATTAAGAGATTACTTTTGAAAGACATGAACTTGCTCTATTCGGCCACTCCCACGAGACACAAATACAATAAATAAACTATTCCTTTACCTGTGGCGTATCAAACCAGTCCTGTACATATATACATTCCTCATTCCCAGCATCGCCTGAAAACTCCTAAAAAATATATGTTTTGGGATGTACATTAAAGATCCCTCTCGAGGCATCTGGCGTGTCACTTAATTTGGGCCTTACTTTGTCTTGGAATCCAAGCTAGAAACTCGTTGGTCATAACAGCTTGTTTTCAGCTGGTATGATAAAATTAGAGCCAAATATTATACTGATTTGTCACTATTAACAAGAAAAAGACGAAAAGTAAATTTAAATATTCAAATATTGGTACCAGATTTTATGACATCAAGCATACGAAAAGTGGGTTGGCAACTTGGCATCCTCATTAATTCCAAAAATTTATGGATTTGATTACACGAAGAGTTTCATAAATGTATACTACTCAAAAGAAGGTCTTAAAAAATAAGGTGTTCTTGAACGTCTTTTGAGAAGTATATCTACAGCTTAATCATGACCAAACCAACAAATGTCTGGGTACAACCGGTCGGATTTGTCAGCAATAACAACACTGCCTCTCAAAACATTTCCCATCAAACCAAACGTACATGACAACAAACCAAACCTTCCAATGGAGTGTGGACGCACTAAATAATAACTAAATACTGATATCAAAGATGTAACAAAATAAGCCATTCTACTGCTTGAAATGATTGCTTTGGATCTGACATGATATTTTAATCACTGTTATAAATAAATCAACATTTCTACAAATGCAGCATTTAAAATACAAAAATGTGAATACTTTCCAAAATGAAGTATGCAGAAAACTGACATGAGTCCTTAAGATGTCATTTCAATCATCATCCTTAAAACTGAGTAGCACAATGTAAAACACTTTAAGCAGCTGATACAGGCATAGGCTGGATGCGTTACATCAACATCAGACACCAACTCACTCAAGCTGATCTCAACTGCACAAGATGAAGATGATAAAACAATTATGTAAACAAAGTTGGCGGAAAACCAAACAAAACCAACCGCAAATGTTTTTAATTCATTGTCCTAATATCCAATAATTTCAAAAGTAACACCACCAAAGGGAGATAACTGTTGGTTCAAGGGGAGATAATCCTCTGGGATGTCTTCACATTTTTTCAAATGCATGGCTATTAAAGGGAGGTAACAGTTCAAAGGGAGATAACCCTACACAATGACTGCCACAAACGTGCAGCCTTTGAACACCCAACTGTGAAGCTATACATGACTACAAAATCTCATAACCATGAACAAACTATATACAAACACAGCTCACATCTGTGTAATCCTGCATAAATAAATCATCTGACTATACGCTAGGTTAACACACTAACTACATAATATTTGCATTGCATGTGCTTTGTTCAAGGGCTAATGCCAGGGAGACATTCGGTCAAAATCAATGAAAATTCGTGACCCTCTTCCTACTGCGACCTTAGCAGTATAGCTCGGATGGGTAGAAAGTGAAAGACTCACACCTGTGTCTCAAAACTGGGATGGGTATTGGAGGCATTAAGAGTATCACAATATTTTACGATGCACAAGGCTGTATTGAGAGCTATGGTATAATTCGAAATGTGGAATTCAGAAGCAATTTGAAACACCTGTGAATGAAATGAAGTTCACAAATGGAACAAAACAAGATGCTGGTACAACATAATGTTTACTCATTCCATAAATATACTCCAGATGCACACTCCGGGGGTAATTGGCAAGTGAATAACATTAAACACATGCTAAAAATCAATGATATACCAAGCATTAAGAAAACATTGTGATACGCATCGTGGGAAGATTGAACCTCAAAAGAAATAAGAATTTGGAGTCTCAAAGTGTCGTCCAACTGACTTGGGACTTTGTTGATTTTAAGTTATTATCACCAGGATTGCAGGTCAGGGGAAACAAAGTTGGCCTGAGCTGTGGTGCTATAGCTGCAATGACAAGGTCACAGGGTCCAGGTGGGAGGGTAAATCTTCCCCCTCTGGTGCATCCTAGGGCTGAGACGAGTCCAAATTTACTACCCCGTACCCGACCCCTATGACCTGACCAGACCAGACCCGATTCCCTATGACCTGACCAGACCAGACCCGATCCCCTATGACCTGACAAGACCCGACCCCTATGACCTAACCCGACCCCCTATGACCTGACCCAACCCGACCTGACCCCTCGCTGTAGGTCTCAAGAGCCCTGGCAAAAAAATTTAGATACACGTCTTAAACAATCTGATTAAGATACACAGAACTTAGATACACATAACACATTCGATTTTGATACACGCAATTTAGATACACGTACATCACAATCTGATCCTGCCTATGCTGAAGTTGGCTGAAGGTTTATCTTCACTCAAATGTATAAAAGTCAGAAGGAATGCCTGATTAGGCAGAAAGAAATTTGAACATTAGTGACTTGTGTAACCATGGACTTTTATTTTTATCAAATAATATACAACCCGACTAAACAGAGGTCTGGGTAGTCCTGTGTACCCGAGTCCTACTCAGGCCCCACCTAACCCGAGCTACCCATCCCAGCCCTAGTGCATGCGCACCGACAATCAGGCATATGTGTTTCCATCGGACTATTTCAGTCATACAAGGGGCGGTCAGGTAGCGTCGCTCGTCAAGCCGAATACCTGGGTTCTCAAGAGCCACAAGGCTCGGAAGCTCACCTTAAATATTAATAAATATTGGCGGACATGTTTTAAGTCGGATTGGAATTCTGTGTGCAAATGTAAGCGACACGATGGCTGGGATCATGAATGCCAAGTATCAACTCCACATCAGATTTTGTAGTTTCCCACAAGATGCCGAAAATGTAAAACTTCACGACCGACAGACGACTGGACAATTCACCAAGACATGTGTTCACATTGACTGTCATACAAGGGGCGGTCAGGTAGCGTCGCTCGTCAAGCCGAATACCTGGGTTCGATTCACGACATGGGTACGATGTGTGAAGCCCATGTCTAGTGTCCCCAGCCGTGATATTGCTGGAATATTGCTAAAAGCGGCGTAAAACCATACTCACTCACTCAGTCATACAACGGCGTGTCACTTTATTTCATTTAGGAGAAATGACTGGCCTTAGATGTTTACCACTTTTGTGAAACCCACAAGTATGGGTAGCTTACTGACAAACCTAGAATCATAATCAGGGGGAATCAGGCATTCGAACATTTAATAATAGGTTCCTGGCACACCTAGGGGACACAACTCCTTACAACATATTGGAAAGCCGTTCACACAATCTGCATGCCACAAACCATCCAACATTGACTTTTCAGAATGGTCCCTAAAAACATCTTCACCTTGATCAACTAATGCCCCATGGTATCTGAACACAAATTGTCGATTTCACAGTAGTACAAAAGATGCCCTAAAGTGTTGTCACTCTCCCATGTCACCATGGTAACATACCCTGCACCGTCATGTTCCATTAACTAAACAAACAAACAAACAAAATATCAGACTAGTAAAAGTTCTTTCAACAAATTGTACCAGGATTTCAACTAACTCACAACAATCTTCCTGAAGTCATTGTTATGGCTTGAGTTAGCATTGCCGATTAGGATAAAGGTAACAAGAGCCACAAGGCTCGGAAGCTCACCTTAAATATTAATAAATATTGGCGGACATGTTTTAAGTCGGATTGGAATTCTGTGTGCAAATGTAAGCGACACGATGGCTGGGATCATGAATGCCAAGTATCAACTCCACATCAGATTTTGTAGTTTCCCACAAGATGCCGAAAATGTAAAACTTCACGACCGACAGATGACTGGACAATTCACCAAGACATGTGTTCACTTGACTTTCAGTCCCGTGAGCTAAAAATTGAATTGTGTAACTTATTTTCCAAAGATGATGTGATTGGGTACACATATCCTGATTGTGTGATGACTCCTACCTTGGGTGAAGTATAGGGCATGGGACCATCCATACAAGGACGTGTAAGAGTCTTAGACATCAAACATTCATGGTGAGTGAGTGAGTTGGGTTTAACGCCGCTTTTAACATTATTCCAGTTATATCACGGCGTGTCCGCTTGATGTGGGAAGAAAGCCCGAAGTGATGCAGGTCTCAGACGTTTACCACTTCGGTAAAACCCACAAGCACGGGTATGGTGATGACAAACCTAGAAACATAATCGGGGCGAACCGGGATTTGAACCCACAATCATAGGTTTCTGGCCTAAGGGACGCAACTCTGCACAGCGAATCGCGGCGCCTTAGACGACTGGGACACCCATAACAGTCAAACAAAACACTGTCTGATGTCCAATCAGAGAACTCTCAATGGATTAAAATATTTCTTCTAAATTGAGACGAATATGAATACCGTATTCAACGTAAAAAGCGCCCCACTCTAATAAGCGCCCACGGCGATATTTGTTAATATATTGGCTAGTGAACAATCCCAATTAGCACCCCTTCCGATTGATCAATGTAAACAAGACTTATTCATTCGTGTATAATACGCACTTGCGTGTAATATGCACCCTTAATTTTGGGCAATTAAACTCTGGAAGAATATATCTGTCGTATATAAACATTTCAGACTGTCAGCATAAACCACGAAATTTATCTTTCAACTCTATTGCCCCGTATTTGTAATTTTGAGAGCGCCCTGAGCGCTTTTTACGTCGAATATGGTAATAAAACTTTATTTTAACAACTTAATAGCAAGTTGATTTACTTTTTTTCCAATAAGCTTGTCAACAACCAATGTCAGACATCCAATAATTAAGTAGTTTTTGTCATTAATATTACATACAGGACATTCTTCCATAATCATAGAACAAACGGGGTCATTCAATAATAATCTCCTTCAACAAACAATACGCCCACAAAATCATAATATCAAAACAAAGGTATTCTTTCAAACACAGAGCTGTAACCATCAGTTACAACATACATACTATACATATTAAACAACCCTCCAAATCCTTCCAAATACTATACATAGTAAGTTGTAAACCCTATTCAAATGTCAACATTTCAAGCATATTTTAACTGACTATTTGATAAATGATTACCTTGGACCCTGTTTCAAACAATTTTTATTTTTAAATTCAAGAAAAATAAATATATTATCTTCTTCAATTAATATTTGCCTGAGGCATCAACTATGGTATATCTAAACACTCTCTCACACCTTAGCTTCAGTTTTGACAAAGATCAAGCCGTCGTCTCAACCGAAACTATAATCTGTGCCCAAATGCAATAGAAAGACGCTGTATTCTCAACATCAAAGTCATCTTTTTAAAATCAAGGTCATAGGGCCAAAACCTGATGCTTTGACCTCGGCAGCTTATTTACATCAAAGCAGAAGTTATTCAGAAAATCGATAATTTAAAAATTTACATCTTTGGCATCAAAAATTACTATTTCTACTTATGTGCAGAGGGTAAACCATATGAGCATCCTACATTAACCTATGCAGATTTGAGTATTTCTAAACTGAAGAGACCACGCAGAAATCAAACCACAGATTCAACAGATCACACATATTCACAAAAAAATGCATAAATGTAAATATATTCACAAAAAATGCATAAATGTAATCAATTGCACAGATTTACAAAAGGCAACTAACAAAAGACGAGACATTTTGAGAGTAGCTCGGACGTAGCACTATTTATTTTTTTAGTCACAGCAAAGACACACATTTGAAACATGATGACCTGCCCGTTCATTCAAACGATTGGTGTGGCATGACTATCATAGGGCTGTGTTGAAGCTACAGTCATCATAGTGCTAAAATCGCTTTTGATAAAGACATGACCATGACATGACCATGACATAGGTCAGTTGTAACCACAACGACATTATTGCATTGGATTCAACTCATGTCTTCACTGACAAGACATCCAATATTGCTATGACAACGTACTGTCTGGCAGACACCGTTGCCATGGTAACCTGTCACAGACACATAAACTGACGTTTCCATGATTTGTTTTGTACCAAAAGTAATGACTCAAGATAGAATTCTAACCAATAACTTAGGCAAGAAAATGTGATCAAACGTGTAACTATGGCAACCAATTGCAACCTTTTTGTCCCGGATGTCACGGATATTTGTATAAGTAGAACTCATATGCTGCTGACAGACCAAGGATCATAATCAGAGGCAAATCGTAGAGACAAACCTATCATCGTAAGAGGATTCTGGCAGCCAAGGGAGGCAACTCTGCAAAGAAAGTTGCTGGACCTACACACCTGGGCCATAGACAGGAAAATAAATATAATAGTGGGGGAAGAAATTCGAAAGATCTTAATGGTAAATGAAACAAAATCACTGGAGTATTTGGTCGAAACAATTATTCAATTTGTAGGATACGAAATTCCAGTAATGAATACTGGTAACCAAAAAAGTACAAACATGACAAATATTTTCACTCTGACATGTCAACATCACAGAGGCAGAAAGCTGATACTCCATGTCTATCCAAACTGGACTTTGCTGGTATCTTGACTATTTTGTCCAATCGGGGGTATCCTTTCATCCGATGTGACACTTCCATGTGGTCCAAACTTGCATGTACACCATGGCATGCTGTCCAATGAAAATTCACGTCACAACTAAATCATCCAATCCAGAGTTATCTGGCATTTTGTCCATGTCATGTTTTTCCATTCAGAACATGCTCCGAATATTCTCATCCAATTAAATCTTGCTCTGGATATCCAATCAAAATCAAGGATATAAAAAGCGATGATGACAAGGGAGGCTACTCCGGCTTTTCCATATTTCCTGTAAAATCTTGAGCCATGCAATAGAAATACTTCAAGCATCGGTCACAGGAAAAGCTTAAATTGTTTATTTACAATGTGACGATTACAAATAACCATTGTATTCAATATCAAAAACTGTGACAAGGGTGTCTGTATTGAAACAAAATGCTGAGTAAAACCCACGTGGTGTCTCCATTGGAGCTAACAAAATGGCTTCTGTCCCTGAATCGCATGTGGAACAAGCTTGTCCACACAGCTAGTCACATGACAGTCACATGACCGTCATGTGATAATCACATGACTAGAGCATCAGATCTTCCTCCCCAGTCTATCACATTGTGACCTTTCACCTTTGAGCCTTAACCTTCCACCTGAGCACAAAATAGCAGCCTATCCTCAGGATGACGAAGAATATACAGAGAATGATGAAGTCCAACCAGAACTCGGCATTTTCAACATCCATCTGCTTGAGAACATCGGATGCCTTCTTGAAGATGCAGACACTTTCATCACAGTTCAGTGATCCCCTGTCGAAGCCATATATAGCTTGCAGAACTCCTTCGAAGGAATACCTGAAGCATGAAGGATCAATGAAGGGTGAGGACAGAGGGGAGGCCATCTTTTTCGTAATCAGTTGGTTTATGGATTTATTTTTTCAAAGACTTTAGGTGTTCAAATTCATAGGTGTTATTTTCAAGGTTAACATTATATGGCTGGTAGGATACAAAAATTTCCTTTGAAAATGTCTATTTTTTTCTGAAATGTTTTCACACAAAAAAGCATTCAAAACAATTAATTGATTCTGAGGACAAAGACACACACTGCTTGGAGGACTGCTGTATTTATAAGATTCACCATAGTTTCTTCTCATGCTTGTGTGTCGCTTGTAGTGTGTATGTGTGATCACCTGTACGAGATATCTCATCTAAAGTGAGTGTGTATGTTTGATGATCACCTGTACTCGTTATTTCACCTGTTGTGAGAGTGTATGTCATACAGTCACCAGAACTTATCACACCTGTGTGCATGTGTGTGATGATCATCTGTACTCGTTATCCCACCTGTAGTGAGAGTGTATGTCATACAGTCACCAGAACTAATCACACCTGTGTGCTTGTGTGTGATGATCACCTGTACTCGTTATCCCACCTGTAGTGAGAGTGTATGTCATACAGTCACCAGAACTAATCACACCTGTGTGCTTGTGTGTGATGATCACCTGTACTCGTTATCCCACCTGTAGTGAGAGTGTATGTCATACAGTCACCAGAACTTATCACACCTGTGTGCATGTGTGTGATGATCACCTGTACTCGTTATCCCACCTGTAGTGAGAGTGTATGTCATACAGTCACCAGAACTTATCACACCTGTGTGCATGTCTGCAATGGATCACCTGTACTCGTTATCCCACCTGTAGAGAGTTGTATGTGTAATGGTCACCAGTACTTATCACACATGTGTGCATGTCTGCAATGGATCACCTGTACTCGTTATCCCACCTGTAGAGAGTTGTATGTGTAATGGTCACCAGTACTTATCACACATGTGTGCATGTCTGCAATGGATCACCTGTACTCGTTATCCCACCTGTAGAGAGTTGTATGTGTAATGGTCACCAGTACTTATCACACATGTGTGCATGTCTGCAATGGATCACCTGTACTAGTTATCCCACCTGAAGTGAGATGTATGTATTATTTTCTCACCTGATGTAGGACACATAGGAGAGCCACTGTAGATAGGTTGGGATCGTATCAAAGTTGACGAAGAACCCACTAAACAGAAGGATGGGGATCGCTGTGACAGGTCCCAGGAACACAGCCACCTGTAAACAAAGGCAACACCCATTTACAAATACTGGCAACACACCTTTACAAACACAGGCAACACCCCTTTACAAACACAGGCATCATCACTTTACAAACACAGGCAACACCCCTTTACAAACACACCTTTACAAACACACCTTTACAAACACAGATAACACACCTTAACAAATACAGGCAACACCCCTTTACAAACACAGGCAACACCCCTTTACAAACACAGGCAGCACCCCTTTACAAACACAGGCAGCAACCCTTTACAAACACAGGCAACACCCCTTTACAAACACACCTTTACACACACAGGCAACACCCCTGTACAAACACAGGCAACACACCTTTACAAACACTGGCCACACCCCTTTACAAACACAGGCAACACCCCTTTACAAACACAGGCAGCACCCCTTTACAAACACAGGCCACACCCCTTTACAAACACAGATAACATCCCTTTACAAACACAGGCAGCACCCCTTTACAAGCACCCCTTTACAAACACACCTTTACAAACACACCTTTACAAACACAGATAACACCCCTTTACAAACACAGGCAACACACCTTTACAAACACAGATAACACCCCTTTACAAACACAGGCAACACCCCTTTACAAACACAGGCAGCACCCCTTTACAAACACAGGCCACACCCCTTTACAAACACAGATAACATCCCTTTACAAACACAGGCAGCACTCCTTTACAAACACACCTTTACAAACACAGATAACACACCTTTACAAACACAGGCAAAACACCTTTACAAACACATCTTATACAAACACAGATAACACGCCTTTACAAACACAGGCAACACCCCTTTACAAACACACCTTTACAAACACAGATAACACACCTTTACAAACACAGGCAACACCTTTACAAACACAGGCAACACACCTTTACAAACACAGGCAACACACCTTTACAAACACAGGCAGCACCCCTTTACAAACACACCTTTACAAACACAGATAACACACCTTTACAAACACAGGCAACACCTTTACAAACACAGGCAACACACCTTTACAAACACAGGCAACACACCTTTACAAACACAGGAAGCACTGAAGACCACAGAGACGCCGTTACAAATATTGGTTCCAAGCAGAGCTCTTAGTGCCAGTGCCTAACTCTGCAGTCAGTCAGTCAGTCAGTCAGTCAGTCAGTCAGTCAGTCAGTCTCTCTTACATCTCTTTCACTCACTAAACTGCTTAATCAACAAACCAATCAACAAACCAATCAATCATGCTCTCACAAAGCCACTCTCCCGCACGTCATCTCCCCAGTAGACAGATTACCTGTAGTGACGTAGCGGCCCCAATAAGCAGCCCCAGCGACTGAGCAACCAGTGACGTCTGAGTCGACAGGGTCAGGAACATCACAAACCTCACAAAGTCGTTGGGCTGCGAAGTCATCCAGTAAACAATGGACCCATACACCAATGGAAATATAATCTGGAATGAAATTATATATATAGTAACATAGGTGAGGTGATTTTTGCACTTATATATAGCCATGTGCATGCACGTATGTGTGTGTGGCTGCTTGTACTAGTCCGGACTGATGCCAAATTATAGTGCTAGCCCACTGAGATACCATGCCGCAGTTTAACATGAATATCCCACTCAGACACAGTATACTGACTCGGTCCTTGTTTTAGCCCCTTAATGCCGAGCACCTGACAGGGTAACAACAAGTACCATCTTTAAACGTCTTTTTGTATGATGCGGCTGGAGATCGAACCCCGGACCTTCTGCTCTCTGGGTGGACGTTCTACCACGAAGCTGGTCACACTCTGGGTGGACGATCTACCACTAGACCACGGAGGCGGTCACAATCTCCGGGTGGACGTTCTACCACTAGACCACGGAGGCGGTCACACTCTGGGTGGACGTTCTACCACTAGACCACGGAGGCGGTCACACTCTCCGGGTGGATGTTCTACCACTAGACCACAGAGGCGGTCCAAACTTCCAATAGACATTAAATGAAGCTGAAGATATTTTCTGAATACATTATTTTCTGTATTTTCCATACTCCTTTTCAGAAGTGTCCTCAATTAATCCGATTTAGATACACCTATGTTTGTTTGTTGTTAATGCAGCACTCAGCAATAATCCAGCTTTATGACGACAGCCTGTAAATAATAAACTCTGGACCAGACAATCCAGTGATCGGTATAGAGAGCAGCAGTCCAAGTTGTCGGAGTACGATGGACCAGCTGTCTCTTACGACCAGCATAGGTTGCTGGGGAACTATTGTAGCCCGGGGTGGAGCTATTGTGATGAAGTTGTACAATGACTGATCCCTATATCAGCAGTTTATCACCAATGATTTGAAGGAAACATACATTCCAAAGTTCAATTTCCTCAGTCAGGTGAGTTAAAAAAAGGAAATATCAAGTTTCAAAATCCTAACAGGAAAGATGCCATCATCACACCCAGCAAAGCCCACGGCCAGTTTGAGTGAGTGAGTGAGTGAGTGAGTGAGTGAGTGAGTGAGTGAGTGAGTGTTTCACACCGATTCTAGCAATATTCCAGCAATATCACGGTTGGGGGACACCAGTAATGGGTTTCATAGATTGTACCCATGTTGGGAATCTAACCCAGGCCTTCAGCATGACGAGCGAACGCTTTAACCACTAGGCCACCCCACCGCCTCACAGCCATTTTGAGATATCCAGGGCCCTGTTCCACAAAGTGATCTTAGCCTATGTTAAAGGATGGAAGTTACTATCATCTTAGTGCTAAGATCGCTCAGTGGGACAGGGCCCAGGCCTCCAGACACTGCTTCGAAGCTCACCTGGAATGGCATGTCGGCCATGGTTTTAGCAAGGTAGTAGGCCTTGAGACTGTACCAGTAGTTCAAGTGCTCCCTGACAAACACTGCCATCTCCATCGGAACTGAAATACGGAAAATAACAGAAAATGATTATTCAAGCCCAGCACAAGAAGATTTCTTAATGAATTGTCTTGTGCATTACACAATTTTCTTTGGTGTAGTGTGCGCTTTTTTGCAAAAACACAGCTGCGTAGAGAGTGTGTTCCATAATGAGTTTTTTTTTATTTAAACAGTAAATCATCATGTTTTATCTCATATTTCAAATTTGTATTGACCAAGTTTATTATCAACTGTTTGTTTACCTGACTTTTCCTAAGGGATACATTGGCATTTATTTCTGTGCACAAAACTCAACAACAAAAATAATTCCCAAATACTGAATCACCTTGAAGGGGTGCGCATAGGAAATATGGTAATCATTTTATATATTTCTTGTCACTTCTTAAAAGCAAGGGACACTAGGGAACTATCCTACCTAGAATCTAACAGGGAGACAAGGGGTCCTGTTACCCACACTGAGGTAGAGGAATCAGAGTGAGCGAGTATGATTTTACGTCGCTTTTAGCAATATTCCAGCAATATTACAGCAGCGGACACCAGAAACGGGCTTCACACATAGTACCCATGTGGGGAATCAAACCCAGGTCTTTGGTTTGATGAGCCAATGCTTGAACCACTAGGCTTCCCCGCTGCCACGGAGGAATCAGGTGAAATCGGGTTTAACGTCGCTTCCAAGATTATTGCACTTATATAGCGACGTGTGTGTGTGTGTGTGTGTGTGTGTGTGTGTGTGTGTGTGTGTGTGTGTGTGTGTGTGTGTGTGTGTGTGTGTGTGTGTGTGTGTGTGTGTGTGTGTGTGTGTGTGTGTGTGTGTGTGTGTGTGTGTGTCAGAGTGAGAGAGAGTGTGTGTGTGTGTGTGAGATTGTACTAGGCCGGACTGATGCCGCTTTATAGTGCTAGCCCACTGAGATACCATGCCGCAGTTTAACATGAATACCCCACTCAGAGAGAGTATACTGACTCCGAGACGACCAGTCCTTGTTTTAGCCCCTTAATGTCGAGCGCCAGACAGGGTAACAACAAGTACCATCTTTTAACATCTTTTGGTATGACGCGGCCGTGGATCGAACCCCAGACCTTCCGCTCACCGGGGGGACGCTCTACCACTAGACCACGGAGGCGGTCTGGAGGAATGAGAGTGGGTACAGCTACTCACATGTGAGGACAGTCGGCATCAGGGCAGTGAACATCAGGAACAGCATACAGAAGAACAGACATCCCGCGTTGTTGAAGACTTTGCTGGCTTCGTTGCCAATGCCGAGATAGAGCAGGCCAATAAGGATGCCGACAGTCAGGTGGGAGATGAGTCTCAGTCTCGTCAGGGTCTGCAACACAACAACAGGATTCATGTGAACAGCATCATTAGTTTGTTGTACAGACACAGTGCCTGCCTGCCTGCCTGCATGCCTGCCTATGTATTCAGTTATATTTTAATTTGTAGATTCTCAAGTAATTGCTTTGCATTATTTCAACTGAATCAAAATGTGATTTGTCTCTTTTTTTTCAATATTATCATTATCACATAGGTCAGAGGTGTCTAACTGTATCACGACAGGTCAGAGGTGTCCAACTGTACTACGACAGGTCAGAGGTCACTTACTGCATCATGACGTAGGTCAGAGGTCACTTACTGCATCATGACGTAGGTCAGAGGTCACTTACTGCATCATGACGTAGGTCAGAGGTCACTTACTGCATCATGACGTAGGTCAGAGGTCACTTACTGTATCATGACGTAGGTCAGAGGTCACTTACTGCATCATGACGTAGGTCAGAGGTCACTTACTGCATCATGACGTAGGTCAGAGGTCACTTACTGCATCATGACATAGGTCAGAGGTCACTTACCGCATCATGATGTATGTCAGGTCAGAGGTCACTTACTGCATCATGACGTAGGTCAGAGGTCACTTACTGCATCATGACGTAGGTCAGAGGTCACTTACTGTATCATGACATAGGTCAGAGGTCACTTACTGCATCATGACGTAGGTCAGAGGTCACTTACTGCATCATGACGTAGGTCAGAGGTCACTTACTGCATCATGACATAGGTCAGAGGTCACTCACCGCATCATGATGTATGTCAGGTCAGAGGTCACTTACTGCATCATGACGTAGGTCAGAGGTCACTTACTGCATCATGACATAGGTCAGAGGTGACTTACCGCATCCCTCATGATGGAGGTGAATGTCCTAATGAAGAGAATCCGGAACTGGGTGAAGCAGCTGGTGGCAAACGTGTGACACTCCTGGTCGTACATCAGGTCCTGCAACAGACGACACACTTGATGGCCCCACACAGTTGGATAGTGCTAACTACAAACCCATGGACTGCTTCTAGGAAACTGTTGCTATAGTAACTAATAGTCCAACTGCACATAACGTAGGTGAACCAACCAAAGAGCCACCAGTCGTAGACATTCGCCTACCATTGATCACAGGGCATGGTACGGATATATAGAGAATCTCACCCGACATCAAAAATAACAACACGAGTTGATAAAAATATTTTTTATATCAAAAGACAGGAGGGTAAGATTTTACTTATTATCCAACATCATTCTTCAAACTTTTTCAGTTTGTAGACAGTAATAAGCAGTGTCTTAAGTGTAAAAAGTACTGCTAACAGCTTCAGTAGCAGAGCCACTAGTGATGTCATTTGATTATGATATCATGGTAACCTATGACGTCACAATGGTCTGCAAAGCATTGTGATGTGATATCTACAATGTAGATATCGCTTGATCTCACCTGTGGAACCAATATCTCCTGTGGGAGCCAGTTTTGGATGATAAAATTAGTGCAAAGCTGAGATTTTATACAGTAAATCTTGTGAGTAAGCGAGTGAGTATGTATGATTTTACGCTGCTTTTAGCAATATTCCAGAAATATCACGGTGGGGGACACCAGAAATGGGCTTCACACATTGTACCCAAGTAGGGATTCGACCTGGGTCTTTGGCTTGATGAGCCAACGCTATAACCACTAGGCTACCCCACCGCCCAGCAAATCTTATAATGCTCAGGAAGAAGTGAGTGAGTTAAGTTTAACACCTCCTTGAACAGTATGCCAGTTATCATGGTGTGTCAGCTTAATTTGGGAGAAAATCCACAAGTGATGCAGGTCTCAGACTTTCACCACTGTGGTGAAACCCACGAGCACGGGTTTAGTGCCAACAAACCTAGAAACAAAATTGGGGCGAACCAGGATTCGAACACAATCATAGGTTTCTAGCATGCCCTAGGAGCACTTTAGACAACTGGGCCAGACAATCCAGTGATTGATATCATGAGCATCGATCCACACAATTGGGATACGATGACATGCATCAACCAAGTCAGCAAGCCTGGTCACCCGATCCCGTTAGTCGCCTCTTACAACAAGCATGGGTTGCTGAAGACCTATTCTTCCCCGGATCTTCACGGGTCAAGTTCTTGTTTTGACACCATTTTGACCAGTATTTCAGTTACATCATTGAGGATGCCAGCCACTGTGGTGAAACGGTAAAACAGTGAAACACATGGTGCTGATGAACCAGGAAGCAATCAGGGCTATTCTGGGATTAAAACCCAAGACCTAGCTTTCTCGGGGGCAGTGGGGAAACCAAGTGGTTAAAACGTTTGCTCGTAATGCCGAAGACCCAGGTGCGATTCCCCACTTGAGCTCTGGTCTACCCCCGCCATAACATTGCAGCGTAAAAGCAAACTTGCTCACTCCTAGCTTCCTGACACAACTCCGCACAGCTGTTTCAGTGAGTGTTTTACGCCACTTTTAACAGTATTCCAGTTATATCGCGGCGTGTCAGCTTAATGTGGTAGGAAAGCCCGAAGTGATGCAGGTCTCAGACGTTTCCCACTTGGTGAAACCCACGAGCAAGGGTATGGTGCTGACAAACCTAGAAACATAATCAGGGCGAACCGGGATTGGAACCCACAATAAAAGTGACTGACATCATGAGCAACAATTTCTCGTACGAGGACCCACCCACAATCACACCCAAACCTGTTTCTCCTAAATACTTCATCCCTTCTTCTTGTTACTTCAACACGTGCAAAGATCCGTCATTTTGAAATTTCCCCATAAAAAAAATAGCTTGAGCTATTTGGGTCTTCCCATGTAATATTTCAAGAACATTAATAATTTTTTTAAATTTTCTATTCAGTGTAATAATTGTTCCAAAGTAGTGAGTGAGTTGGGTTTAACGCCGCTTTTAACAGTATTCCAGTTATATCGCGGTGTGTCAGCTTAATGTTGGAGAAAAGCCCGAAGAGATGCAGGTCTCAGACATTTACCACTTCAGTGAAACCCACGAACACGGGTATGGTGATGACAAACCTAGAAACATAATTGGGGCGAACCGGGATTCGAACTCACAATCATAGGTTTCTGGCGTGACCAAGGGACGCAACTCTGCACAGCGAATCTCGGGGACTTAGACGACTGGGCCACCCGTGCCACGTGTTCCAAAGTAACTAAGTTAATACTGTACTCAGCAATATTCCAGCTATATGACAGCAGCCTGTATTTATTCAAGTCTGGACCAGACAATCCACTGATTGAGAATATGAGCAATGATCCACGCCATCAGGGTACGATGACATATGCAATCAATCCAGGGAACGAGCCTGACCACCCGATCAATTAAGTCACCTCTTTGGCATAGGTTGTTGGGACCAATTCTAACCTGCATTCCCCATAGCGAAAGATGTAGGTGACTACCCAAAAGAGATTTATGTTAGTGTTGAATAACCCAGTACAAAGTAAATTTCCCACAGACAAAAATGTATAGATCTTTTGTGCACCATGAGAGAAGCGTCAGAGGGAAGCCTGACTCATCCTCCATTATCCAGGGTAATACATCTCCATTCCTTTATGAATAATACCCTGCACCTATTTGACACCATACCTTTGTTCTGTTAGTTTGTTTGTTTGTGTGTTAGTTGTTTAACACCGCACTCAGCAATATTCCAGCTATATGACAGAGGTCTGTAAAAAATCGAGTCTGGATCAGACAATCCAGTGATCGACATCATGAGCATCAATCCACGCTATTGGGATACGAAGACATGCATCAACCCAGTCAACTAACCTGACCACCCGATCACATTAGTCACCTCCACCTTTTACGGCAAGCACGGGTTGCTGAAGACCTATACTCCCCCTGATCTTCAAGGGTCACTGTTCTGAATTCGGTTTGAATGACAACTCTAAAAATAAAACTAGAAGTCGATTCATGTTACCCTGTCCATGCATCATATTCATGATTAAAACAAACAGCGATATCACCTATAGCAGACTCAACTTTTCAAATCTCTAATGCCTTCCCTCTCTTGTCCTAGAGTTAAAAAAAATAAATTTTCCAGCTGAAAGGTTTTTCATAACAGTCTCCATCTTTGCCTTAAGATATCGTTGGCCCACTGGGACCATGGGGTGAGGTCAAACGAGGTTTAACTTTGCATTCCAAATTATTACACCTATATAGCAACGTGCAGGTGTGTGGCTGCTTGTACTAGCTCAGACTCATGCCGGGTATATAGTGGTAGCCCCGAGATACCATGTAGCAGTTCGACATGAATACCAAGGATAACACAGCTTACTGACTCCGAGCTGAGAAAAAGAACAATCTGGGGATTGAACCACTGACCTTCCTCTCGCCGGGCAGACACTCTATCCACTAGACCACAGAATTGGTCCTACGCCGATATTGCACTCAATTTGACAAACAACTGTCAAACTCACAGACAGAAGACAGGGTCGATGTAACCGGTGGCCTGTTGGCCCATGGCCAGTTAAATCAACAAGCAGCCCGTCTGGCTTGTCAAAATTTCACCCCTTCTCTGTGTATGTTTAATTTTCCAAATTGGACACTGCTTGTGAAACCTGTAATTTCTAATCGGGGTGGGGGGTGGGGTTAACACTCAGTAGAATGACATACCCAGTGGCCATTTTGTTTTGTTCTGTACATCTTAAATGTTCATAAATCGACACGAAATGAGGCAAATGGAAGCCAAGATTTAATCTCATAGTTTTTAGGGTTCTAACATTTTGAAAACCCCTGATGAACTCAGTCGTGGCCTCCAACATTTAGGTAAGGGCCAGTTAGTTTTGAGAAGGGCCAGTAACTTTTGAAAGGAGAAAACCCAACTGGCTGCATCTGAATTTGTTGTCAAATCTACCCCTGGAACATATATTTTGATTAGCTGTTGATTTCAAACTAATGAGCGAGAGCAATTCTGTGTGTTAGCGTGATGAAGTGAAATAAAGTGGATGACGCTGATGCAAATAGGTCCAGGGTATTCATAACAGAATGGAGACCTACCACCCTGGATAATCTAGGAAGAAGCATGCCTGAACTTGGTGACAGAATATCCTCAAAACAAATACTATACACCATGCAACTATATAACTACAACTGGTAACTGGAGGGAACATCAAAACCAGACAAAACCAAATAAAAAATAAAAATATCATTTCATGCAGAAATATGCAAAATAATAAACAACAGAAAAGAAACTAAGACAACAAAAATACTATAAGTGGTACATTTACCATAAATCAAGGTCTAACGTGCCATGCCCCAATGACCAAAGCCGTCCTTTATAAGTTTCCATATTTTACTCAATATTTTCTTGATAATAAAGGAGAAAAAAATCTCAAAAATCTAAATGTAAGGTAAATAACCATTTACTTACTTATTTGTATTTACTTTGCACCAATACTTTAAATGTCCTTTTTAAGCAGGACCACTATTTGCTAGCATTTCATTCATAGGGATATTTTCCAAATCAAAATCTAGATTCTGTTTACAATTGTTACCAAATTGTGAACCGTTTCTTTTCCTATAGTTAATTACTTATTTTTAATTTTAATATTACCCCAAAATTTCCATCCCTTATCCCGAAGACCTTAACAGGTTACAGATGATTTGTTTAATAGTTATATTTCAGGATCTGCATATTGAGTGAAAGTGACTGGTTAACAATCTCATTGAAAGCCAATCTTTTACTCTGATATGATACTGCTCTGTATGAAGATCTGAAAATTCCTCCGTAAGATGTCACATCAGTCGAACCTGAGAGCGCTTTGACCGACGAATCTAAACAAAGGCATCATGGGTTTTTTAACCAATCAGATGCAATTTGTCTAAACAGTTTGGCTTTATTTCCGTGGTATTTTTAGATGGCGTAGATGTCAGAAACAACAGATTTTTTCAACTGTCTCCAAAATTGAAAAGGTCCAGCCTTCATTATTTACATTTCGAACTGGTCGTTTCAGTTCGTTTTCGCAATACAGAGATCAGACATGCTGTTCTGAATGCTTCATTAACTCGTAGCATGAATTAAGTGAGTGAGCATGGTTTTACGCCGCTTGTTGACCAAGGTCTTCAGTGTGACGAGCTTTCACGTACACCTGACACAACCTCCAACTGAGGGGTTGTCAGATCTTCGCACAGAGAGGCATCGTTTCCCAGTAAAAGGTTTGAAGTTAATGACACTGGATGGTTAATAAAGGCAGAGAAAGCAAAAAATTTATATCAGTTTTTATTTTACTGCATCTTTCAGCATATATACCTCAACTATAGGTTGAACATGGGTCATACCATACTACACTACAGAAAACCATGGTTACCATGGCAACGTTACAAACCTCAGATGATTCTGACTGCTGAAAACACAATAAACAAAGGAAAAACACTTTATAGTAAGTACACCTACAACAATTGAAACTCGACAAAAATACTAGAATTGACTAGCTAATCATGCTGGGAAACAACTATGTAGGATGTTTTTCATCAGTTAGTGCAAAACTTAGATACAAGACAGGGATCACAAAGTTATCTCCCTTTGAGAAGAACAGCATTAAAAATATGTTATCCAATCATACTTTTTTTAAAACTTTGTATGCAATGGTTTACTTGATTATATTACACGGCTGCATATTTTTCAGTCATACAAATTATGGTTTATTTTTCTTAACCAAATGACGAGGAAGATGAACTATTCAAAACAAGAAGCCAAGCTTGAAAATCGAGCACAAATATTTGCAGTCAGGTCTGAAGTGTGAAATTCAAAAGAGAATTTGAAAAGTAGAGATTTAAGCTAACGGCATGTGCTCATGGACCTTTGAAACTTGGTTAATCCAAACAAACAAACCTCAGTTTTGGGGACTCCTGCTATGCAGATACCGTTGACGCCCCTGGTAACGATGGGGGCGTGTCCGTTCGAGTATCCATTACAACATCCGTTCTCCATCAGCTTCTTTCTCTCTGCTCCCTCATAATAGTGATTAGGGCATTCTTCATGAACGCTGGGTGTTGGGGTGCATTCCATGGGCGTGGTGGCTGGACTGGGCGTGGGTGTTCGGGAGGCGGAGAGCTTGCGTTGGAACTCAATCTGGAAGGGGTCACACTTTCCTGTCTTGAGTGCCATCGTCAAACGCCGGACTTTGTCCTCTCCATACTCCCCGACTGACACCTCCATCACTGCAACAGGGATAAAGTGAAATTGGACTTCACGTCGCGTTCTAGGTTATCACAATTATGGAGAGATGTGCATGCACATGTGTGTGGTTGCTTGTACTAGCCGAGAATATGCCAGATTTATAGTGCTAGCCCACTGATACCATGCCACAGTTTAAACATGATCCCATTAATGTCGAGCGCCAGTCAACGTAACAAGATATACCATCTTTTGGTATCACATGGGCCTTGAAGCATCAAGGGGTTGCAACACAAGAATTAGTGAGTGAGTGAGTGAGTTCGGTTTAACACCTCTTTTTCCCATGTCAGCTTAATGTTGGACAAAAGCCCAAAGTGATGCAGGTCTCAGACGTTTACCACTTCGGTGAAACCCACCAGCATGGGTATGGTGCTGACAAACCTAGAAACATAATCGGGGCGAACCGGGATTCAAAGCCACAATCATAGGTTTCTGGCGTGCCAGAGGGACGCAACTCTGCAACCTGTGCCACCCACAAGAATTTTGAGTAATATTATTCATAATAATAGTGATAATAACCCAGTTCCTATAACAAAGGCAGAGCGGCTCTACATTGAAAACATGGCTCACTTATTACGGTTCTTCATGGGAGATAACTTACCGTAGTCGGCTGGGTTGTGGTAGTTGGGGCAGCGGAGTCCCTGAGACTCGAAGTACGGCAGTAGTGCCGGTATGCTCCCTCTGTACACGCACTGGCCCTCCGCCAACATGTACAACTGAAACCCAGGACATCAGGGCAATGTAGGACAACATCAGGGGGCAATGTAGGACAACATCAGGGGGCAATGTAGGACAACATCACGGGGCAATGTAGGACAACATCACGGGGCAATGTAGGACAACATCACGGGGAAATGTAGGACAACATCAAGGTGCAATGTAGGACAACATCAAGGTGCAATGTAGGACAACATCAGGGGGCAATGTAGGACAACGTCACAGGGCAATGTAGGACAACATCACAGGGCAATGTAGGACAACATCACGGGGCAATGTAGGACAACATCAAGGTGCAATGTAGGACAACATCAAGGTGCAATGTAGGACAACATCAGGGGGCAATGTAGGACAACGTCACAGGGCAATGTAGGACAACATCAGGGGGCAATGTAGGACAACATCAAGGTGCAATGTAGGACAACATCAGGGGGCAATGTAGGACAACGTCACGTGGCAACGTAGGACAACATCACAGGGCAATGTAGGACAACATCAGGGGGCAATGTAGGACAACATCAAGGTGCAATGTAGGACAACATCAGGGGGCAATGTAGGACAACATCATGGGTCAATATAGGACAACATCACAGGGCAATGTAGGACAACATCACGGGGCAATGTAGGACAACATCACAGGGCAATGTAGGACAACATCACAGGGCAATGTAGGACAACATCATGGGCCAATATAGGACAACATCACGGGGCAATGTAGGACAACGTCACAGGGCAATGTAGGACAACATCACAGGGCAATGTAGGACAACATCATGGGCCAATATAGGACAACATCACGGGGCAATGTAGGACAACGTCACGGGGCAATGTAGGACAACATCACGGGGCAATGTAGGACGTCACGTGGCAACGTAGGACAACATCACAGGGCAATGTAGGACAACATCACGGGGCAATGTAGGACAACATCACAGGGCAATGTAGGACAACATCACGGGGCAGTGTAGGACAACATCATGGGCCAATATAGGACAACATCACTGGGCAATGTAGGACAACGTCACGGGGCAACGTAGGACAACATCACGGGGCAATGTAGGACGTCACGTGGCAACGTAGGACAACATCACAGGGCAATGTAGGACAACAGCACGGGGCAATGTAGGACAACATCACAGGGCAACGTAGGACAACATCACGGGGCAATGTAGGACAACATCACGGGGCAATGTAGGACAACATCATGGGGCAGTGTAGGACAACATCACAGGGCAATGTAGGACAACATCACGGGTCAAAGTAGGATAACATCATGGGATGATGTAGGATAACATCATGGGTCAATATAGGATAACATCATGGGTCAATATAGGATAACATCATGGGATGATGTAGGATAACATCATGGGTCAATATGGGATAACATCATGGGTCAATATAGAATAACATCATCAGGGATAAAAAACTTTACTGATCAAGTTTGTTATCGAATGTTTACCTGAATTTGCTGAGGGGATCCGCCGCAATTTTGTTTTGCACATAAAACTCGAAAAATCTTTTTGGACAAAATACTGAATCCCCTAGAGGGGGTGTGTGCATTATACTTGGGAGGGCACTATACTCAAGAAAATATGGCAACGAGACAATTACATCCTGCTAACTGAACTTACATGATCGAACATCTCAAAGAGTTTGGCACTGGGCTGGTGTATGGTGCAGATGATGGTGCGACCGCCTGCGGCCAGCGTCTTGAGCAGACACACACACTGGTAGCAGGAGGCGCTGTCCAGGCCGCTGGTCGGCTCATCAAAGAACATGACAGGTGGATTGTTGACTAGCTCCAGGGCGATGGACAGCCGCTTCCGCTGGCCGCCGGACAGGTTGCAGGTCCTGGTCTTCTTGGCCTCTGAAAGGCTCAGTGTGTCAAGGATCTCATCAACCTGGGGACAGAAGGATCTCCTGTCAATACATGGACCAGCTGTCAATACATCGATCTCCTATAAACATAATCAACAAAACAACCCAAGGATCTCCTGTCAATACATGGACCTCCTGTCAATACATCGATCTCCTATAAACATAATCAACAAAACAACCCAAGGATCTCCTGTCAATACAAGTATCTAATCTACAAGACAACACAAGGATCTCCTGTCAACACAAGGGTCTTGTTCCCAGAGTTGACTTTCTGAAGATACCTACCATTTCCTGTTTTTCGGCATTGGAGAGGCTCTCGTTAAGTTTGAGATTGGCAGAGCACATCATGGACTCCTGGACCGTGAGGTGGGGGAGGAGGTGGTCGTCCTGCATGATGTAGCACGACATCTTCCTGAACATCCGCAGGTCGCGGTCCTTTCCTCGCACCAGGATCTGACCCGAGATGTTCTTTGTCCTGACAGAAACGAAATACCACTGGATAAAACCGAGGTCAATAACTGTCCATTTTACATGCATGATTGAGGTTCTAGACCACTTTCAGGGTCCAACCACTAAATATTCTGAGGTATTGTTTGAGACAGATTACCTAATGACATACATTTTCTTCTCTGAAAGAGAAAGAGACAGAAGCACTGCTTGGGGACCCACAACAGGTGTTAGAACATCAGCATGTCTAGTCAAATCTGAGAGCAAATTATGAGTGAGTGAGTTAATATTTAATGTCACATCGGCAATATTTCAGCCAAATTGTGAGGAGAACTTTCAGGAACTTTTGTATTTTTAAAAAACATCTATAACACGATGTTGCTATAGCAACTGAACTGACCTGTATCCTGCCAGAATGTTCATGAGGGAGGATTTCCCTGCTCCAGAGGGTCCCATTATAGCTGTGAGTTCCCCCGACTTGAACCGACCAGAGATGGACTTCAGGATGGTCTTGGGCTCTAAAACATCATCCAACAATCAGATCTTTATGATCCTTTACCCCAACAATCAGATCTATATGATCCCTGACTCCAACAATCAGATCTATATGATCCTTGACTTGAACAATAAGATCTTTATGATCGTTGACCCCAACAATAAGATCTATGTGATCCCTGACTCCAACAATCAGATCTATATGATCCCTAACTTGAACAATCAGATCTAAATGATCCATATGATCCCTGACTTGAACAATGAGATCTATATGATACTTGACTCCAACAACCAGATCTGTATGATCCTTGACTCCAACAATCAGATCTATATGATCCCTGACCACAACAATCAGATCTATATGATCCATATGATCCTTCTACTTCAACGATCAGATCCATATGATCCTTGACTCCATTGATGTAATTAAGGGTCTATGCAATGTCATTGTAAATGGCACCAAGAATGTCACTATATTTGGTTATTTCTATTTGCGTGCGTGCATGCGCTAGGCCGGAATAATGCCAGATTTTTCTCTCGCTCACCCACTAAGATACCATGCTCCAGTTAAACATGAATACCCCACTCAGACACAGCTTTCTGACTCCGAGCTGACTGGTCCTTGTTTTAGCATCTGGAGTGTCAGGCAGGGTAACAACAAGTGCTATCTTTTAGTGTCTTTCGGTATGACATAGGCCAGGAATTGAACCCTGGATTTTCCACTCTCTGGGTATATGCTCTATCCACTAGGCCAAAGAGGTGGTCTGAACTGATATATCTATTCAGGCCAAAATACAATTAAAATACAAAATACAATCTATGAAAGTATTTTTATTTTTTTTCAAACATGTAATCCCATCCGGACTTCACAAATACTTCCTATGTGAATCAGTAGCAGTACAGTGGTAACCATGGTGACCCTGAACATGATGAAACCTGAAGTTTATTTCAAAATTCCCCAAAGTAAGTGTGGTCTTATTAAGCCACTTCCAGCAATACTCAAACAATATCAGGGTAGCAGGGGACACTGTACCAATGTGGGGAATAGAACCTGGATCTACGGAATGACAAGCAAACGCTTAAACCACTAGGCTATTGCCACAAGACCCCAAAAAGATATTACTGAAAATTAAGCAAAATCCCTCTATAACCATGGCAACTAAGATGGAAAAAGATCAATAAAACATGTGCCCAACCTAATTTTACCGTTCCTTTGAGAATTTGATTATCTAACCTATGTTACAGTTCTGAAAATAACCCGATTAGCATGTGCACCAAGACAGAACATGTTATTGAATGTATCAACTAGACAGCAGGTTCTTCAAGGACATCTAACTACCATCATCGAAATGCCAACCAATTACCACTGTTGCCATGGTAACCTAGTAAATACAGCCTGTCAGTAAGTATCGGCTGAGGAGAGCCTCTGGTTTAGTCCAATATAACCTTTCATTAGATAATTGCTGTGGAAGGCTACAAAAGGATGGCCCACAGTGCCTCCATGAACAAACTGGTCTCATATTCCTCGACTGATCAGAGATGGCAGAAAGTGGTCCATTATATTTCTCAAGGGATGTAGGGGAAGCTTTGTTGTTAGGGCTGTTTATTGGCAAAAAAACTGTTGCAATACATTGCATTACTGGTATCTGTGTCATGATACATATTTTGATATTTTGGGACATGAGTGTTTGACAGTGTTTGACATTGATTGACAGTGTTTGACAGGGTTTGACATTGATTGACACAGGTTTAAGATGCAGATCCTATTTTTGACATATTAGTTTCTCATGTTACTCGTCGCCATTTTGTAGTCATGGATACAGGGAAGATAACAAGATGAAAGAAAATCACTTCCATGTTTCTTCCATTTTGTCGATCAATTTTGAAACATTATTTGTGAAAGAATTTCTTTGTAGATTTTAAGTTAAACAACACAGATAAGAACGAAACTTGTTTAAATATACTGGAGTGAGTGCGTTAGGTTTAACGCCACTTTTAACAGTATTCCAGTTATATTATGGCGTGTCAGCTTAATGTAGGAGGAAAGCCCAAAGTGATGCAGGTCTCAGACGATTACCACTTCACTGAAACCCATGAGCACGGGTATGGTGCTGACAAACCTAGAAACATAACCCGGGATTTGAACCCACAATCATAGGTTTCTGGCTTGCCCAAAGGACGGAACTCTGCAGAGAGAATCATGGCACCTCAGACGACTGGGCACCTGTGCCCCCTAAATATACTGGAAGACAGAAAACATATTGCACTGTTTGAGAAGCATAGTGCAGTATAAGAGTAATACCATGCTATCCTGCTAGTGGTCAAATTACAGTGAGTGAGTGAGTGAGTAGGGTTAATGCCGCTTTTAACAGTATTCCAGTTATATCACGGCGTGTCAGCTAAATGTGGGAGGAAAGCCCGAAGTGACGCAGGTCTCAGACGTTTACCACTTCGGTGAAACCCACGAGCACGGGTATGGTGCTAACAAACCTAGAAACATAATCGGGGCGAGCCGGGACTCGAAGTCACAATCATAGGTTTCTGGCGTGCCCAAGGGACGCAACTCTGCACAGCGAGTCGCGGCGCCTTAGACGACTGGGCCACCTGTGCCCCCTGGTCAAATTACAGAGTTCAGTGATGGATCAAAATTCATCTAGTTATTTATCAATATATGACGTCTGAAAGGCCCACAGTTCTACAACACAGATACATATTTAAATTGAGTGGTGAAATAATTTGTTTGTTGTATCAAACAGTCATATTCCCGCTGTACCAGACAATCCAGTGATTGACATCATGATCATCGATCAATGCAATTAGGATACAACGAGATGCATCAACCAAGTCAGCAAACCTGACCACCCGATCCCGTTGGTCGCCTCTTAGAACAACAATGGGTTGCTGAAGACCTATTCTAACTTAGATCTTCAAAGGGACATCAATTATATAAAATGTCAGCTGAAATAGGCCTCTTTGACTTTTCAATTGACACCATTATCCTGATTATCAAACTTCTGATACTGTTATCTTGTTATCAGTGTGTTATCACATAGTAAATATCTGTCATATCATATATAGGAAGGTGGAGAAGTGTCAGCTGATAATAATGTACAATTGATATCACCAACCATGCTTGGAGGAGGTGATATTTTCACTGATAATTATCCAAAATTGAGTCTTTGATTTAACGTCTTTTAAACTAATATATTTTCGAAATTTATGAAGACAGGTGGAATTGTAACTACCCTATACAGATTTGTCCCCAAAATTAACCGTCGCATCTGGTACGTCTACAGTCTTGTAGCAGTAACCTTGACTCAGAACAAGTAGCCATGACAAGTAGTCTGTACTTGGTACAAGTTTTTTTGTTGATGTTGTTTTGTTTAATGCTGCACTCAGCAATATTTCAGCTGTAGGACACCAGTCTGTAAATCATCAAGTCTGGACCAGACAATCCAGTGATTGACATCAATCCAAGCAACTGGGATACGATGCTTGCATCAACCAAGTCAGAAAGCCTGACCACCCGATCCCATTAGTAGCCTTTTAGGACAAGCATGGGTTGCTGAAGACCTATTCTCTACCCGGATCTTCACTGAGGGAGACAAGCATGGGTTGCTGAAGACCAATTCTATCCCCAGATCTTCACGGGTCCTTGGTACAAGT